ACGGTTATTCTGTAACGAACGTGTTAGGTCACGACGGCGAACGACTCGCGGCGCCTGACCGAACCGGCTGATCTTTGATACAGTACGTACTCGTGAACGTTTCCATTCCACTCGTTGGATGCGCGCGACGTCGTTCCCGCGCGTCGTCGTCCGAAATCCGACGCGTCCGCATCCCGCGCGCGCGCCGCGCCGCGTCGTATCCATGGCCTCGACCCCCGCGTCTAGGGCGATCGACTTCCTGCACCTCACGCGTAACTTGAAGACGACGCCGCGGACGGGATGGGTCAACCACGGCGTGGACAAACCCGAGTCCATCGCGGACCACATGTATCGCATGTCCCTGATGGCCATGGTCGCGTCCAAGTCGATGCCACACTTGGACCAATCTAGGTGCGTGAAGCTCGCGCTGATTCACGACCTCGCGGAGGCGATCGTCGGCGACATCACCCCGCACGACCCGGTCACGAAGGTGGAGAAGGCTGCGATGGAGACGGGCGCGATGCGACTGATACGCGGGATGCTCGGGGACGACCTCGGCGGGGACGAGATCGAGGCGCTGTGGCAAGAGTACGAGGACGGCGTCACGGACGAGGCGAAGCTCGTGAAGGACCTCGACAAGCTCGAGATGATCGTCCAGGCGGGGGAGTACGAGCGCGAGCAAGGGAAGGACCTGAGCGATTTCTTCGCGTCCACGCGCGGGAAGTTCGCGACGGACGTCGGGAAGGCGTGGGAGGCGGAGATCGTGTCGAGGCGCGCGGGGAGCGGCGCGGCCCCGTGACGTGGAGGACGCGATATCATAGTTCGTCTCTTAGATGTCCGCTACGTTTCGTTTAATGACACACCCTGCCTAGTCGCTACGTGCCGCGAGCGCCGCGCGCGCGCCGCTTCCCCCTCGAACAGAACGTTCTCTCAATAGTTCGGCCGCACCGGCTGAAACGCCGTCTCCCGCGCCTTGAACAACTCCGGGGACGCGAACAGCTTCTGCATCGCCCACACGACGGTGCAGTAATACAACACGTTAAACACCTTCATCAGGGAGTACAACGTCGTGTACCCCGCGGCGCTCTCCCACATCGCGAGTTGCGGATACCCCGCGAATATCAACGACACCTTGTACACGCGCGATATCAACATGAACACAAAGTACGTCGCGAGCGCGAAGAACGTCGGGGAGAACTCCTCGACGATCTTCCCGTAGTACATCCTCTTCAGATACGTCGTCTCGCTCATGACGTTGTACAGCGCGACGACGGTGAGGAGCATCGCGCAGATTTGAAACACCAACGTCATGATGTCCATCTGCGCCTCGAACGAGTACGTGTTGTCCGTGTACGCGTCCACGAACGCGGCGACGACGAGGGACGCGTACACCATGAGCGCGTTGAACTTGAACGACAGGCTCATGTAGACGTTGTCTGCGGACGTTCGGGGGCGCGGGGTGACGGTTGGGATTGGGACGGACGTCGTCGGTGAGGGCGGTTTTCGTTTCGTTCGCTGGCGCGTTCGACGGGGCGTCGACTCTAACGGTTCGGCGCCGGAATCGATCGACGACGCGACGTATCGGGCGCGCGGGGCGACGTCGCGCGTCGTACCTCTCGTGGAGTCCGACATGATGCCCGTGCGGTCGCGTTCGAGCCGCGCGCGCGCGAGCGAGACCCTCCGAAGCGCTGCCGCGACGTGTCCGCGCGCGCCGTTGTTGACTCTCTCGGCTAGATTTCTCCCCGGACGGACTGGAGCAGGAGCTGGAGCAGCAGCGGTCGGACGGCGCGGCGCGGCGCAAACCTCGGGAGACTACGAGATGTGAGCACCTCAGCAGACGCGACGTCCGAGGCGCTCGCGGGGTCATTACGGACGCGCGTCGGGCCGTTCGAGCACGAGACACGTCGCGCATATTCGCGAGAGCCGATCCCATCTCGCGATCTTCGATTCAGCGCGAGCGCGCGATGGCGTCTCGCGTCTGAGCGTCGTCGTCGCATCATCAGAGTGAAAAGACGGCTAGCTAGAGGCCGCTTTTTCCATCCGAGCCACGATGGTGAAGGTCTCCCCGCCGAAGAAGAAGGTGGACACGGTGCGCGATATCGCCCGCGCACGTCGCGCGAGCTCGAGCCACGCGCATCGCGCCCGCGGTCGTATCGCCTCTGGTCGCTCGCGAGTCGCGCCCGCCGCGGCGTCGAGATCTCGTTCGCTGACCTCCTCCATCCGTCCCGCCCACCTTCCTTCCACGTCCTTCCTCTCCCCCTCCCTCCGCAGCCGTCGGCCGTGAAGGCGATGGTGGACCAGATCGTGTCCACTCCGGCCGGGCACCTCAGCGCGGTGTTCCCGCCGTTCGCGTGGGCGTTCGGAAAGGTGCGCGCTCGGTCGTCGCGGCGCGCGCGCGCGACGCCGTCGACGCGAGATCGGCGACTCGTCGATCGCGTTCGTTTTCTCCCTCCCTGCCGCCCGTCCGTCGATCGCCGCCGGCGCCGTTTCATACCGCGGCCGTATCCGCGAGGAGATGACGGTCGCGGGAATACACGACGCCAGATCACGTCGCCGTCTTCCATGTGCCGCCGTATCCTTCGGGCGTTACGGTCGCATCCATAATCGAGCGCGACATCACTCGGTCGTCCCTCCGTCTCTCTCGTCGTCGTCGGTCGCGTCCCGCCGCCTTCTCTTCTTCGATCGATGCGTTCGACGCGCCCGAGACGATCGACCCTCCTGACGCGCGGCGCTCCCCACCACCGTCGCTCATCTTCGCGACGCTTCCTTTCCTTCGATCCTTCCAGGGCGACTTCCAGCACTGGATCACGGTGTTTAATCACTTCGACGACTACTTCGTCGAGGTCGTCGAGAAGCGGAAGGACCTCCGGCTGGAAGGCCTCCCTCGCGAGGACCCCGCCGGGCCGATCCCGTCCGCGGCGCTCGCGTGGATACTGCACGCGTCGCGGATCATCCTCGAGAACTGCACCAACCGCCAGCTGTACGCGTCGTCGGAGCATCTGTGCTCTCTGCTCGCGTGCGACGACGTCGAGATCGCGCTCGCGGCGCTGAGCCTCCTGGCGACGTCGACGCGGCGACCGCCGGGGTCGAGGGCGAACGCGCGGTTTCAAGCGGACGCGACGCTCCGATCGCGACTCCTCGCGCTGTGCAGCGGTCTCGCGGACTCGAGGGAGTCCACCTCCGGCGCGGCCGCCGACGGCGGCGCGTCGACATCGACGTCCGCGCCGTCCGTCGTCCTCGGCGTGCCTCTGTCCGCGGATGGGAAGAAGCCGAGCGCGGACGTCATCGAGTCGCCGGGGGCGCTGCACTTTGAGTTTTACTCCCCCGGCGGCGCCGACGCGCTCCTCGGGGACGTCGGCGCCGCGGGCGCGCGCACGATCACGAAGAAGGCGACGCACGAAGACGGGATCGGCGACCACGAGACCACGGACGCGCTGATACGCGAGGCGAAGGTGCACGCCGAGTTGCGGTTCGCGTTGTTCGCTCGCGTGCGCCTCGCGAAACTCGGCGCGAGCGTCGATGGCGCCGCGCTCGCGGCGCAGATTCGGTTGCTGTCGTTCTGCGTCCTGCTGCAGTCCGACGCCGCGACCGGCGGCTCGGCCACCTCGGGCGCGAACGGCGAGGCGTCGGATCAGCTCGGGCTCGTGTTCCTCGCGGAGCCGCAGCCGGAGTTCATCGCGGAGTTGCTTCGCGCGTTGAGAATGGAATCGAGGGGCGTCCCCGCGAGAGTCACGGAGCTCACGCTGCGCGTCCTCGCCGCGCTCGCGGGGGATCGAAACCACCAGGGTGGGGTGATCGCCGCGCTTCGGAACGACGGTAACGTCGCCGTGTTCGCGTCGTTGGTTTCAAAGGCGGTGACCGCGTTGACGGACGCGCCGTCGCCGCCGATCGGCCCGGCGCTCGTCGCCGCGAACTTACCCAAGCTCGAACTCGACGCGATGAACGCGGAAGCGGACGCGCCCGTGCCTCTCGCGGACGCGCTCGTGGGTCTGCTCTCCACGCTCGTGACGTCGCACGCGGGGTGCCAGTGCTTACGCGACGTCAGCCTGTTGCCGGTGCTGTTGCCGCTTTTGAAAAATAGAAACCCGCGGCACGTGCACATCGTCGCGCACGCGGTGCACGTGCTGGAGGTGTTCATCGACTACACCTCCGCGGCGGCGACGGCGTTCAGAGAACTCGGCGGCATCGAGCTCATCGTCGATCGTCTGAAGGCTGAGGCTGAGGACGCGCTCGCGGAGCACGAGGCGACGCACGGCGCGGCGTTTACCGCGGCGGCGGCGGCGGCGGCGGAGGCGGGGACGCCGGCGCCGACGCAGACCTACCTCGTGTCGTCCACGCGTCGCGTGCTTCTCAAGGCGCTCATGCGCGCGCTCGCGGTGACGTCGTTCGCCCCCGGGACGAGCACCGCGGCGACGACGACTCTCGAGGAAGGTTCGCCGCTGTGCCACTCGCTGAATTTGATGTTTGAAAACCCCAGGCTCTTCGGCGCTGGCGTGTTTTCGCTCGCGTCGAACCTCCTCTCGGACGTGATGAATCACGAGCCGACGTGTTACCCCAAGCTCGACGCGCTGAAAGTCCCGGAGACGTTCCTCCGGGCGTGGGAGATGGACGACCCCGGGCCGTTGCCGTCCGCGGACGCGCTGTGTTGCCTCCCGAACACGCTCGGGGCGCTGTGCTTGTCCCCGCTCGGTTTAGAACGCGTGAAGAACAGCCGCGCGTTTAACGCGCTCGTGATCGCGTTCACGACGCGGTCGTACTCGCGCGCGATGCAGGGGGACACGGCCAGCGTGATCGGCGGGAACATGGACGAGCTCTTGCGGCACGTCCCGGATCTGTTGGTACCGGGCGTGGGCGTCGCGTTGAACGTGCTCAGGCGGTTGGTCGACTTGGGCGGCGGCGACGCGGCGGCGTGCCGGGCAGCCGGTTCCCTAGATTTGAATGAAATCAAAGGGGCGTCCGAGGGAGCGGCGGCGACGAACGCGGCGATCGCGGGCGACGGGTACGCGCACGAGGTCGCGGACGGCGGCGACGGCGCGGCGGTGGGGAGCGAGCGCGGTGAGGCGCCGATGGACACGGACGACGCGCCGCCGACGGCGCCGACGACGACGACGACGACGCCGCCGACGACGACGACGACGACGACGACGACGCCGCCGCCGACGACGCCGCCGCCGCCGCCGCCGACGACGACGACGACGACGACGACGACGACGACGACGACGACGACGACGACGACGGTGAGCCCCGCGTTCTTCTCCGAGGCGATCGCGAACGCGGCGCGGCTGCTCGACAATATGCTCCCATCGAAGGACTGCGCGGAGGAGTTCAAAAAAGGCGGCGGGATCGAGCTCCTCGTGAAGCTCCACACGCTGCCGCTGTTGCCTTCGACGTTTTCGTCCTCCTCTGCGTGCCACGCGCTGTCCGTGACGATTCGGTCGCTGTGCGGCGTGCTCGAGGACGTGTCCGCGGTCGCGTATCGCGTGCAAACGGACCTCACGCGCGCGCTCGAACACGCGACCGAGTGCGCGGAGAACGTGTGTCATCACGAAAAGTGGGCGCTCCTCGCGTCCGGGGTCACGACGAGACCGAACGGCGACGTCGTCGTCCCGACGTCGAACGTCCCGCCCGACGGGCCGTACGACGAGTGGCATCCGACGCATATCGACCCCGAAGAGGTGCGGTCGCACGTCAACACGCGGTTGAAAGGCGTCGTGAAGCCGCTCGCGAACGCGGAGGCGCTGTTAGGTCTGAGCACCGCGCTGCTTCGCTCGTCCCCGCAATCGCTCCAGGAGTTGCTGTCGTACGACTCGTGGGACCGCGGCGAGCATTGGCGCCGCGGGGTCGTCTCGGGCGTGATGCGGTTACAACGCGCGACGGATTGGATCGTCAGCGCGTTGTCCGAGGGCGTCGAACGGAGGGAGGCGCACGAGAAGGCGACCGCCGCCGCGACCGCGGAGGCCGCGGAGGCCGCGGAGGCCGAGGGCGGCGTGGAGGCCGAGGGCGGCGCGGAGGCGGCGAAGATGGAGACGGAGACGCCAAAGGACGCGAAAGAAAAAGACGCCGCCGCCGCAAGTTGTCACACAGCAATTGATTGGCGAGCAGGTGAAATTGTTTCTGGACGTGTTGCGAAAGAAGAAGGCGACGCGAAGACGATGTCGTCGATCATACAAGCGTGCGCGCACTTCGGCGCGTCGTGCAACTACTTCTGCTCGTCCTTGTCCAAAGCCGCGGCGGGGTCGAAGCTGCGGAACCGCGAAGACCCCTCCAGCCCGGCGATGTGCCGAGCCGCGGCGTACGACCTCGCGATCGAACTCACGCAGACGCTTCGGGAGATGGCAGCCGGGGACGCGTTCATCGTCCGCGCCGCGGAGGTCGCGCCGTCGTGCGTGCCGTACCACGCGGCCGTGTTCCAGCGATACGTAGGTCTCATGATGGGGACGTTCAAGTCCGTGCTCATCGATCAGCGACGACGAAGCTGCCAGCCGTTGCTTCTGAATTACATCCGCTCGCTCGGCGGGTTCGGTTTACTGCGCGAAGTCTTCACGTTTTTGTGGACGAACTTCGAGAAGGTGTGCGCGGCCGCGGAGAGAGAGGACGGGGCCGGGTACACGTACACAGCGCAGCGCAGGTCAGTTCTTGGATCCCCCCAAGTCATCTACGAGGACGGCATCCCGTCGCACCACGTGAACCAGGTCCACGGCTCGCTGAAGTACTCCATGGCGCTGCTCGAGCAGCTGTTAAACGTCGCCGTGCTCGCGGGGTCGTCGAACGCCGGCGCGCTTCTCACGGCGAAGGCGCCGAAAATCGCGGACCCGGAAAATCTGATCACGGAATCGATGTCGATCGAGAAGATTCGTTGGAGGACGCTGCCCGCGTACGAGGAGGTGCTCGCCCCCGCGGCGAGCGCGCAGGCGTTCGCGAAGCACGTCCACGCGACGTTCGCGAAGAGCGTGATGCAGGCGTGGGAGTCGAAGTACCTGTCGCACTGCCCGGAGCAACCCGCGTCATCGCTCATGACCGCGCTGCAGCACCTCGGGGAGGGAACGTCGAAGGTCGCCGGCGGCGCGGGAGGCGGCCGCGCGACCGTGCCGAGCGCGGAAGCCGACGTTCAAGCCGCGATGCGGGGTCTTCACGACACTATGGGCGCGCTGGAGGGGTTGAACGCGGCGTTGGCCGCGCCGGCGGCGGCGCGGCCGCCGCCGCCGCCGCCGTTTTCGCCGTCGCCGGAGATGACGAGCTCGATCGTCGAGATGGGGTTCTCGCACGCGCAGGCGAGGGCGGCGTTAGTCGCGGTCAGAGGGCAGAGTATCGAGCTCGCGATGGAATGGCTGTTCACGCATCCGGAGCAGGCTGCGGAGGCGGACGCCGAAGCCGCCGCCGCGGAGGCGCCGACGGAGCCGCCACCGGCGGCGGCGGCGGACGGCGCGGAAGCGCCCGCGGCGGAGACGCCCGCGGCGGAGACGCCCGCGGCGGAGACGCCCGCGGCGGAGACGCCCACAGCGGAGACGCCCGCGGCGGAGACGACGACGTCGCCGCCGCCGACCGCGAGCGCGGACGCGGACGCGGACATGATGCGCGCGCTCGCGATGTCCATGGGCGAGGAGGAGGAGATCGAAGCCGCGGCGGAGAAGGAAAAGGCGGAGGACGAAGAGGCGAAGAAAGAGGAGAGCGCCCCCGCGAAGCCGCCGCCGCTTCCCGAGCCGCTCGACGTCGACCCGTCGTCATTACCCTCGCCCGCGGCGATGATCCCTCCGCTGTTGCGGCTGTCCGAGCGCAACGAAGCGATGGCTTTCGCGGGCGCGGATCTCCTCGTGAAGGCGTTTAAACGCGCGGACGGGGACGCACGGACCTCCGCGGTGCGCGCGCTCGTGCAAGCCGTGCGCTCGCAGAGCGCGCAGCTCAAGTACGGCGACGACGAGGAGACGCACGCGAAGCGCCTGTGCACGGCGGTCCATCTCCTCGCGCTGGTGCTCGTGGAAGACCCGGACGCGAGAGATCCCGCGGCGGAGGAGGACGTGGTGGACCTCGCGCTCGCGACGCTGGAGGAATTTCAAGCCGCGCGCGCGGCGGATCCCGAGACGGGGAAACCGAGCGACTGCGGGAAGGCGATGATGCCGTGGTGGGCGAGCGGGATGCTGCTCGTGCTCGACACGATGTCGCAGTGGCGCATGATCAACACGGAGGACGCGGCGGGCGACGGGAAGAAGGAAAAGGAGAACGACGCGGGCGGCGAGAAGGAGAAAGAGAAAGCCGCGGAGGATACGAAACCCGCCGAGAAGACGTCGCCCGCGAAAAAGCCGATCGCGGACGTCATCGGCGGCGACCCGGCGGGGTACCTCGACGAACCCTCGCGCGTCCGCGCGACGAAGCTGTGCGTGAACATCCTGCGACTCACGGAGAAGTACGGCGACGTCACCCCTGGGGTGACGATCGCGAGCGCGAGAACGTCGGACGCGGACGTCGGCGGCGTCCAAGCGGCGTTACAGCTGTTGTCGCACCTCACGCTGTCGCACGCGCGCGCGAAGCAAGTCTTAGACGCCGGGTGCTTACGGTTGCTTCTCGACCTTCCCGCGCGGTTCGCGTTCCCCGCGTACGACGCCCTCGCGGCGTCCATCTTACGGCACATCGTGGAGGACGTCAACACGTTACAGTCCGCGATGGAGGCGGAGATTCACGCCGCGCTCAGCGGGCCCGGGCACGCGCGCGGACGGACGACGATGCTCGCGGCGTTGTCGTCGCTGAGGCCGGTGATATCGCGCGATCCGGTGTGTTTCCTCGCCGCGATGGAGAAGTGCTGCACGTTCAAGGAGGTGGACGGGAGGAGGGTCATCTCGTTGAAGCCTCCGGGGGAGACGACGACGGGCGCGGCGGCGGCGGCGGCGGCGGCGGTGGCGGGCGGAAAGAAATCCGCGGACGGCAAAACCGACGCGTCCGCGCCTGCGGAGCAACCTCCCGCGGTCAAGAGCGCGAAACCGACGCAAAAGGTGAAGATCTCGTCCACGTTCATCGCCGTCATCGACGCGCTCGCGAACGCGGTGCTCGGGTACCCTCCCCCCCCGGCGGCGGATAAGGCGGCGGCGGACGAGACGCCCGCCGGCGAAGGCGCCGTCGCGATGGACGTCAACGGCGGCGACGCCGCGCCGCCCGCGGGGACCGCGCGCATCGGAGACACGAACGTCCCCGTCACCGCGCCGTCGCTCGCCGCGGTCCGCGCGTCGCTCGCGCTGAGGCTCCTGACGGACTTCACGCTCGTGTACTCCACCGCCGTGGGACAGATTTTACGGAAAGACGACGCGAAAGGTCTGCTCAAGCACGTGCTATACGCGCAGCTCCCCGCCGCGGGGGCGACCGTCGGCGGCGCCGGCGCGGTCGCGGAGAACCCCGGGTGGGACGGCGGCGAACGCGCGGCGTATCTCCTCCTCGCGATGTGCGTGCGTTCGCCGGAAGCGCGACGACGCGTCCTGAACGAAGTCTCCAAAGCCCTGAAAGCCGGGGACGCGACCGGCAACGAGGACGTCAAGCACGGCCCCGCGCGCGCGTTCGTGGACTTGATAAACTCGCTGCTCTCGCACTCGCCGAAGACGGCGTCGGGGGCGAAGTCCAACCTCTTCGCGGATCTTCAGCGCGGGATGAAAGAGGCGGACTTGCTCGCGGCGATGTGCGACGCGTTGACGCGGGTGGACCTGAACGACGCGTCGTCCCCGGATCTCGTGAACGCGATGTTGCGACCGCTGGAGGTGCTGACGCGACCGCAGACGGTCGTCGACGCGGCGAAGAAGAGCAAGGGAGAGGACGCGTCGGCGTCGGCGCGCGATGGGGATGGATCGGGCGGGGACGCCGGCGCCGTCGCGCCGACGGCGACGGCGGCGGCGGCGGCGACGACGACGACGACGGCGGCGGCGCCCGCGGCGATCGCGGAACCGCCGATCTCGACGCTGTCGCCGCGCGAACAAGCGCGCGCGCTCGGCGCGCAACTCGGACGCGCGGTCGCGAGAAACCCCGCGCCGTTCCTCGCGAGCGCGCAGGACGTCGGCGGGGACACGCCCGCGCACATGGCGCAGCTCGAGACGGTGGCGCACGAGATGTTCGACACGCTGATGGGCCAGCAGGACGGCGGCGGCGACGACGACGAGTCGGGCGAGGACGACGACTCCCTGGACGGCTCGGACGAATCCGGGGATTCCGAGGAGGAGTCTGGGGAGTCCGAGGAAGAGTCCGGGGAGGACGAGTCCGAGTCCGAGGGCGACGAAGACGACATCATGGACGAGGAAGAGCACGAGGATGATGGCATGATGGTCCACGACGACGACGGCGACCACGACGATCACGACGAAGAAGCCGAGGACGAGCACATCGAAGGCGACGAAGAGGCCGCGATGGAAGAGGAGGAGGAGGAGGAGGAGGAGTGGGAGGAAGAGGCTGAGGACGGCGAAGACGCGTTCGACGAAGACATCGAGGTCGAGGAACCGGAAGGGTTCGAGTTTAATTTCGGCGGGCGCGGCGGCGGCGGCCACGGAGGCTTCGGCGGTCACCCCGCCCCGGGCGAGGACGACGAAAACGACGTCTACGACGACGACGACGGCGAGGATGGCGGCGGGCACGGCGCGAGAACCGCGGACACCATCGCGACCGAGCTTCAGAGCATCATCGCGAACGCGGTCGGCGCCAGCGCCGGCGCCGGGGGTCAGCCCCCGATCGTGGAGCTTCGCGTCGGCGGCGGCGCCGGCGGGCGGCTGCGGGATTTAGTCTTGCAAACCGGCGCCGGCTCCGCCATCTTACGCGCGCCCGTCGGGCTCGACGCGCACGGCATCGGACGGACGCTCGGCGGCCGCGCCGCCGGCGGCGGCGGCGGGCACGAGTTCGGCGGCGGCGGCATCTTGACCGACATCTTCTCGCTCAGGCGATCGTTAGACGAGGCGAGTCGACGCGCCGCCGCCACCGGGGGCAGCCGCGCCGGGAGGCACGCCGCCGCAGCCTCTGCCGCGGAGGCGGTCGAGACCGCCCTCGCCGGCGGCAGCGGCAGCGGCCTCGGGTCGCTGCAGCACCCGATGCTCGTCCGCCCCACCGGCGACGGCGTCGACGCGAACGCGGAGCACCCGCGTTCGGGGGGCGCGAGAGGCGCGCGCGGCCGCGACGCGCCCGCGGCGTCGATTCAAAACGTGTTGTCTGGAATCTCGGGCGAGATGTCCCGGCTCGCGGTCGCGCCCGGCGGCGCGACCGCCGGGCGCGATGGCGCCGGTGGCGCGCCTCGCATCGCCGCGATCTCCCGCGGCGGCGCCGGCGGGTTCGTCATCCTCCCTCCCACGGAGTCCTTGGGGTCGCTGCTGCGGATCGAACGAGCGGACGGTCGATCCGGCGGCGCCGGCGGCGCCGGCGGCCGCGGAGGGATATCCGTCGGCGACGCGCGGGCTTCGACATGGTCGAACGTCGGCGCCGCCGACGTGGGGCACGCGCCGCTGGGCTATCTGGAGCAACATCTCGCGACGGTTCTCGAGCCGACGCCGTCGCGGACGCCGGCGGCTCCCTCGGAGCCCGCCGCCGCGGCTCCCGCGGAGACGCCCGCGGCGGCGCCGACGCCGGCGCCGGTGCCCGAGCCCGAGCACGAACCCGAGCCCGACGTCGAGATGACGCCCGTGGAAGCGGCGCCGGTTCCGGAACCGGCACCAGAACCGGCACCGGCACCGGCACCGGCACCAGAGGAAGCGCCCGTCCCCGCGCGCGCTGAGGAACCGCAACCGCCCGCGGCGAACGCACCGGACCCCCCCGCGTCTGAGATTCAACCCGCGCCGGCGGAGGAGGAACCACCCGAGGAGGACGAGAGCATCGACTCTGAGTTCCTCGCCGCGCTCCCCGCGGATCTGCGCGAGGAGCTCCTCGCGACGAACCGCGCGATCGCGCGGCTGAACACGTCCGACGTGTCCACGCCGCAGGGCGGCTCGCCGACCGCGGCCGGAGGACCGAGCGGCGTGAACCCCTTCACGCCGATCGACCCGTCGTTTCTCGCCGCGCTGCCGCCGGATATGCAAGCCGAGGTGGTGCATCAGCAAACGCGCGAGGTTCGCAGGCACTGGCAGGAGCACGCGCAGCGCGCGCGGGAGGCTGCGACCGCGGCGGCGCGTGCCGCGGCGGCAAACGACGGCATGCCCGACCCCGCGCGCGTGCAGGCGGCGAGGGACACGCAGGTGGCCGCGGCAAACGCGGAGATGATGGCGGAGTGCGTCGGCGCCGCGATGCCCTCCGCCGGCGCCGGCGCCGCGGCGGACGCGGACATGGACGCCGCGTCCGTGATAGCGACGTTCCCGGAGGAGCTTCGACAGGAAGTCCTCCTCTCCGCGGACGCCGCGACGCTCGCGGCGCTGACGCCCGCGCTCCAAGCCGAGGCCGCGGCGCTCCGCGAGCGTCACGCGGCGCGGTACCGCCAGAGCGCCAACGCGCGCGCGGCGCAAGCCGCCGCCGCCGCCGCCGCGGAGCAAGAGCAAAACGAAATTGAAGAAGAAGACGACGACGAGGCTGCGCACGCGGCGGCGAACTTCACGCGGCAGCTGCGCTCGATGCTTGGCTTAGGCCCGGCCAGAGGCGCCGGCGGCGGGGGACGAGACGGCAACGGGCGCGACAGCAGGCGGTTCATGGACCGCGTCGCGTTGTCGCGAACGACGCCACACGCGCTCGTGAACCGCGCGAACCTCGCGACGCTGGTTCGTCTGCTGCGCGTCGTCCCGCCGCTCGCGAAGAGCGCGCTGCCGAAGGTTTTGTTGAACCTCTCCGCGCACGTCGGGACGAGGGACGCGACGTTGCGGGCGTTGCTCGCGACCGTGCGCGCCGCCGTGGACGCGGACGCCGGCGCGCCCGGCGCCGCCGGCGTCGGCAAACTCTTCGGAAAGGACGTGCACGTCATCTGCGCGCAGCCGGACGCGGCGGCGCGTCTCATCGCGCGCCGCGCGCTCGAGACCGCGGTGTTCATGGCGCGGAACTCATCCGCGGTCGCGACGCGGATCACCGCGCTCGGGGTCACGCGAGACGCGGCGTCGGACGTCGTCGCGCACGCGGCGGACCCCCGCGCCGCGACGGGCGTCATCCTGGACGACGTCGGCGAGAACGACGCCGCGGACGCCGCCGCGGACGGGCCAGACAACGCGCTGTTGCTTCTCCTTCGATGCGCGGGGTCGCCGTCGTTCGCGCAGCACGTCGCGAACCTGGAATTGACGCTGCACTTGGTCGAGTACGTCCTGAAGTCGTGCAACGCGATGCGAGGAGTGGACGCCGCCGCGGTGAAGGAGGACGTCGCGCACGCGGAGAAGAAGAGGAAGGAGAAGGAAAAATCCGCCGCGGAAGCCGCGGACGCGCCGCCGTCGCCGCGGAAGGAAGGCGGCCCGGATAAGAGGCACAAAGCGAGATGCACGAAGAAGACGCAGACGCCGTACGATCGCGTCGCGCTCGCGCTCGCGAACGCGCCGCCGACGACGCTGTCGTCGCTCGCGAATCTTTTAGGAAGAGACGGTCAGACGGAAGTGACGTACGCACGCGCGCGTTCCGTGCTCATGCTTCTCGCGTACGTCGCGCCGGAGTACCGCGAGACGATCGTGGACGTGCTCACCGCGCGCGCGAGCGAGCGCAGAGACGACGCGGTGAAAGCGCTCGAGTCCGTGAGCGCCGCCGCCGCCGCCGCCGCCGCGACGGGCGAGGACGTCGCGAGCCACCTCCCGACGACCGCGGCCGCGGCCGGCGCCGCGATGCTCCGCCTCGTGCACGCGACGGAGGAGCTCCTGTGGTACAACGACTTGGAAGAGGAACGCGCGGAGATGCTCGCGCTCGGCGAGGTCCGAAATCGACGAATCGCGCGCGCGCGAGCGGAGGGCGTCGACGAGGAGGAGCTCGACGCGATCGAGATGTTCCCGGCGGAGAAGACGCCGGAGGAGAGAGAAGCGCGCGCGCTCGAGGTGAAGCGCGAGCGGGGGAGAGCGCTGCAGGCGTTCGCGGAGACGCTCAACCCGGTGTGGAGCGCGTTGTCCTCCGCGGCGACGGCGCTGGAGCCGTCGATCCGCGAGGCGTCCGCGGCGGCGGCGGCGGGCGGCGCGGGCGGCGGCGGCGCCGCCGCGCCATCGTTGCCCCCGGGCGCGCGGCACATCCTTCCCGTCCTCGAGGCGTACTTCGCGCTCGCCGCCGCGGTCAGCGACGCGTCGAAGCGCCCCGCGCCCGGGGCGAAGATATCTAATATCCAATACCCGATGATACCCGAGGGCGCGCCCTCCGTCGGCGGCGGCGTGCGCGCGCCGACGGCGGCGGCGCCCGCCGCCGCGGCGACGGCGGCGGCGGACGACGAGCGCGCGACGTTCGGGCTCGCGCGCGTCGCGTCCCCCGCGTTCGCGCTCCTACGCACGAGCTCCCCCGCGCCGTGGGCGGACGCCGGGGGCGGGCTCGGCGGGTCCGGGTCCGGGTCCGTCGCGCCGTCGCCGTCGCAGCCGTCGCGGCCGCCGAAGCACGCGACGGAGAACGGCGTCGGCGACGCGGCGAGCTTTTGGAATTTCGCCAACAAGCACCGCGCCGTCGTCAACGCGCTCGTGCGGACGCAGCCGTCGCTGCTGGACGACTCCCTGCGTCTCCTGCTTGAGAAGCCGCGGCTGATCGACTTCGATAACAAGCGGTCGCACATCCGAGCGAAGCTGAAGAATCTCGCGGAGAGCGAGCCGCGGACGGGGCACCACGGCGGCGTGCGCGCGACCATCAACCGGAAGCAGGTGCTCATGGACTCGTTCACGCAGCTGCAGCATCTGAAACCCGCGGAGATGCGCGGGCGGCTCACGATTCAGTTCAGCGGCGAGGAGGGCATCGACGCGGGCGGTCTGACGCGCGAGTGGTACATCCTCCTCGCGCGAGAGATGTTCAACCCCGGGAACGCGTTGTTCGAGCTGTCTCCGTCCGGGGACCAGTCGTACCAGCCGTTCTCGAACAGCAGCGTGAACGACCATCACCTCGCGTATTTTAAATTCATCGGAAGAATCGTCGGCAAGGCGGTGTACGACGGGCACCTCATGGACGCGCACTTCACGCGGCCGTTTTACAAGCACATGCTCGGCATCCCGCTGAACTACGAGGACATGGAAGCGTTCGACCCGGACTACCACCGAAACTTGGCGTACATGCTCGAGCATCCGCTCGCGGAGAGCGGCTTGGATCACCTCACGATGACCGCGACGACGATGTGGTTCGACGTCGAGGAAACCGTCGATCTCGTTCCGGACGGCGCGAACGTCCCGGTCACGGACGAGAACAAGCTCGAGTACGTCAACTTAGTCACCGCGCACAAGATGACGAACGCGATCAAAGACCAGATCGGCGCGTTCACGGAGGGATTCAACGACATCGTCCCGCACGACGTGCTCGCGATTTTAAACCCGAGCGAGTTGGAGCTCTTGATCTCCGGCACGCCCGAGATCGACATCGAGGATCTGCGCGCGCAGACGGAGTACACCGGGTACACGCCCGCGTCGCCGCAGGTGAGGTGGTTCTGGGACGTCGTCCGCGATCTGAACGACGAGGACCGCGCGCGTTTGCTCATGTTTTGCACGGGCACGAGCAAGGTGCCGCTGGACGGGTTCAAGGCGTTGCAGGGCATCAGCGGGCCGCAGCGGTTTCAGATACACAGGGCGTACGGCGGCGGGCAGAGGCTGTGCAGCGCGCACACGTGCTTCAACCAGCTCGATCTGCCGGAGTACGCGAACAAGGAGGAGCTGCAGGAGCGGTTGCTGTTCGCGATCAGGGAAGGAAGCGAAGGGTTCGGGTTCGGTTAAAGAGAAGGAACCCGAGAGGAGAGACGATACGAAAAGAGAAGAACACCAGCCTTTTAATCTCGTGATGACGAGATGCATTCATTCGAATCGGTCGCGTCGTTCTCGCGCGCGTGACGTGTGTTCAACTACGAAGTTTTTTCATTTAAACGTGTCGGGGCCTTCGTCCGTCTGTTTTTTCTCCCTCCCTTCGCCTCTCAATCAAATCAATCCAGCGCAATCATCAATCGTTTCGAGCGTCGTTGGCCGCGTCCGCGCCGCTCACTCCCCGAGCTTCTCCGGGGGATCCTCGTCGTTGTCATCCGCGGTCGGCGCGACCCCCGTGCCGGTCCCCGCGCCGTGCTGGTTCTTTTGCGACAACCCGGACACGATGTCGTCGATCCTGAGCAACATCGCCGCGGACTCCACCGCGGTTTTGATGCTCTGCACCTTGACCGCGTACGGCTCCCAAATCCCAAGCTCTTTCATGTCCACGATGGTCCCTTTGTTGCCGTCGATGCCAAACGTGCACGCGTGGCCGCCGGTGCTCTCCTCCGTCGCCTCCGCGTGCTTCGCGCGGAGCTTCGTGAGCGTGCGAATGACGTTCGCGCCGCAGTTTTGCGCGAGCGTCCTCGGGATGACCTCGAGCGCGGTGCCGACCGCTTTAAACGGCCACTGCTCGACGCCTTGAATCTTCAACGCTTCCTCGGTGATCGCCCTGGAGACCGCCATCTCGACGGCGCCGCCGCCGGGTAAGAGACGCGGGTCGTGCACGACGTTCCTCGCGACGCCCATGGCGTCGTGAAGGTTCCTCTCGACCTCGTTCAGGGTGTCCCTGGACGCGCCTCTCAGGATGATCGAGCACGCCTTCGGGTCCTCGCAGTCGACGAAAAACGCGAAGAACTCCTCGCCGAGCTTCTCAACCTTGAACAGCCCCGCTTTCGTGCCGATGTCTTCCTCGCGGTACTCCTCGACGCGGTGCACGATCGTCGCGCCCGTCGCGCGGGAGATCCTGTTGTTATCCGTCTTCCGCACTCGGCGCAGCGCGGTGATGCCGGCTTTGCACAGGTAGTGCGTGCACAAGTCGGACAGACCCTTCTCGGTGACGACGATGTCCGGCTTGAACGACGCGATCTGCGCGCAGACGCCCTGGATCCACTCCTCCTCCATCTTGAGGAGCACCGCCCAGTCCTCCTCTTTCGTGATCTCGACGTTGGTCTGGTTCTCGCCCTTTTTGTACTCGAGCGGGCAGTCCAGCAGCATCACGCGCGGGTTCTCGATCCTCCGCGACATCCGCCCGGGCGCCACGACGTCCTTGTTCATCATCACGCCCTTCAGGACGCGGCAGTCGTCGATGGACCCGCCCGCGATCTTCTCGATCTTCGCGTACTTCTTGATGTCCACCTCCTTGGTGCCGTCGCCGTTGTCCACCGCCACGCACATCACCGCGTCCAACGCGAGGTTAGCCATGAGCGGGCCGAACCTCGACGTGTACTTGGTGCCGATGCACGACGTGACGATGTTCATGAGCTGATCGCGGTCGTTGACGTCGATCGGGAACGACAGGTCGTCGATGATCTTCACCGCGGCGTCGAGCGCCTTCATGTACGCGCGGACGATGACCGTGGGGTGAATGTCCTTCTCGAGAAACGGCTGCGAGAGGTGGAGGATCTCGCCGGCGAGAATGATGACCGACGTCGTGCCGTCGCCGACTTCCTCGTCCTGGGTCCTGCTGAGCTCGATCATGGACTGTCGTCGTGTGGCGGTGGTGGGGGGCGGCGACGCGGTCAGCGGTCGATTTCTGAGGACGAGAGAAGACGATCGATCGAACGAACGAACGAACGACCGATCGATTTCTTTCGGTTTTGAACGTCGTTCGTCGAGCGCGCGACGACGTTGAGAAACGGACGGTCGGTTGTCTGCGCGCGACGCGCGATCCGCGCTGAAGGGGGGACGCGCACCTTCGCCGCGGGGTGCGTCACGTCGATCTCGCGGAGGATCGCGTTGCCGTCGTTCGTCAGCACGATGCCTGATGACGTAGGGAAGGAGCGGGGGGGAACGGAACGGCGGCGGTCAACGATCGATGTCGGATGGCGCGCGATCGATCGGATCGCGCGGAAAAAGTCCCCGAGCGAGTCGTCGCCGACGAACATCGTCGCGGATCGGCGCGCGCGGCGAGGGACGCGATCGCGTCGCGGGGGGACTCGACGCACCGCCGGACGCGTCGAGGATCATCTTGAGCATGGACCTGGGCCCGAGCGTCGTGCGGATGACGTCCGCGACAGCCTGTGAACGCGAGGGAGGACGCGGGGTGCGGCGCGGTCGGCGACGAGATCTCGCGAAGGCGGCAGAAGCGGAGGCGATCGAACGACGTTGAAAAGAAGATGGATGGATGGATGCCGCGCGACGACGAAGGTTGACCGCCGCGCGCGGGGGAGACGTTCGCGTTCGACGCGCACCTTCGCGGCGGCGATATTATTCAGCTGCGCCGTGCGACCGGTCTCGCGCTTGGTGTTGGTGTCTGCGGAGAGAGGGGGGTGGGATCGGCGTCAGGACGCGCGCGAGGATGCGACGACGAATACGAAAAAAAAGCGCGGAGACGACGATGAAAGACGCGAAGGGATGGTTGGGATTCGCACGACGCGCGCGCGGAGATCGAGGTCGGGAGGATCACTCACTCATCACCATGATGGGGCTTTGCATGCCCTGCATCTTGAGCGGAGTTCAAACGATCTCGACTCCTTCTTCGCGGGTGGCCTTCGCGCGCGTGCGAGGCGAACAGTGTTGATGAGGCGAGGGGAGCCGTCGTTTTCGTATTTTTCCCCGCGCGCTCGCTCAGCACGCCCTGCCACGCGCGTTTGGCGCCATTTTTTCGCAAGAACAAATTGCGAGACCCGGACCACGTCCCCGGAGCGCGTCCATCACTCGCCAAGGCGCGACGGTCGTCGCCGCCGGCCACGATGGGCGACCCTCGCAACTCACTGTGGTACTACGTCGACGCGGACCCTTCGGATCCCGCGGACCCGGTGAAGCAGCGCGGCCCCGTGACGCTCGTCGAGCTCAGAGGGCTGTGGCGATCGCGCGCGATCGATCGCGAGACGTTCGCGTGGTGCGACGGCATGGACGACTTCAAGCAGGTGAGCCATCTCCCGGAGCTCGCGGCCGCGCTCAAGGTGCCGCTCCCCGCGGACACGGCGAACAGCGCGCGCGCGGGCGCGTCCGTCGCCGGGCGCGGCGGCGACGGCGAGCTCGATCGATCGAAGATGTGGAAGACGAAAGACGCGAACGGAGACGTCGTCGGGCCGGTCGCGTTCGACGCGCTGAAGACGTGGTGGGACTACGAGCAGATCGACGAGGGCACGGAGGTGTGGACGAGCGGGATGCGCGCGTACGCGCCCGTGCGCGACGTCCCCGCGCTGTTTAAGGCGCTCGCGTTGGGAGGCATCGGAGCCGCGATCGGATCGAGGGTCAGGGTCAGGGTCGACGACGGAACCGGACGCGACGAGGAAGCGTCGGGGGGCGTCGGCGTCGACGCGCGGTATCACCGCGAGAAGAACGACGACGTGCTCGCGGCGATGGCCGAGCTGTTGAACGACGGGCGGCGCGTCGGCGCCGGCGGCGCGCCCGCGGCGTTCGTCGCCGCGGAGCCCTACCCCGCGGCGGCGGCGCCGGCGACGGCGACGTCTCTGCGAACGCGCGCGGCGGAGCCGCAGAGCCCCGCGGACGCGCTCGCGGCGATCATGCGACGCCACCGGGTCGACGCGACGCCCACGCGGCGCCCCGCGGTCGCGACGCCCGCGTCGACCCGCGCCGCGAGCGTCGGGATGGAGGACCCCGCGGCGAAGACGCGTCTGTCGTTCCCCGCGCCGCCGCCGCCGCCGCCGCCGCCGCCGACGACGACGACGACGGCGACGGCGACCGGCGCGGGCGCGTTCGTCGACCCCGACGGAGGCTCGATGCTGCGCAAGATCGCGGACATGTGCGGCGCGCTGAAGGACGAGATGGCGTCGCTCGAGAACGAGTACGCGTCGAGACGAGCGACGCTGCACGAGGAGCACGCCAACGCGCACGCGGCGCTCGAAGCGCAGGCGCGTTCTATACACTGGTCCCCATACGACCCCGTCGGCGTGGTGAACGCCGATCCTTAAGGACTTTTCCCGGCGTGTCTCTCCGCCCATCTCACGCTTTCAATCCCCGCCCTCGACGCCTTTCAACTCCAACTGACGCCTTTGAACTCCACCCCGACGTCGCTTTGTATGGAACGACCCGCAGTTGCGAGAGACGGAGGAAAAACTCGCCGCGCGACGCGACGAGCTCGACGAGACCATCGCGGCGACGCGAAGAGAGCGCGACCGCGTCCTCGACGACCGCCGCGAGCTCGAGGCGATCGTGTCGGACGCGAGCAAGGTCATCGCGGACGCGTCGCGCGCGGATACGAGAGAGAAGGCGATCGCGGAGCGCGAGCGCGCCGCCGCGGAGACGGAGTCGACGCTCGCCGCGGCGGGGCACGAGCTCGCCGCGCGCGAGCGACGCTGCGACGAGCTCGAGCGTCGATGCGCGAGCGACCGCGCGGCGCTGAACCGCCGCGCCGCGGACCTGGACGCCGAGTTCGACGCGTGCGCGGCGGCGACGCACGCGCTGAAGCTCGAGAAGGAGAAGGCGGCGGCGGAGATCAAACGCCGCGCCGCCGCCGTGGAGGAGCGCGAGATGCGATTGGACGGCGACGTGCGCGCGTTCGAGGCGGCGCGCGCGGCGCAGCTCGCGCGCCTCGCGGACGACGAGAACAAGGTGCGCGAGCACGCGGACGCGCTCGAGCGTCACCGCGAGCTGCACCGCGAGATGCTCGAGGCGGACCGCGAGGCGGTTCGACGCGAGCGCGACGCCGTGGAGGCGTTGCGAGCGAAAACGAACGACGAGAGACGACGCGGCGAGCGCGACGAGGAGAGGCGGCGGCTCGCCGCGGACCACGCGGCGGCGGCGGCGGCGACGACGACGACGACGCCTGGACCTCTCGGGGGCTTCGGCGCGACCGCGGCGGCGGCGACGGCGGCGACGGCGTCGGCGACGGCGTCGCGGTACGGCGCCGCGGCGACGCGCGCGGCGTCCGCCGCGGGCGCGGTGCTCGTGCCCGTGTACCGCGGCGGTTTACCCGAGGACGGCGCGCGGAGGGAGGGCGACGTCGCGTTGGGCGCGGGGACGACCGTCGGGAGCGTCCGCGCGACGCTCGCGAGTCGGTTCGGGCTGCCGCCGGGGTTTACGATGCGGCGGCGGCGGTCGCCGGTGTCGGCGGAGCACGACGGGAGGTTGGCGTCGGATTTCTTCCGGGGGTACGACGACGCCATCGTCGTGATGGACTGACGACGCGAGCGGACGACGGGGCGGAGGGTTCGTTCCACTCGTAAAGTTGTAACGGTCGCGTTCGCATCCTTCCTCGAACGCGCGTGCCCCCGGTTCCCCCCCCCCCTCCCTCCACCGGACGTTTTCGTGGAAGGAGGTGCACGTGTACGAGTACCTGTCGCTGTCTCGAGAAAAATATTTTCGTCGCCCTCCCTCATTCTCTCCTCGCGCGGTCCTCGCGACCATGATGCGCGTCGACGAACACGCGTAGCCCGCGCGGATAGACCTCCCCGTCTCTGGATGCCGTTCCAAGTCGGCGGCACGAAGAAAGGCGCGCTCCCGGTCGTCACGGAGAAGCGCCCGCGAGGGAAGGTCGTGACCGTCATCCGCAACATAAAGGGCGACAAGGATGAGCTCACGAAGCTCCTGAAGACCGCGCTCGGGACCGGCGGGCACGAGATCGCGCACGACACGATCGAGGTCCAGGGCGACCACGCGGCGAAGATCCAAGGGCTGTTGCTCAAGCATCAAGCGAGCACGGGCGTCGCGACGATGAAGGGCGTCGCGGGATTGAACCCGAAGCCACGAAAACCGTCGAACGCGTCGGCGACGAAATCATCGGAGGACGAGACGACGCGGCGCGAGGCGAGGACGACGTCGCAGGAGACGCTCGCGGCGCAGAAGCAACGTCGCGCGGAGTCGAGACAGCGCGCGATCAAGGAAGCGATCGACGCGAAGGTGGAGAGCACGCGTCACTTCCACGCGTTCGCGGCGATGATGAAACGCTGGCGATACTGGGATCACGACTACGTCAGGCTGCACGAGTTGCATCACAGACATCTGGAGGAGCTGGACGAGGCCGCGCGGTCGGGGCGCGCGCGCGGGGTCGCGTCCGTCATGGACGCGGACGCGGACGCGGACGCGGACGCGGACGGCGGCGGCGTGCGGAGGAGCGAGGTGTTGGACGACGTCGCAACACGAGCGTTGGCGGGGACGTCCGCGCCGCGCGACCAAACCGCGGCGCTGAGGGCGCTGGGGATGATCGCGGAGCCGTCTCCGTTTCGACAGTCGCGCGAGGAGCGCCTCGCGGAGTCGCGACGGAACGCGGCGAGAGCGAGGGCGGCGAAGGCGTCCGGCGGCGGCGGAGGCGGCGGCGGCGGACCGGCGCCGCCGGTTAAGCCGCGCGCGTGGGACCCGGCGCTCGCGGCGCTCGGAAGGTACGCCGACGACGACGCGTTCCCTTCAGCGGCGGGGGAAGCGAACGCGTCGTCGACGGCGCCGCCGATGACGAGGGCGTCCACGTCCACGTCCACGTCCGCGCGGGGGAGCCGGCGCCCTGCGACGATCGGACGCGCCGGGAGAGGAGCCGGCCGCCGCGCCTCCGGCGTCGGCGCGCACGGCAAGGGCGATCCGTCGCGGCCGACGTTGGGGTTCACCGCGGCGCGTAAACGCGGCGGCGGGCACGGCGACCGCGCGGACGCGCTCGACGACGAGTACGACGACGACGACGCGTCCGGCGACGATGACGAAGATGTAGAAGACGATCCGGAGGTTCAGCCCTTCTCCCCCGGATTCCGCGCGGCCGCGGGCGGCGGGTTCACGTTCGGTCCGATCGTCGGCGCGGAGGAAGAGACGACGCGCGACGACGACGACGACGACGACGACGCGGACCGCGAGGACGAAGAGATGCGCGAGGCGATGCGTCTGAGTCTCCTCGAATCCGAGCGACCGAGTCGTCGTCGCGGTGCGAGCGTCGGTCTGCACGTCGAGTGCGACGACGTGTGGGGAGACCTCACGGAAGAGGAAGCGTTCGCGCTGGCGATCGAGTTGAGCGCGCTCGAGGACGACGCGCGCGCGCGCGAGGAGGAATGGGAGACGTGGGAAGGCGAAGGCGGCGAATTCCGCGGGGAGATAGAATACGGCGGCGAGATCGAAGAGGTCGTCGACGACGACGAGGAGGACGCCGACGCGAGCGATCCGCTCGCGAGACTGACGCGCGTGTGCGGCGGCGACTCAAACTCCGCGCGCGCGCTCGCGGACGTCACGACGTCGATGGCGACCGCGGAGGAAGCGGCGGCGCTGTTGAGCGACCTCACGGGGTGCGACGCGAGCGCGGCGTTGGAGATCGCGACCGCGATTCGCCGCTCGCGGGTAGGCTTAGAAGAAGTAGAGGAGAAAAGGGAGGAGAGGAGGGAGGAGGAAGAGGAGGAGGAGGGAAAAAATGTAGCCCTAGACTCCGCGGGCGTGATGCCCGATTCCATGGACGAAGACGCGGCCCTGGAAGAGGCGCTTCGGTTGAGCGCTTTGGAGACGGGCGGCGGCGGCGGCGATGATGTGTTGTCTTGGGCGGGCGCGCAGCTCGCGACGTTCACGGGCGAGGACGACAACGCGTTCTTAGCGGAGTACTTGCTCGCGATGGACGACGCCGCGGACGTGGAGACGTTCCTCGTGGAGAGCTTCGGCGACGGCGCGGCGAGAGAAGCGAAGAGCTTTTCGCGCGCGTTGAAAATGCAGCGATGAATGAATGCTTAGACTAGTTCACCGGCTACTACACTATGTCCTTCTCAATCGTCCTCCGCGTCGTTCTCGACGGTCCCGCCGAGGCGCTCGAACTCGGCGTCGACGTCTTCGATCTCGTCCTCGTCCGCTTTCGCCGCCTCCGCGGATTCCTCCGCGTCGACGACGTCCAGCGCCGCCGCCGCCGCCGCAGCCGCAGCCGCCGCGGTCTCCTCGTCCTCCTCTTCCGTCGGCATCTCCCTGTGCACGCGCCCGCCCTCCGCGGGCAGCGCCTCGATCGAGATGATCGCGCCGCTCGTCGTCCCGATCAACGCCCGGTTCACGTTCTCCCGGACGACTAAACTCCGGAACCCGTCTTGGTGTCGAAACGAGCTGTACGTCGCGCCCGACCAGTCCGGGGTCCAGACGAGGAGCTCGCCCTCGGTCGAGATGGACAGAAGGTGACCGGAGGTCAGCGTCCGCATCGCGATCACGGCGCCGTCGTGACCCTTCAGAACCGCGATCAAATCGTCGCTCGTGTCCGGTCGCGTCCCCGCCTCCGCGGTCAAGGACGCGTTCACGACCGCGGCCAAGTTCCAGACGCGAATCGACGCGTCTTCGCCGCCGCTGAACAGCGTCCTCGCGTCGGACGACAACGCGAGAGACGTCACCGCTTCGTCGTGCCCTATGAACGACGCCATGAGATCGTTCGGCGCGCGCCACACGCGCACGATTCCGTCGTTCCCCGCGGTGACGAGCTCCGAGCCGTTATCCTGACGCTCGATCGGCGTAGCACCGCCGGCGGTCTCGTCCGCGGCGTCGTCCGCGTCGTCGTCCCCGGCGGCGGCGGCGGCGTCGACGCGGTCGTCCTCCGCCGCCGCCGCCGCGATGCCGTCGACGAGATCATCCGCCTCGAACGCGACCATGGCTAATATTTCCTTCAGGTCGCCCTCGTGCGCGTTCCACGACTTCAAAAACCCCGGCGCGCTGTACCGCGTGTGCTTCACGTTCCAAATCACGACGCGGCCGTCGAACCCTCCGGTGGCGCAAATTTCATTCAGCTTGCTCCCGCCGCCTTCCATGACGCAGCAGCACGATATCGAGTCATCGTGCGCGAGTTTTTCGTCGAACAACCGCACGGACTGCCCGCTCTCGACGCCCCACACCCTCAACGACCCGTCCGTCATCCCCGTGACGATCTTTTTACTCACGCCCGCGTACGTCATGCACGCGATCTCGGCCCGCTCGCCGCGCGGCGGCGGCGGCTCCTCGAACGTCCGAACGCACGCCAGGTCCCACGTGTCCCACTGCCGAATCGTGTAATCCAACGACGCGGAGAACACGCGCTCGGCGTCGTCGACGACGCCGACGTCCAACGCGATCACCTCGCCGTGGTGCATCCCCCCGTGCCCGCCTTTGATCGTGCGGTAGTCGCTCTCGCGCGTGACTTTCACCGCTTTGATCGCGCCCGCCGGCGTCGCGACTAAGACGTCGTCGCCGCCCGGCCACAGCGCGAGATCCACCGCGGGGATGTTCGCCCCGAGCTTGACGTCGTCTTCCGCGGTGACGCACACCCCGGTGACGTGCGCGTCGTAAACGACGTGCTCGGACGGAACGTTCCACACCATCAGCGCGCCGGCTTCGTCCACGACGAAGACTTGCCGCTTCTTCGCGTCGTATCGCATCGCGCGGAACACATCTCGGGTTTTGTTTCGAACGACGTGCAGGCACGTGCCGTGCCGCGCCGGGCCGACGTCGTACACCCGAAAGCAGTTATCGTACGTCAGCGCGAACACGGTCTTCTCCTCCGCGATGTAGAGCATGGAGACGACGCCGCGCTCGCCGAGCACGGGCTTGAACGGGACGCGTCCTCGGTTCTCATCCGCGGAGAAGTCCATCCCTCCGGGTTTCGACTTGTCCAGACGCGGCTTGAAACACGAGAACGCGCCGGTGGAGTCGCCCGCGTACACGGTCCCGACGTCGCCGACGTCCGTCGTCGCGTCGAAGCACACCGCGGTGATCCACCCGGGGCTGTGCCCGAGCGTGCGTTTTAAATCGAAGCACGGGTACCTCGCCGCGGCTCTGCCGGGGGGTTTCTTCCCCGGCCCCCACAAGCGGTACGTGCCGTCCGTGCTGCCGGTCACGAGGCACGGCCCCGCCTGCGTCATGCACGTGATCGTTCCCGTGTGCCCGTGGAGTCTCTGCACGCACTTGTTGTCCATCTTCGTCGGGTCCCAGACTCGGCCGCCGGCGTCGACGCCGCCGCTGACGAGGACGCCGCTGTCGAACCTCCCGTCGGATCTGCTCCCGTCGAGCGCGAGGAGCGTCGTGACTTTGGACGCGTGTCCGGTCATCGTTTCGAAGTCCACGGTGAAGACGACGTCGCCCTCCACGCGGAGCTTCCAGAACGCGATCGCGCCGTCCTCTCTGTTGGGCGGTGCGAGCGAGGGGAGCGGGGTCAGCGGACGACCATGACAGAACGCGCGTTGCGTTCCTAAATCGGGTGCCGAAATCTGTTCCACCGCGCGCGGTCGAGCGGTCCGACCGAACGCGACTCGCGACGCGTCTCTCCGCGCGGACGGCGACGAACTCGCGGACGCGCGCGTGGGGATGGAAACGCGGACGCGAGACGTACCTTCCCGCGAACACCGCGGGGAACTGCGGCACGAGCGTCACGCACGTCAGCTTCGGATGCCTCGAGCCGAGATCGACGCCTTCCACGCGCACCTTCCGCGTCCGCGGGTTGTGCGCGCTCGGGACGACGAGGTCGAACGCGGGCGTGACGTCCAGCTGGACGTCGTCCACGTCGTCCATCGCGGCGGCGACGCGGACGCGTGAAGGCGCCCGGGACGCTCGCCGCGCCCCCTGCGCCGAAGGGTGTGATGAGCGGATTTCTCTCGCTCTTCAGGGCCGTTCCATACAAAAACAGTTCTCCGGTCAGTTGAAAGGGGACGCGATCAAATGTTGAAACCGGACAATGGGTGAAAAACTTTTGTATAGAACGCACCTCAGCTGGTGTGGGCAGTTCAGAAAGCGCGGATTTCGGCATTCCCGAGAGCGCCGCGCAGCACGATGCTCGCGCGGGCGGTGACGACCGCGGCGACCTTCGGGTTCCGCGTCCATCCCCCCGTCCGGCACCTCCACGTCGCGACGAGAGCGCTTCGACCGGCCGGTTCCAGACCGCGATCGCGCGCGCACTGCGCGTCGTCCCTCCTCGCCGTCTCGAGCCACCGGGGCGAATGCGGCGGCGACACGCGTCGTCATCGTCAACGTCGCTCCCACGACGAGCCTCGCGGCTCGCGGACGCTCTGCGCCGCGACGTACTCGTCCAAGCGCCTGAGGGCGTCGGACAAGTTCGTGGAAGAGAAGGAGAACGACTTCGACGAGGACTACGACCCGTACGTCCACATGGGACGCCCGAACAAGACGGCGATTAAGAAGCTCATGCTCGAGTACAAAGAGCTCACGAAAGTCCTGTGCGAGCTCCCGCGGTCGTCCCTCGCGAAGATCACGATGCCGGACGAGCTGCGAGAGGAGATTTACGCGACCGCGAAGATCACCGCGCACATCGCGAGGAAGCGCAGCGAGGGGAAGATATCCAAGCTCTTACGGATCATGGACGACGAGGACGTCCTCCCGATACAGCTCGCGGTGGAAAACCTTCAAGCCGGCGTCGGATTGCTCACGGTGTCCCCGGAGGTGGAGGCGACCGCGACCGGTTGGAGAGATCGGCTGCTGTCCGGCGACGCGGACGTCCAGAGCGAGGTGTTCGGGTTGATGTCGCGTCGGGAGAGCTGGAGGTTCACGAGGCAAGAGCTCGGGCAGCTCGTGACGCGCGCGAAGAAGGAGAGAGCGGAGGCGGAGAAGGCGAGGAGAGAGGCGGAGGAGGAAGCCGCCGCCGCCGCCGCGGAGGCGACGATGTTACAGGATGGGAGCTTAGTCCCGACCGCGAACGAGGGGGGGTGGACCGGGGGGAAGAAGAAGAAAAAGGCGGGGAAGGCGACGAAGCAGCTGCTCAAGCACCTGCGGGATATCGCCCAAGTCGCGGACGCGTGACGCTGACGTGTTGTATTCGTAAAACAAAACTCGAGTTTGTCGAGAGCTCTTCTCTATCTCTCTGCTTCTGTTCACGCGTTCGGGTTCCCCGTTTCTTTCATCGGCGACGGCATGGACAGTTCTCTCATCGGCGACGGCGGCGAAATCTTCCGGGCGATCTTGACCGGACCGGGGACGGGCGCGCTCTCCGTCGCCGGCGCGTTCGTCACCTCTCGCAAGGAGGCTTTCACCACTTTCACCTTGAGCGGTGCACGACTTGAGGGTCGCGTCGCTCCGCCGCCGCCGTTTTCCTCCTCCCACGGGTACTTGTCCACCTTCTTCAACGCGTCGCTGCGGTTGTTTGAGCCGATGACCTCGTCGATGACCTTCGCGGCGCTCTCTTCCTCGTTATCGTCGTCCGCGTTCGTGATCATCGCCTCCCCCGCGCCCGCCGCCGCCGCCTCTTCCGCCGCAGTCGCCGCAGCCGCAGCCGCCGCCGCCGCCGCCGCTTTGTTCTTCTCGTGCGCCTTCCATCCTCTCACCATTTTAATCCACTCGTTGTCGTCCAGGATGTTCGTGACCCACGCGTTGTCGCCCTCCTCGTGCAGCGCGCGCATCGTCGTGTACGCGTGCGTCAGGCCTTTGATGAACGCGAGCTCGTTGCGTTTGAACGGAAAAGGCGGCGGAATCTCGACGAAGTCCACCGCTTTCAGCGAAGCGCACGCGTTGATGAGAGCGGCGAGTTCAAAGTCGAGCGTGCTCCTTCGAAGCGATGGGCTCAGGCGCACGTGCTCCAAGCACGGGTGATCGTCCATGCCGACGAAGACGCACCCGGTCTCGTTGTTCTCGCACTCGCCGACGAACCCGCGCGCGCTGAACAGGAGCACGCGCAGCTTTGGAAGCGCGCGAAGCATCGCGCGCACGCGCGTCGGGTCTAGGATGAGGGAGGTACCCAAGTCGAGCACCTCGAGGTCCGCGCTCGCGTACCTCGGCAGCGTCGTCGCGAGCCACTCCCCGAGGTCGGTGTTGATCGTCGCCGCGATCGAGAGCGACACGATCTTGATCCCGCGGACCCAGAACGAGAGCAGATCGTCCGTCAGCGTGGGGACGTCGACGAACACGTGGACGTGAGGGCAGACGACCCTCCCCCCCCCCACCACCCCGCGCCACAATATGCCCTCCTCCGCGGCGAGCTCCCAGCGACGCTCGACCTGGAAGGCGTCGGGGGCGACCTCGGCGACTGTCGCGTAGCGCGCGCGCACGAGCGGGATCGCGTGCGCGTTCGCGGCGTCCTCGGTGTCCGCGACGACGATCGCGACCGCGTGCATGGTCCCGCGCGGGGGAAGCGTCGGACGGAGTGATAGCCTTGGCGCGAGAAGAGAACTTCCTTTCTGTTCGCGCGAACAGAAGTGTCGTTGTTCAAAAACACAGCTGTGCAAAAAGCAACGACGACCGCGAGTTCCTCTCTCTTCCCGCCGGCGCGCCGCACACATCATCGAACGCCGCGTCGAGGAAGAGTTCTCTAATACATCCCACGATCTGCGGTCGCCGCGCGCGCGTCGGATCGGCATCGCGACGACGCGGGCGATCGAGATCGTTCACGCGGCGCGCGGGTTTCCGCTCGTCGCTCTTACTCTTTTCCCGCGTCGCCGCCGCCGCCGCCGCGCGTCGTCGACATGAAGCGCGCTTCCGCGCTCGCGGCGCTCGCATGGGTCTTACTCTTCGCGCTCGCGATCAACGTCAACGTCGCGCACGCGTTTGACGTCGCCGCGCTCTTCGCTCCATTCGTGCGTCCCGCCCGCTCTCGCCTCCGCGCCGCGCGCTCGTCGCGCGCGCAGGCCCTAAACCGTCCGTCTTTTCCCGCGCGCGCTGAACGCTTCCGATCCCCCCGCCGCGCCCACGCGATCGCTCGCGCAGGGTGAAGGACGCGCCGCGACGAGACCATCGCGCGATGACGCGATCACGCGCGATCGCGACGTCGACGCGCGCGTCGTCGCGCGCGGCCCCGAGAACGCGTCGCCGGCGACCGCGACCGAAAAAAACCACGCCGACGCCACCCCGAGGGCGTCGGGGTCGTGGTCCGCGCCGAGGACGCACGCCATCTCCCTCGCGCGCGGCGACGCCGCCGCGACGACGGTCGCGCGCTCGGACGCGTCGCCGGACGCGATCCGGATCGACACCCCGCGACGGTCGCTTCAAGACGGCGTCGCGACGGTGCCGCCGCCCACCGCCGCCGCCGCGGACGCGGACGCGGGAGCCGCCGCCGCCGCCGCCGCCGCCGCCGCGTGCGCTGACCTCGCGAACGGCGCCCTCAAGTTCAGCGTCACGACGTGGACGTCGCTGCCGTCCGAGGACCTCATCCGCGTCGGCGCCGTCGACGCGGAGACCTCCGGCGGCGCCGCCGCCGCGAGGGAGATGTACGTCTCCCTCGTCGTCACGCGCGACGACGCGAACGCCGGAGACGCCGTCGTCTCTTTGCGCGGCGTCACCGTCGCGTTTGAATTCTCGCGCGTCGTCGTGACGGACGAGAGCACCGGCGCGACGGAGACCGCGGACCCGGACCGATTCGTGTTCATGTGCTGGGGCGCGCAGAAGATGCCGTCGCCGCCAGATGGCCCGGACGGCGGCCACAGGCCGGTGCCGTGCGACGAGCTCGTCCTCGACTTCGACGCCGTGGGACCGCGCGTGACGTTCGGAGACGTGGAGCTGTCCAAGGGCGAGTTTCTCGTCGGCGGGTACTCGAACTTTCTGTTCTCGTTCAAGGAGCGGACCGCGATGCCGATGGAGAACTCCGTGACGTTGCTCGCGCCGTACTGCGACGTGGACGTCCTGGATCTCCCGCCGTCCGAGCTTCCTCTGCTCGCGCCGACGTTCATGCTCGGATGGAACCCGAACAAGCACCTGAAGCTCAGCGCGTGTCCGTCGCTTCTCGACATGGTCTTTCACAGCGTCATCCCCGCGGTGGACGAGGACGACACGGCGCTGACCCAGGCCTCCGGCGTCGTCGGGCACCGCTCGTGCGCGACGATGGACGTCACCGGCGTGACCGTCCCGGTCCCGTACGCGGAGACCGTGGACCCGGCGTCGTTCGAGGTGACCTGCGAGGGCGCGCAGCTCGCGTGGCCGCTCGAGTCTTTTCGCGCGGGCGGCGCGATGAAGCGGCCCGCGGCGCCGCTGTCGTGCGACGACCTCGACCTCGTCATGACCGCGGACGGGCTGCGCATCAGCTTCGTGTACGGATCTTTGGGTCTGTGCCCCGGGTGCTTCATCGTCGGCGGGCCCGATAACGTCATCGCGAGCTGGAGGACAATCTCCGGGTCGGACGCGTCCGCGTTTGCGATCGCGCCGCCGGCGATGCCCTTTTGCGGGGCCGGGCCGGATCTCGCTGTTCCCGCGACGGACGGACCGATCACGCCGTGCAACAGCGAGGAGGACACGCACCTGTACGGCGACGTTCTGAACGGCGGGACGTTCTTGACGTCGTCCATGGGCGCGTGCTGCCTCGCGTGCCAGGAGAACCCGAGCTGCAACGTGTGGAGCTTTTGCACCGTGGACGACGGCTGCGGGCAAGGCACCGCGCTGTATTCGTACTCGCAGTGCGTCCTGAAGTACCAAGACCCGGAGCTTCTGTCGCCCGGCCCCGCGCCCGGTGACCGCGGCCCGGACGTCGGATACACCTCCGGGTCGCTCCCGGACAAGGACGTCGACCCGTTCGTCCCGGACACGATGGTGGAAGTCAGAGAGGAGGAAGGCCCGACTTGCGCGACGTGTCAGATCGAAGACGCCGCGAACTACAAAGGCGATCCTCTGAACGACGGCACGGAGCTCTTAGTCGACTCCGCGGAGGCGTGCTGCAACGTGTGTCACCGCTTCAACGGCTGCAACAGCTTCGTGTACTGCGCGGGCGAGGACGGGTGCTACAGCGACTACTACCTGTACAAGCACCGCGAGTGCTGGCTGAAGTGGCTCGCGCCGGATTTGTACGAGCAGTTCCCGCCGCCGGCGTGGGCGCGCGGCGACGACGCGATGAACTGGACGTCCGGTCTCGTGAACCGCACCGCGTGCGCGCCCGGGGCAGAGGTACCGTTACCCGCGCCCGTGGCGTCGCCGCCGCCCGCGCCGCTCGTCACGGAGGCGCCCGCGCCCGCGCCCGCGCCCGCGCCCGCGGAGCCCGAGACGTGTCTCGAGTCCGCGGCTCGCGTCCCCGCGCTGTGTACGGGCGTTTTCCTCGGTCAAGAAGAAGACCTCTCGATCGAGGACGCGGCTGAGTGCTGCGAGGTGATCGCGGACATGAACACGCGGCGGTGTTTCTGCGACGCGGACGTCATCGACGCGCTGGAGCAGCTCGCGGATCCGCTCGTGCTCGTGGGAGGGTTCGTGTGCGGCATCCCCGAGGATGCATTCCTCGCGGGAGTCGCGTGCGCGTCGCCGGCGCCGGTCGTCGTCGAACTGCCTTCATCGCCGCCGCCGCCGCCTCCGGGGCTCCCGCCGCAGCCGGAAGCGCCGGCGGCGTCTCCGCCGCCGCCGGGAGCGCCACCTACGTCGGTCGAGCCGCCGCCTGAGCCGGAGGCGCCTCCGGCTCCGGACGCGCTGTCGCCGCCGCCGCCGCGGGCGCCGCCGGAGCCCGTCGCGGCGTCTCCTCCTCCGTCGCCGGCGCCGCCTCCGCCGGAGCGTCCACCGACGCCGGTTGTCGCGCCGTCGCCGGCGCCGCCTCCGCCGGAGCGTCCACCGACGCCGGTTGTCGCGCCGTCGCCGGCGCCGCCTCCGCCGTCTCCTCCGCCGCCGCAGCCGGCCGAGCCGTCGCCGCCTCCGCCCGGGTCGCCCCCGCGGCCGGACGCGCCGTCGCCGCCGCCGCCGGGACGGCCCCCCGCGCCGGACGCGCCGTCGCCGCCGCCGCCGGGAAGGCCCCCCGCGCCGGATGCGCCGTCGCCGCCGCCGCCGGGAAGGCCTCCCGCGCCGGATGCGCCGTCGCCGCCGCCGCCGGGACGGCCTCCCGCGCCGGATGCGCCGTCGCCGCCTCCTCCTTCTCCTCCCCCGCCGCGGCCGGACGCGCCGTCGCCGCCGCCGCCAGGTCTGCCTCCGCGGCCGGCCGCTCCGTCTCCTCCTCCTCCTGGTCAACCTCCTGCTCCCGCGGCGCCGTCGCCGCCGCCGCCTGGTCAACCTCTCGCGCCGATTCGCGTCGTGACCCCGGAGCCGCCGTGCCTTCAGCTGTTACGACGGCTCATGGGCGAGTGCGCGCCGCTGTTGGGCGAAGCCACGAGCGCGACGATGACGCAAGGGTGCTGCGACGTCATCCGAGAGATGAACTCCCCGGAGCTGCGTTGCTTCTGCGACGCGGACGTCCTCGACGAGCTCGGACCCCGGATTCGGCCAGTGTCGCTCATGGCGCCGTTCCTGTGCGGTTCCGAGGTGGAGCTCTTCGTCGGCGAGGAGTGCGTGGCGCCGGTTCCCGCGCCGCCGTCGCCGATCACGCCGCCGCAGCCGGAGGTTCGGTCTCCGCCGCCGCCGGTCGCGCCGCCGCAGCCGGTCGCCGCATCGCCGCAGCCGGAGGTTCCGTCTCCGCCGCCGCCGGTCGCGCCGCCGCAGCCGGTCGCCGCATCGCCGCCGCCTCCCGGGGCGCCACCTCGGCCTGCGGCGCCGTCGTCGCCGCCGCCGGAGGCTCCTGAGGCTCCGGCGCCGCCGCCGCCTGAAGCTCCTGAGGCTCCTGAGGCTCCGGCGCCGCCGCCGCCGGAGGCTCCTGAGGCGCCGCCGCCGCCGCCGCCGGAGGCTCCTGAGGCGCCGCCGCCGCCGCCGCCTGAAGCTCCTGAGGCTCCTGAGGCTCCGGCGCCGCCGCCGCCTGAAGCTCCTGAGGCTCCTGAGGCTCCGGCGCCGCCGCCGCCGGAGGCTCCGGTCGCGCCGGTCGTCGCGTCGCCGCTGCCCCCCGCCGCGCCGTCGCCGCCGCCGCCGGGCGAGCCGCCCGCGCCGGTCGCGTCGCCGCCGTCGCCGCCGCCTCCAGGTCAACCTCCGGTCCCGGTCCCGCCGAACGCTTGCCCGCGGATCCGCCTCCTCGGCCCCGGCGCCGGCCCGGGCCGAAACGAGGTCTTCGTCAACTCCGTCTGGATCGACCCCGGGGCGACCGCGACGGACGACGAGGACGGCGACCTCACGGACGCGATCGTCCGCGACGCGTCCGAGCTCGACACGACGACCCCGGGGGTGTACAGGGTCACGTATACGGTCGCGGACGCGGACGGATGCGAGGCTTTCGCCGCGCGGTACGTCCGCGTCGTCGCGCTCGTCGCGACGTCGAACGCGTTTTACCTCCGCGACTTGTGCGTCAACCAAGTCTCGGACGTGCGGCAAACGTGCGAGGTCGGGATGCGGACGACGTCGAACGAGACCCCGAACCCGAGCGCGTTCCCCGCGTGCTGCCTGATCGTCTCCGAGATGGACGCCGCCGCGTGCTTCTGCGACGCCGCAGTCGTGAGCAAAGTCAACGCCAACAACGCGACGTTTTTCAACGCGCTCGCGGCGTTTACGCCGATGGCGTGCGGGTTCACGATCAAGACCGGGGACGTGTGCACGGACATGCGCGCGCTGGAGACGTTCATCACGAACGAGCGCGAGGACTTGTCCGACGAACCGGTCGCGAGCGTGGAGGTTCTGATCTCCGAAGGCGGCGCGCTGGACGTGAGCTTGCCGTGCGACGATCAAGTCGAAGCCGCGGCGGCGATGTGCCAGCGCCTGACGCGCGTCACCCCCGGCCCGGCGCCGCTCGTGACGGATTACGTGCCGTGTTGCTCCGCCGCCACGGTTCTGAACATGTCGCGGTGCTTGTGCGAGGACGAGGACGGCGACGGCTCGCGCCTCGCCGTGCGTCCCGAGCGCGAAACGTTCCTCACGCGTCTCATCGGCTTCGCCCCGCTCGGGTGCGGGTTCTCTCTGACCGAGTCCTGCCCCGCGGTGAACGAACAGCTGTCGCTCCCGCCGCCGCTCGCGATCGTGACCGAGGTCGAGGGCATCCCCGCGACGCTGCCGATTGCTTACACGAACGCGACGACGTGGGAGATCCTCTGGAGGGACGTCGCCACGCCGATCGGTGAGGTCGAGTACGACCAAACGCTCGTCACCGTCCCCGTCGGAACGGAGCAGCTGTGGTTCTACGTCACGTGCGACGAGTACCTCGACGACGCCGCGGAGATCTGCGGCGACGTCCGACACGGCGTGAACGTGTCGACGTACGACGTCACCCGGTGCTGCGCGTTCTTGAAGGCTGCGCACGATCGCGGCTGCTTCTGCGAAGGCGCCGACGGGCTCGACCGCCTCGGCGAGATAAACCCCGATCTCTTCTCCGTCGCCCCCGCCGCGTGCTCGCTTCGCTTGGACGCGCCGCCGGCCCTGGGCGAGGCGATCTGCGACGCGGACGACGTCGAGGCCGTCACCGAGCTCGAGCTTCAGCGCGCTTCGGGCGGACGCGGCGGGCTCATCTACGCGACGACGGACGACACCGGCCTCGGGGAGATTGTCCCGTCGTCCACGGCGTCGTGCCTCCTCTCCGTCGTGATCGCGGAGGCGTCGTGCATCCCGCTTCTGGAGAGCATCGTGGAACCGTTCGAGCTCGACCTGGGCTGGCGCGCGTGCTGCTCTAGGATCGAGGCCGTGAATGATAACCTGTGCTTCTGCGACGGCGCGGTCGAGGCGGCGATGAACGTCACCGCGCGGCGGGACATCCACCGCCGGGTGTTATCCGCGGTTCCCGGGGCGTGCCAGGTCGACCTGACGATCGGTGATCAGTGCCCGTCCGCGCGGTTCGACGCCGCGATCGCGACCGAGGAGGACGTCGTGACCGCGGTGGACGTCACGACGTACGGCACCGTGCCGAACTCGACGATCGAGGTCGACGCGGAGGTGTACGACGTCAACGATGCGGTGTCCACGGTCACCGCGTCCGGCGCGGTCGTGATTTCAAACTTTAGCGGGTTCGACGAAAGCGGGAACTTCACCCCGAGCGCGTCGTTGATCCCCACCGCGGTTTTAACGCTGCCAGAGCTCGCGAACGACACGGCGAGCGCCGCCGGCGTGGTCATGGACGGCGATGGGGTCGTAACGTACGAGATCGGCGCGTTACCCGGCGTGATACTCACCGTCGACGGCGGCGAGGTCGGCGTCACGGTTCTGTCCCCCACCGGCGGCGTCACGCGCGTGCACGCGAACGCGACCGACGGCGAGGAGGAAGAACCAGACGCGGAGATCACCCTCCACGGCGACGAGGGCGCGCTCGAGGCGTCCGTCGGCGACGCGACCGCGTCCACGCCGCTGTCTTCCAGGGACGAAGGCATCGCCGCGTTCGTCGAGGCGCTGCAAAACATCGACGCGAGTTTCGACGACGAGGCCGGGGTGTTCACGTTCACGCTCCCGGACGGCACGGTCGTCACCGTGGACGCGTCGACGTTCTTGGACACGAACGCGTCTGTGGATTCGCTCGCGCCCGCGCCCGCGCCGACGATCGCGCCCGTCGTCGATTCTCCCGCGCCCGCGCCCGCGACCGCGCCGGGGCCGTCCACCGCGGTCGCGACGATTCCAAACGGCCTCTCCAACTTTGGCGTCGTCGTTCGCGACGGCGAAGTCGTCCCCGGGGACTCTCTCGGCGGCGGCGTCTGCGACGCCGCTCGCGGCGTGAAGTCGTTCTTAACCACGAGCCTCGACCCCGGGATGACGAGCTACTTCGTCATGGGCGCGGTCTCGTGCTGCGAGAACCGAGTCCTCGACATTCCCGAGCTCACGATCCCGATCCGGTACCGCCCGCGAGGGTCGCCGACGCGGACGTACGCGCCGCCGCTGACGTCCCCCACGGTCGAGTGCCTCGGGTTGAACATCGTCGGCCGGTTGGGGAACATCCGCGAGGAGATTCCGTGCGAGCGATTCAGCTACGACGTCGTGGACTACGGCGTGCTGGTGCGCGTCACCCCCGTGTCCTTGTGCCAGGAGTGCTCGCTCGTGGGCCGAGGCACCGACGGCGCGCTGTTCAAGCTCACGCACCCGGCGAGGGACACGTTGACCGCGATGCAGCCGCAAGTGATGCGGCTGCGTTGCGACCTCGACCACGTCTTGCGACCGACGCCGCGCGACGGCGGCGGCGGCGAGCGGAGGAAGCTCCTGGAGCTACCGACGCCGCGTCCGCCGCACGCGCGCGGGTTGAAGCAGTTCCTCGGCGTTCGGCAGCACAGCAACCCGGGGGAGGTTTCCGACTTCTGGCAGAACCTCGAAGACCGCGTCCGCGGCGGCGAGGACGACGACGAGGGTGCGGTCTTTGACGACGGCGGCGGCGGCGGCAGCGGCAACCGCTTCGACGACTACGAGCCGCCGACGACGCCGGAAGAGAGCAGGTTCGCGCTCGTGGGCGAAGACGGCGCTCCCGCCGCCGGCGGCGGCGGCGGCGGCGCCGCCGCCGACGCCGACGACGACGCCGACGCCGCGCCCACCGCGACCCCTAACCTCCCCGGCGACTCCGCGGCGCTGCCGTCGTCCATGCAGTCCGCCTCGGACGTCGCGCGCTGCTTCGACGACGTCTTGAAGCTCGCGAACAACGTCCAGTGGTGGAGCCGCGGCGCGGGTCCGCTCGAGCCCGGGCTTCCGAACGAGCCGTACGACGAGTACGTCTTCGCCGGGTCGATCGAATCCACGTCGGATTCCGCGGACGTGAACCTCGACGGGATCGTCCTCCCGATCGTGTTCTCGCCGTGGGTGCTCCCGCCCGCGGACGGGTCCTGGCGCGCGGTGTTGGACCCCGCGTCCGAACTCGAAATCGGCTGCAGCGGCGTCGCGATCGCGTCCCCGGACGGCGAGTCGTTCCCGGTCGACGCCGACGGCGGCTGCGGCGGCGTGAAGTTCGCGCTGTCCACGTACTCGCCTCCGAACCGGGACCAAGGCGAGGGACAAAACGCGGCGGCGACGCAGGCGTCATCGCCGCCGAGCGTCCTCCTCCTCGAAGTGCTCTTCGACGGCGTCTTGTGCCCCGGGTGCGAGATCGTCGGCGCGGGCGTCCAGGGCGAGATGTTCCGCGTGACGCACCGCGAGGGCGCGTCGCTGGATTTCGTCGGCCCCACCGTCGGCGCGTTGGAGTGCGCCCCCGGCGGCGCCGTCGGCGACGTCGTCGACGCCGCGGAAGCCGTCCCGGAGACGCTCTCCGCAGGTCCGGGTGCGACCGCGGGAGACGGCGCCGCGCGCGCCGTTATCGCGCAGGGCGACGACAGAGACACGTCCTCGTGCCTCGGCAGACAGGGGTTGAACCTGAAAGGCGAGCTCTTGAACGACGGGAACGCGCTGATCAAAGGCGAAGCCGAGGACTGCTGCGAGGACTGCAAAGCGAACGACGCCTGCAACGTGTGGGTGTATTGCGAAGGCGACTGCGTCGAGTACGCGTACCACTCGTGCTGGCTGAAGCGCGCGGCCGCGGGGTTCGACATGCAAGAGCCCGACGCGTGGGCCGCGAGCGAAGACACGCCGTGGACGTCGGGGTGGTTTCCCCCGAAGGAGGGCGCGACCGTCCCAGAGTCGGCGGAGACGCCCGCGCCCGCGCCCGCGCCCGCGCCCGCGCCCGCGCCCGCGCCCGCGCCGGTCGCCGCGGAGCCCACGCGCGCGCCGACGATCCCGTTCCCGTCCCCGGACGAGACAGCGGACACCGTCGCGGCCGCCCCGGAGGAGCCCACTCCGCCGGATATCCGCGTCGTCCCCGTGGGCGGCGAGGAAGCGCCGCCGCCGTCGCCCGCGCCCACGCCCGCGGAACCGGTCGCGACGCCGCCGACGACGACGACGCAGACGACGCCGGCGGAGAATCGCTCGTTCGTCCTCGTCCCCGGTGAGCCGACGCAGATCCCCGCGAGCACGATCACGATCACGCCGAACGGCGAGCTCCTCGTGAACACGTCCGCGCCCGCCGCAGCGCGAGTTCAACCCCCCGCGTCGTCGTCGTCGTCGTCGTCGTCGTCGTCGTCGTTCCCCGGCGTCGACGCGAGGGCGGCGGCGCCGACGTGCGAAGACGCGGACGTCGCCGCGTGCCCGTCCCCGGCGGGCGCGTCGGATCCGCTCGCCGCGGCGCGCGTCCGCGGATCGTTCCAGCTCCTGCGCGCGCGCGACGTCGAGACCGGCGGCGCGAGGGACACCAACGCGGGGTCGCTCACGCTCTTGCGACCCGGAGACGAAGTCTTCGAGGTGTTCGTCACCGGGACGCTCATCAACGCCAACGACGAGGGCGTCTGCCTCGCCGGTTTGGAGATTCCGTTCGCGTTCCCGACCTCCGTGGTCCCCTCCCCGGGGGCGGCGCCGATCGACGCGCCCGCGGAGGACTTCGTCGCGACGTGCTACTACGTCGGCGTGCGCTCGCGCGAGGCGTCCGCGGCGCCGGGGACCGCGTCCGCGCGAAGAGGCGCGTTCCTAGACGATCTCGAGCCCGGCACGGCGCCGAGGGCGTGCGACGAGACCATCGCGCTGCGGACGACGGCGGACGGCGCGGACGTGGCGTTCGAGGACGACGTCGCGCTGTGCCCCGGATGCTGGCTCGTCGGCGGCCGCGACGGCGTTTTGTTCTCGTGGAAGCACAAAGACGGGCTCGCGATGTCCGTGCGCGCGGGGGAGAGGCTCGGGTTCGAGCGCGCGCGGTGCGCGGCGGTCGAGTGAGTGAACCGGACGCCGGGGCGCCCGTTCGGGTGTTCGGGGCCCGTCGGCGACGCGGTTCTTTCGCGCGTCGTTTTCGCGGACGACGACGACACGCGGCACGATGCGCGAGGATGATACGACACGCACGACACGACACGACAAGACACGGAAGTACACGATGGACGAGGCCTCGAACGAACGAACGACACGGACGGACGAGAACGAGAACGAGAACGAGGTCAGATCACGCGCGACGACGGAGCGCACGCACGAAAAAGGAGAAAGGAGAAAGGAAAACGCGACAGTCTTCGCCCCCGCTTGCATCGCGCGAGCGAGGCGCGCGCTTGCAACGCGACTACTGAAACACGCGCGTCCCACACCCTCCGCGCGCGTCACGTTACAACCCTCTCGTCGACCCCAAAATCGCGTTCTTGATCGCCCCCGGCATCGTCTGCATCACCATCGGGACGTCTATCAGCTTTCCCTTCATCGCGACGTCCCCGGTGCCGGTGACCATGAGCGCGCGGCCCCCGCCGTCGACGTCTTCCACGCTCGCGACGATCTCTCCGCAAGACACGAACGTCCCGGGCTCTCCCTTCGGATCGGAGACGAGGAACGCCATCGAGAACCCGGTCGGGAGGCGGTCCACGCGCTGCGGGAGCGCGAACGGCATGTTCTGACCGCTCGTGACGAGGCCGTTCGCCCACTGATAGAGCGAGGAGCAGAAGACCTCCTCGTCGCAGTTCGCGGGAATCTTCGCGGTGCCGAGCTGGACGGGCGATGGCGCGTCGCCCGCGGACGCGACGACGACCGCGGCGCCGGCGCGGACGGCCACGACCGGCGCGCGCCGCGGGCGCAACCGCGCGCGCGAGCCGGTCGTGAAAATCGTCGCGGCGGAGGACGTCAGCGTGCTCATCGTGCCGGCGTGCCGTGCGGAGTGCGCGGCCGCGATCTGATCGGACTGGACGACGTCACGGCGCGGCGAACCGTCGCGTCGCGTCGCGCTGCGGCGACTCCTGACAGCTGGACTCGATCTCGGTGGCAGCACAGCAGCGGCGTTCGGGATAGATACGCCACGCACGGATCGGCCGCGACGCGCGCACACCGTCGTCGCGCGCACGGCTTCACCGTTCGCACACGATGTCCGTCGCCGCCGCGAGCGCGATATCGCTCGCCCCGGCGCGCGCCGCCGCGCCCGCGCGCGCGTCGCGCGTCGTCCGCGCGTCGTCGTCGTCGTCGTCGTCGTCCGCGATGATGACGACGCGCCCGCGATCGTCGCCGATCGCCGCCGCCTCCCCGCGCGCGCTCGCCGTCCGGCGCGGACACGGCGGTCTCGCGACGTCCTCTCAAACGCGCGTATCGAGATCGGTCGTGAAGACCGCGGCGACGCCCGCGCATGTCGACGCGACCAACGCGATCGCGCAGGTCGCGGACGGCCTCGAGGGCGGCATCCAGTTCGTCTACCTCGGCTCGCTCCTCGCCATCCTGGGCTTCGCCGGGTTCATCGTCGTGCGTCAGGTGCTCATCCGCCGCGAGCTCGACGAGAGCGCGAAGCAGATGGGGGAGCGCATTCGCAGCGGCGATGCGACCGCGGAGGAGTACTTCGAGATGGGGAGCATCATGCTCCGGAAGAAGGTGTACACGCAGGCGGTGCGGAACCTCCGGCTGGCGGCGGCGCAGTGGGAGGGCGCGGAGGAGGATCTCGCGCAGATTCACAACGCGTTAGGGTTCGGGTATCTCTCCACGGACAAGCTCGAGGAGGCGGTGACGGAGTTTAAGAGGGCCGTGGAGCTTCAGCCCGGGTACGTCACCGCGTGGAACAACCTCGGGGACGCGCTGGAGCAGCTGAAGGACGTGAAGGGGGCGATGGCGGCGTACGAGGAGTCGTTGACGCTCTCCCCGGGGAACCAAGTCGCGGAGAACCGCCTGACGGAGATCAAGCGGCGACTCACGCGATTAGGGCAGATGTGATCGCGATGGCGACGCGCGCGACGCGATGGAATACAGTACGACTGTTAGTATGGTGTTAATAAACGTCGAGGGACGTCGATTATTAGAACTCTCCGCGCGCGCGCTACACCGGCGGCGGTCGCCCCGCGGCGAGCGCGGCTTCTCTCTCCCGCTCAGCCTTTTTCATCCTCGCCTTTTTGTTCTGGAACCAGTTGTACACGTTCGCCTCGTTGATCGGCCCTAACTTCGCGAGTTCCTCCGTGATCTGTGTCCGAAGCTCCCCGTTCGGCGTGCCCATGCCGGTGAGGAACAGCTCCTCGAGACGCGCGAGCTGCGCGGGCGTGGGGTTCCACCGCGGCGCGGACGGCCCCCGCGGGCCGTCTGGATTTTTGTTGTACACCGGCGCCGGGTAGCTCGGCTGCGCGCCCGCGCCCGATGCTGAGATGCCCATGCTCGAGCTCAGCGCGTGCATGACGCCCGCGCCTCGCCCGGGGAGCGAGTTCCCCGGCGCGTTGAACGACTTCCCTTCCTCGACTTTTTGCTGCGCTAAGATGATCGCCTGGTTGCAGACGTGCGAGAACGCCGCGATCTGATGCCGGAGCGTGTCCAGCTGCGTCGGCGTGAGCTTCGCGGCGTCCTCCGCGGTCGGGCGCCACTGCGGCGGCGGCGCCTCCGCGGCGGGCGGCGCGGGGGAGGGCGCAGGGGATGGCGCGGGCTGCGCTTGCTGCTCCATCCCCCTCGGACGCGCGCTCCTCGCGCTTCCTCCCTTCCTCTTTTTCTACGAGCGGCTAGCTAGCTCGGCGCGCCCGACCGCGAAGGCGAGCGGTCCGCGGGTTCGAGCCGCGCGGGTTCGCGGGCGCGGCGACGGGTGGACGCGTCGCGCGCGACGCGTGGACGCGCGGGAGACGACGCGGAGGCTCGCGCGACGACCTGGTCCCGCCTGCCGGGCGCGGATCACACTGACTGGCGTTCAAAATTGTCGTGGCTCGCCTTTGACTGGCGACGCGACGGCGTGACTCGCGCGCGCTGAGCGGTCAGTCGTCATCGCGCGGAGGAGGAGGACGGGCGGGCCGGCGACGAGTGACGCGTCGCGCGATTCGATACCGCCGAGGAGGAGGGCGAGAAGTCGCCGGCGAAGATGCCCGCGGACGCGGACGCGGTGAAGGCTGAGCTCGCGCGCCTCGGCGCGTGTCCGCTCTGCGTGCTGCGATTTCACGGCACGCGATGCGCCTCCGAGCGCGACGCGTACGTCGCCGCGGCCGCGTCGACGTCCCGCGACGACGCGCCGTGCCCGTGCTGCCTCGGCGTCTTACAGCTCAGCTTGGACGTGTCGTCGTCGCGCGCGCGCAGCGGCGAAGGCGCGTGCACGAGCGGCGACGGCGGCGGCGACGGCGACGACGCCGCCGCCGCCTCTGGGGGAAGTGGAAAGCCGAAACAAACGCACGTCGAGCGAGTGGACGTGTCGTCGGTGATGCAGTACGTCGACGGCATGCGCGCGGGCGGGCACGAGATGAACGCGTTCGCGCTCGAGGTGACGCTGCCGCCCGCGCTCGCGGTGCGGCAGGCGGCGACGCGCGCGCACCTCGCGGAAGTTTTCGCATCAGCCGCCGACGCCGACGCATCCGCCGCCGAGCTCCCGAAAGCGGAGGACGTCAAGGACGTGTTCCGCGCCCTGGTCATCCCGCTCCTGGAGAATTTCGGCGGGAAGGACGGACGCGCGCGTCTGAAACACTCCAACGACGCGAGCTTCCGGTTCTCGCTTCTGTTCGAGCACGAGGCGTCCGCGACGGAGGCGAGCTTCGCGCCGGTGGACGGCGGCGGTCGCGGCGGCGGCGGCGGCGGCAGCGGCGGCGGCGGCGGGAGGCATCATCACCACGACCGGAAGCGCAAACTCCCCCCCGCGCACCTCAACGTCCCGACGATGCCAGACGCCCCCGCGGCCAGGTGGTCCGCGCACGGGAACGCGTACAACTACGCCGAGCGCGTCGCGTCGTCGTCGCCGTCCTACGCGACGTCCTCCGCGTGTCGAGCCGCGGGCGTCGCCGTCCCGCCGTCTCCGCCGAGACGTAAGACCACGTGCCGGATGCTGACGTACCACGCGCCCGTGTACGTCGGAGGACGGTACCTGAAGTGGGCGCGCGGGGTCCCGCAGTCGCCGTGGGTCGCGGACGGCGAGACCGTGGGCGAGGGCAGCGTGCAGACGTCGCTGGAAGCCGTCGTCGTGCGGCGTCTTCGCGCCGACGGCGCGAAGCTCAACGCCGCGGGCAGAGAGGACATGGACGTCCGAATGCTCGGCGGCGGGCGGCCGTTCATATTAGAGGTCCACAACCCGCGGAGGATCGCGCCGAGCACGGCGGAGTGCGCGGAGATGGAGCGCGAGCTCGAGGCGAACGGCGACGGCGTCGTCACCGCGTCCGGGTTGCACCTCTCCGACCACGAGAGATACCGCGCGATGCACGAGGGAAGCGCGGAGAAGGAGAAGACGTACTCGGCCGTGTGCTACGCCGCGCGCGCGCTCACGGACGCGGACGTCGCGAAGCTGTGCGGCGTCAAGGACCTCGTCGTGCGGCAGTCCACGCCGACGCGCGTGTTGCATCGACGGTCGGCGGCGGTGAGAGAGCGGACGATCGCGTCGATGTCCGCGGAGGCGGTCCCGGGGTCGCCGCGGTTCTTCACGCTGCGGATGACGACGCAGGCGGGGACGTACGTGAAGGAGTTCGTGCACGGGGATTTCGGGCGGACGTCGCCGAACGTCGGGACGCTGCTCGGGTGCCCGTGCGATATACTGCAGCTCGACGTGACGGACGTGGACATGGCGTTCGCGGGCGGCGGCGGCAGCGGCGGCGGCGGCGGCGGAACGACGGACGAATAGTCTTCTTAACCTTAGTTGATAAGTTACCGAGCGCCGCTAACACCCCCCCCCCACCCCACCCACCCGCGCACCTCTACGTGTGCCTACTGTTGTTTACAATCCACGTCCCCTTCCTCCGGGGTCTTCTTCGCCGCGAGCTGCATGCGATCCTTCTTCTCTTCGATCTCCGCCACGACGGCTTCGCGCGGTTTTTTATATTGCACGATGAGCGTGAAGTTCCTATAGTCCCACGACAGCGCCGCGTCCTCGAGCTTCTTGTCGAGCAGCTTCAGCTCCGGGACCTCGAACCGCTTGAAGTACTTCTTGTTCGACGTCCGGATCACGACCTGCTGCGCCTCGTGGTCGCACCGGACGTCGTACGTCTCTTTCGGGTACGGCAGATTTCGCACGCGCCACACGAAGCTCCCGGGCGCGTCTTGCGACCGCGTGAACGACGGGTTCGCGCCCGACTCGATCAGCGTCCCCGTGTCCGGGGCGAACGTCCTCGGCGCCTCGCCGACGAGGTACTCCCACGGCGTGTCCTTCCCGAGCGTCGTCCTCCCGCGCCGGCGTCGCACGAGGAGCTCGTCCGTCTTCAGATCGAACTCCTCGATCATCTCCGCGCCGTCCGGGTACGTCGTGTGAACCTTGCGTCGCCCGCCTTGGTTCACGGAGGTGGACTCGCCGCCTTTGCGGAACATCGAACCTCGCGTCGCCCGCCTTGGTTCACGGAGGTCGACTCGCGACGGGGTGGGCGGACGGGCGGCGCTCGGGTCTGCGCGGGTGGTGCGTTGACCGAGTCGAGTCTTCATCATTGACAATTTTAAGTCGGCACGATCGAGAGCTTCAGATCTAGATCTGAGACGCGCACTGGGAGCGATGCCGAAGTCCGCGGCCGCGAAGGCGTCGGAGAAGAGGCGCATCGCTCGCCAACGGGCGGAGGCCCGCGCCGGCGGCGGGGGAGGAGGAGGAGGAGGAGGAGGAGGAGGAGGACTCGGCGTGAACCGAGGCGGCGCCGGGAAACGAAACAGCGCGCGGGGATTCAGCTCGAGCGAGCGCGCGGCCTTCACGGGATCTTCGAGCAAGCGCGCGCGCGGCGGCGGCGGCGGCGGCGGCGGCGGCTCTCGCGGCGGCGGCGGCCACGGCCACCGCCCGAAGAAGCAGAAGAAACCCAAGGCGGACCGGACCAACTACTCCAAGAAGGTGAGGAAGGCGATCGAGCACGACGGCGACGTCCCCGGGGCGTACGAGCTCTTCCTCGCCGCTCGAGACGCGCACGACGCCGTGCCGTTCAACCACAACCCGGGGCCGATGCTCAAGACGGACGCGTTTCACGTGTTGATCCTGGGCTTGATGCGCGCGACGCACGTCGATCACGCGGTGCACGTCGCCAAGGCGATGCGAGAGACGGGCGCGCCGATGCCGCTGAAGCTGCTGTCGCAGATGATCGCGTCGCTGCCGTGCCGCGTGTCCGGCGCCGTCGCCGTCGAGCTCGTGAACGCGCTCGGTCCCGTGGTGTCCGGTCTGGACGCGCACTCGCGAGGGTACGTGAACACGTACTACCGGCTCCTCGCGATGGAGTTTTGCGAGGAGAGCGCGAGCTATCTGAGTCGCATACGGAGCGCGCCGGGAGACGCGATGGAACGCGGCGGGAGCGCGATGCTGGACCTTCACGCGTCCGTCAACGGGAAGAAAGCGGGGGAGATTTTCTTGCGCGGGCCGCGCGAGTACCCCGCGCTGAGGCCGGAGGAGGGGCGGAGGGTCATGGGGAAGAACGACTCGGTGTTGATCTCGCGGCTGAAGAAGTGGACGGAATCTACGAATCGCGGCCTCGGCGGCGGCGGCGGCGCGTACGGCAGTTCCGGGGGGCTCTCCGGCATGGGACGCGGCGGTTCCGCGGCGGATCTGCGCGCGCCGGCGCCGGGGTCCGCGGAGGCGGCGGAGGCGGCCGCGAGCGCCGCCGCCGTGGTGGCCAACGGCGACGCGGACGCGAGCCGTGAAGAGATGATCGAGTACGAGGGCGAAATCGTCTCCACGGAACTCGATAACCGCGGGTTGCGCGTGAAGATCATCGGCGGCGGGCACAAGGACATCAGCGGCGGCGGGTGGCGCGTGGATAAGCTCGCGAACAGGGTGACGTTTCGCAGGCAAGTCGAGGCGATACGCGCGTTACTGAACGTGGACACGCACTGCGCGGCCAACCCGAAAAACGCGGAGAAATCGTCGCTCACGGATCCGTGCTTCCGGCAGATCCTCACCGCGGGGTTCGACGTCCTCGCGAAGGCGGATTACGTCCAGAAAGCCGCCGCGGCGAGGCAGAGAGAGTACGACGACTCCGATTCCGATTCAGGGGAGATGTCGGACGGCGGGGACCGCGGCGGCGGGGACTACCGCGACTACCGCGAAGGCGACGACCACGAAATTTACGAAGCCTTCGGGGCGATATCCGCCGCGGACGTCCCGCTCGCGTGCGACGAGCGCGCGAGCGGTCTCATCCCTGACCGCGCGGAGAAGTTCGCGAAAGACTTCGCCTCCGGCGCGGTCGACCCGATCGCGAAGTCGCTGAACGAGTCGCAACGAAACGCGTTGCGCTCGGCGTTGACGAACCGCCTGACGCTCGTGCAAGGCCCTCCCGGCACGGGCAAGACGTACACCTCCGTCGCCATCGTGAAAGGCCTCCTCGCGATGAACCGCGGCCCGGTGCTGTGCACGAGCGACAGCAACACCGCGGTGGATAACTTAGTGCAAGGGATGGCGGACGCGCGGATGCGCGTGGTTCGCGTCGGGCGATCGGAAGCCGTGCGTCCGGAGCTTCTGAAGTACGTCTTGGAGCGAATGTTCAACGACAGGACCGGCCCGGAGCGGAGCCTCGCGCAGCAGCGCGCGCTTCGGCAGGCGGACGTCGTGTGCTGCACGTGCTCCGGCGCCGGGAGCGACATGCTCGAGAAGTTTAACTTCTCCGCGGTGCTCCTCGACGAGGCGAGTCAGGTCACGGAGCCGTCGAGCCTCGTGCCGCTCTCGAAAGGGTGCCATCAGCTGGTCCTGGTGGGCGATCACAAGCAGCTGCCGCCGACGGTGACGTGCCGCGACGCCGGGAACGCGGGCCTCTCGACGTCGCTGTTCGACCGCCTCGCGAACATGGGGGTGAAACCGAAGCTGTTGGACGTGCAGTTCCGCATGCACCCGGCGCTGTCGCGGTTCCCCTCGGACGCGTTTTACGACGGCCGCGTCAAGTCGGGAACGCTCGCGAGGGATCGACCGGCGCCCTCCGGGTTCGCGTGGCCGAACGCCGGCGTCCCGATCGCGTTCGTGCCCGTGGGCGTCCCCGGCGTTTCCGGGGCTTACGGCGGCCACGAGCGGCGAGAGGGGAACGGCAGCTTCGTGAACCAGAGAGAGGCGGACGTCGTCGTCGACGTGTTATCGCGGCTGCTTCGCGCCGGCGGCGGCGAGCTCGAGCCGCGCGACGTCGGCGTCGTGACCCCGTACGCGGCGCAGGTGCGTCACATACGACGGCAGCTTCGCAACCGCGGGATCCAGACCGGGATCGATCGCGAGACGGGGAAGCCCGGCGTGGAGGTGAGCTCCGTCGACGGGTACCAAGGCCGCGAGAAAGAGGTCATGGTCGTGTCCACGGTGAGGTCCAACGACAGAGGGACGATGGGATTCGTCTCCGACGCGCGGCGGTGTAACGTCACGCTGACGCGAGCGAAGCGCGGCGTCGTCGTGTGCGGCGACCCTAACACGCTCGCGAGCGATCACGTCACGTGGGGGCGGTGGCTGCGCTGGGCCGCCGCGGGAGGGCTGGTGATCGGCGCGCCGGGCGACCCGGCGGAGGTGATGAAGCTGAGGACGATGGACGCGGACTTCGCGGGGCCGCAGCCGGCGGCGGCGCCGCCGCCGAGAGCGAACGCGCCCGTCGCCGTCGCCCCCCAGACGATCGCGCCGCCGCCGCCGCCGCCGCGGATAGTTCCCGTCGGACCCGCTCCTCCGCCGCCGCCGCCGCCGCCGCGGATAGTTCCCGTCGGACCCGCTCCTCCGCCGCCGCCGCCGCGACAAGTGGCGGCGGCGGTGAACGCGGCGCCGACGCTGAGAGAAGCAGCGGAGGCGGCCAGGGCGGCGGCGGCGGCGAGAGCGGCGGCGGCGCCGGTCGCGCCGCCGCCGCCGCCGCCGCCGCACTAGTGGACTAACGTCTTCTTCTTCTACGACACGTCTGCTTCGCTATCTATCGCATGCGCGCGAAGACGCCGTTCAATCGAACGGCGTCTTATCCCCCCCCGCGATCGCGGCGAGCCCTTCGCGGTACGTCGGAAACAACAGCTCGACGCCGAGCGACGTCTTCGCGCGCGCGTTTCTCACGCGTTTCTCCTCACCGCTTCTCCTCGACGGATACGCCGTTCCCGCCGCCGCCGCGACCTCGTCCTCCGTCGCGTCGGCGTCGTTCTCCTCGAATTCTTCTATCCCGAGCAGCGACCGCGCGTACGCCGCGGCGTCCCCCCGCGGCGCGGGCTCGTCGTCCACGACGTTGTACACAGTGTCCTCTTCTTCCGTCTCTCCGCCGTAACCGCCGCGCTCGGCGACTTTGTTCACGCTCGCGAATAACACGTTGACGATGTCCGCGACGTGGACTCGCGATATGAACTTCCGCGTCCCTCGCTCCGCCTTGCTCGCGGCGGTCGCGGGTGCCACCCCCGCGGCGTGTTTCGCGGCGACGGCGTCCAAGACGCTCCGTCCCGGGCCGTAGATGCCGCCGAGGCGAAAGACGAAGGCGGGGACGCCGGACTCGACTCTCAGGTCTCTCCACGCGCGCTCGGCCTCGTCCCGAGCTTTGCCTTTCGCGCTGGACGGCCGCACCGCGGTGGTTTCGTCGACCCACGCGCCCGCGAAGTCGCCGTACACGCCCGTGCTGCTGAGATATCCGACCCATCGCAACGGCGACGCGTCGTCGGCGGCGACGACGTCGCCGCCGTCACCGCCGTCGCCGCCGCCGCGGGCGCGCGACTTCGCGACGAGCGCGTCGACGCACGCCTTGTCCGACAGCACCGGGTCGCGGTCGAAGTCCGCGACCGGCGGGACGGAGTCTAACACGTGCGTGGACGCGCACAGCGCGCGCCAGCCGTCCGTGTCTAGCCCTATCCCGTCGTCCGGGCGCCAGACGTGCGCGTTGATCCCGGCGTCGCGAAGCGATCGAGCGCGCGCCTCGTCGCGGCACGTCCCCGACACCGTCCACCCGCCGCGTCTGAGCGTGTTCGCGACGCCGAGCGAGACGTACCCGAGCCCGAAGATGAACATGTGGCGCGGCGTGCCGTCGGGCTCGACGTTAGGGGGTGGCGTGAGGCGCGCGCGCGGCGCATCGGAGGAGGAGGAGGACGAGGAGGAGGAGGACGAGGAGGAGGACGACGACGCGTTCGCGCGACGCGCGCGACGCGACGACGACGCGAGCGTCGCGCGATTCAGACCCCGGGGCGACGAGGACCGCGACGAGGATCTGGTGGCCGCATACCAAGCGCGCGCGACGGCGCGCGCGCTGGGGACGCGCGATGACGGCTCGACGCGCGCGGCCATCTCGCCAGCGGCTGGGGCGATCGGTAGTGCCGACCCGCGAGCGCCTGAGGGCGATTCCATACTAAAAAGTTCATCGATCAGTTGAAAGGGGAAGCGATCAAGTGTTGAAACCGAGGGATGGGTGAAATACAGTACGTTTCCGCAATTTCGACGCAGGAGCCGTCGTCCCTTCGTCGTCGCCAAGAGTCTAATAATTCCCATTTCCGTCATACGCACGCGCGCGCCACACGCACACGCACGCGCGATGGTTCTCCCCGCCGCGCAGCCGTGGGAGTTCTCCCTCGTGGACAAGATCTTCCAGAAAGGCGGCGACGGCGCGGGCGGGATCGCGCGCTACCTCGCTCGGCACGTGCGCAGCAGCGACTACACCCCGCCCGGGGCGATCCTGAACGTCGATTTCAGGCGCGCGATCGCGGAATTGAACGTCGCGGTGACGCCCGCGTCCTACGACGCCGTCGCCGCGACGTGCGGAATCACGTCCAACACCGCGCCCGGGGACTTCCTCTCCGTCCGTCTCCTCTCTCAGAGACTCGCGAGCCTCGCGGCGACGGGCGTGGGGATCAGCAGCGTGTACGCCCCGGTCGGCGACTCCCCGTTAACCGGGGTCACGATCCCGCGCGTCGCGCTCGAGGTGCACAACCGCGCGCTGAAAGGGATACGCATCGGAGGCCCGAACGACCCGGACTACGACCCGCCGCAGCGCGGCCAGCCGTCGTCCCCGCGCGCGCCCGCGGCGAAGAGCGACCCGAACTCGTGCATGTACGACGTCGACGCGCTCATCGAGGCGGAGAATCGAGCGGCGGCGGAGGACGCGGCGGCGACGCGCGCCAAGTCGAAAGAAAACAACGGCCTGTACTCCATCTCGAGCGTGTTCGGCGGCGCGCACGCGGAGGAGTCGACGCCGCACAAGTTCGGCGACCGACGCGAGTCCCCCGCGCACACGCCCGCGAGCGAGACGGCGCCGTACGCGGATGAGAACACGCACGCGACGCCGCGTCGAATCGCGCAGAGGGAATGGGAGCGGCGACGCGCGGAGGACTCCGCCGCGGGCGCCGTCGCCGCCGTCGGCGTCCCTCCGATCCCGGAGCTGCCGTACGACCACCAGTGCAAGCCCATGGCGAGCCTAAACAGCGTGGAGAAGGTGGAGGAAGCGATGCGGACGTCGCTCATGGCGCGCATCAGCGTCAACGGCGGCGACACGATCGGTCGCGCGATGCGAATCTTATCCGGCATGTCCGCCGCGGGAGGGAGGGTGAACCGCAAGCAGGGCATCCGCCTGCACGAGTTCCACGACGCGATGAAGCGCGTGAACGTGAACCCGGCGGATCCGAGAATCGTCGAGGAGCTGTTCAAGAAGCACGATGCGGACGGGAACGGCACGCTGGACTACGACGAGTTTGTGAGGTATTTGCTCCCGCAAGACTTCATGCCGACGTCCCCGAAAGAGTACAGGAAGCAGTACAACTACCGCGGGTTCGCGCCGAAAATCGGCGAGATGGTCCCCGGCGGCGGCGACGGCGGGATCACCCAGGTGAAAGGCGGCGCGGACGAGGAGACGTACGACAAGAACGGCGACCAGTCGTGGCACGTCAACGACCGCATCTGGCACGGCGAGGTCCAAACCGCGGGGATGAAAACTCCGCGCGGGTACCGCGTCCTCCCCGAGCGCGGCATCCAGCGCCCGTCCATGGAGCAAGAGAAGGTCGGGACCGCGATGTTCCAGAAGCGCGATTCGAGGATGCACGACATGATCCCCGACGACGCGGCGCGGCCGGGGAAAACCACCGCCGGGGACATCAACGTCGTGTTGTACGACGATCACGTCGGGCAGCACAACCTCAGCGTGAGGCACATCGAGGCCGCGATGATCGAGAAGCTCGCGGGCGCGAACGGCGGCGACGCGACGCCGCAGGCGCTGCACAAGCACTTCAAGTACTTCGACGTCGACTTGGACGGCGTCATCACGAGGGCGGATTTACGAAAGGCGATTCTGAGGCTCAACGTGGACCCCACCGACGACGCGTTCGAGGCGCTGTGCGCGAAGTACGACCCCACGAACAGCGGATTCGTGGACTACGCCACGCTCGCGCACGAGATCGTGAAGGACAGCGCGCAGTCGAGGTCGGTCGTGGAAGCGAGCCGCGGCGGCATGGGCGAGCGTTGGGGCGCGGACGGCAAAGACACCTGGGCGGGGTACGACCGCGGGAAACTCCAGTCGCACCTCGAAGCGATGCAAGAGCCGGGCGTCTTCGACCGCGGGAAAGCCGGCGAGGCTGGGTACGTGCCGAAGATCACCACGGCCGAGGAGCTCGAGCGGCTGCTGACGCAGAAGGCGATAGAGAAGCTCAGCGCGACGGGGTTCAGCGGGGCGATGAACGCGTGGAAATATTTCGACCGCGACGGCAGCGGCGGCGTCGACCGCGACGAGTTCGAGACCGCGCTGAGCCACTTCAACATCGCGGCGACGAAAGAGGTCATCGACGAGGTGTTCAATAAGTACGACAAGTCCGGGGACGGGGATTTGGACTACTTCGAGATGCTCGAAGCGCTCGTGCCGTCGCACGCGATTGACACGGTGCAGTACATTAAACGCTTGGACGGGAACGAGGACCGGTCGAGAGCGAAGAGTCATCGCCAGGCGGCGACGGAGGGGCGGGACATCGGGAGCGCGCGCGTGACCGCGGTGAACGACGGCTCGCAGCGGATGACGGTGAAGCAGTTCCAGAAGAAGCTCGTGGGGTGGATGTCCGCGCGCGGGAGCGGTTTGGTCAAGTTGCGGGCGATGTTCAAGTATCTCGACACGGACGGCAACGGGAAGGTGTCGCACGCGGAGTTCGCGAAAGGGCTGCACCGCATGAACATCCACCCGCGGCACGAGGATATGGTGAAGATCCTGAAGCACTACGACGCGAACGAAGACGGCGAGATTGACTTTGAGGGGTTTTTCAAGACGCTCATCCCGGAGCAAGACAACGCCGGATTCGTCGACGGGAACTGGCAGTGGGACGCGTACCACGACCCGAAACCGGCGAACATCGTCCCGACGTCGCACATGCTGTACGGTAACGGCCTGGAGAAGATGCTCATGGAGAAGATCGAGCAGCTCATGGACGGCAAGGGGAGCATGATCAAGGTGTTCCGCGAGTTGGATTGGGACAGGAGCGGCACCGTGGACCCGAGAGAGTTTCGCGCGTGGTTGAACCGTCTGAACTTTCACCCGGACGACGAGACGTTCGAGAGGACGTGGAAGTCGTTCGATCCCGAGGGGAAAGGGCACCTCGTGTACCAGGACTTCGTCAGTCGCGTCGTGCCGAAGACGAAGTTCGGTGGTCTCGAGTGACGTGAGAGTGAACGAAGCGCATACTGTAATGTAATGTAATCTCGACGTACGAATGTACTTTAAATTTGCATCGTCTATCCTCGCCCTCTCTACTCTTCTCCGTCCATGACTCATCGCGCGACGACGACGCTCGCTCACGCGAACGGGTTGAACGACTTCTGCTGCTGCTGCTGCTGCTGCGGCTGCGCGAACGGATCAACCAGCGGCTGCTGCTGCTGCTGCTGCGCGAGAAGCGGGTTTTGCCGCATCGACTGCGGCTGCGACCCGTACGGGTTCGGCGCCGCGAACGGGTCCACGACCGCGCCGCCGTTCCCGACGCTCGCGGGCTGCGCGCCACCGGGCGACGGCGAGAACAGCGTCTGCATCTGGTGCCCGTTCTGGTTCACGCTCTGCATCATCTGCCCGAAAGGATCACCCGCGGTGGAATCTTGGTTCCCCACCGGCGAGTGCGGCTGCGGCGGGATGGACGAGTTCAACCCGCCGTTGAACGGGTCGTCGCCGCGCGTCGGCGACGCGGGCGTGAACGCCGAATGCTCTGGAATGTGCTGCTGCTGCTGCTGCTGCGCGCCGCCGCGCTGCTGCGCCTTGGCGATCGCCGCCGCCATGGCGCTCGGCGGGCCCGAACCTTGCGCGTCGAGCTCAGCCAGCGTCATCGTCGGGACGTCGTCGCCGCGGCCGCCGCCGCTCGCGGACCTCTCGTGCGCGTACTTGTCCGAGAACCTCCCGGAGGAGGGACCGCCGCCGCCGCCGGGGCCGTCGCGCAGGAGTTCCTTGCGTCGCGAGGAGATGAGCTGCGTGAATTGGCGGCTCGTCCCGGGGTCGAACTGCAGGACGTCGCAGAACGCCTTCTTCTCCCCTGGGCGCTGCGCGAACTCGAGCGCGAGCTGGTAGATCTTCCGCGAGTCCTTCACGACGAGGTACACTTGCTTCAGGTCGATGATTTTCTTCGTCCACTTGTGCACGACGAATCCGCGGTCGTCGATCTTCACGGAGACGATCATGTTGCCGTGGACTAAGATGCGGCGCGGGTACTTTTTGTTGCGAAACGCGCGCACGAGCGCGTCGCCGTGGGCTTTGTTGCACATGAAAACCTGCTCGAAACTCTTGTCGAGGTCGCTCGCCATTATCGTCCGCCCGCGGGCGATGTCCTCGATGGTGAACTCCTCGCGCGAGCCGCGGTCGCCGTAGCGAGACATCGTTCGCGACGTTTAGCGGCGATTCCGTGGATAATTCCCGATCGAAGCGCCGGTCGCTTTCGAGAGCGTTGCGCGCTGCGTTCGGTCGCTTCGTCGGAGACAACGGACGCGCGCGAGCGGCGAGTCCTCGAATCAAGCGCGAAGACGCCCGAGGCGTGCGACGGGTGACACGGCGGGGACGTGCGTCGCGCGCGGCGTCTCTGCGAGCCGGCGCCGCCGCGAGAACGATAAAGGCGTGTGTCGCTTTCCGTGTCGGCGTCGTTTCCAGGTTAGGTTAAGTGATAAAGTAGACCGTTGTTTAGGAGTTAATCTCACAGCGGTGGCTGGCCCACGATCTTCTTTTTTTCACGCCGCGGGAGAGAGCCGCTGCCGCTCGGGGGAGAGCCGTGAAAATCTGTAAAACTTTTCCCCCGGTCACGCCGCGGGCGACTCCCTCTTCATCTCGTCCATCTTCTTCGCCGCGTCCTCGAACGCTTTCCGCTTCCGCTTGTTCGGACGCGTCGCCGCGCTCGACGCGCTCGCGCTCGCGGCGACGCCGCCGCCGCCGGCGATCGCGCTCTTCGAGTCTCTCGCCGTCGCGCGCGCGTCGCGCGCGGCGGCTTTCGCGAGCGAGCGCTCCTCCTTCGCCTCGACGGCGGCGGCGGCGGCTCTCTGCGCCTGAGCCTCGGTCGACGCCGACGCCGACGCCGACGCCGACGTCGCCGTCGATTTCTTCTTCGGCGTCTTCCCGCGCTTCGGCGGAGGCGACGTCGCGCGGTGCTCGTGCTTCGCCGCGTCCGCTTCGAGCGCGGCGTCGCCGTCCTCCTCGGCTGAGGGTTCTTCTTTTCGAACGTAGAACCGGAGGTACTTTTCGAAGTCGGCGTCCGCCTTGGCCACGGCCGCGTCGTAGCACTTCTCGAGCGTCTTCGCGGCGCCTTTCCCGCAGTCTTTCACCCCGGGGATGTCCTTGAGCGCGCCGTGAACGCGGATCGCGCGCTCGTACTGGATCGCGAGCGCGCACTCGGGGTGCCGGTACAGCGTCTCTTCGTACGCGCCGTTGCAGAACGCGATAGCGAGGCAGAGGTCGCCCGGCTGCATGCGGCCTCCGCGGTCGCACGCGTGTTCGCAGCACATCGTCTCGCAGGGCGCGCGCTCGAGGAGGAACGTCGCCTCCGTGACGGCGGGCGCTTTCGCGGACGTCTCCGCGGCGGGCGGCTGGGAAGAGGGAGCGTCAGCGCGCGTCGTTGCTTTTGAAGGCGGGAGAGAGAGCGAGGAGCGGGCGCGCGCGCACGTCGTCGGTCGCGCGGAACAAGTCGCGGAAGAGGGCGTGCTCGTCGGTGGAGTCGAGTGCGAGGGCCATCGTCTCGTGAGCGATGAGAAGGCGTGCGGCGGGTTGGACGAGCGCGCGTGCTGTTCTGTTTGCGGGAGGAAAACACGCGCGGGTTTCGTTTAAAAAAGTCTCAAAACCTCGGCGGGCGCGCGCGTCGCGTTCGTTCGCGTGTCGTCGTGTCGTTTCGTTACATCGGGCGCGTGCGCAGGCCTATATACAAGAACGCAGTGAATGAAGTGAATGAAATCCGCGCGTGCGTCGCGCGTGGTGCGTGATGCGTCGTCGTTTCGTCCGTCGCGCGGCCCGTCGTCGTCGTCGTCGTCGTCGGGCTGCGTCGCGCACAGCTGTGCGCGCTCACGCCGCGGCGGGCGAGCACGGGGCGTCGGCTTCCTCGGCCGCGATCGCGTCCTTCCGCGAGGACTTCCGGTTGCCTTCCCTGAAGACCTTCGCGGGCTTCATGGACGCGTTCTTGCGCTTCTTGCTCACCGCGATCGGCTCGTCGTCGTCGTCTTCCGCCTCGGCGTCGTCGTCGGCGGCGGCGGCGGCGGCGTCTTTCTTCGCGGCGGCGGCGGCAGCCTTCTGCTCCGCCTTCGCGGCCTTCGCTTCTTCCTTCGCGCGCTCCTTCTCTTCCTTCGCCTTGGCCTTGGCGTCCTTCTCCGCCTGCTTCGCGGCCGCGGCGTCCTTCTTCGCCTTGGCTTTCTCCGCGGCTTTCGCTTCCTTCTCCTCGACTTTGTGCGAGCCCTTGTCCGCCTTCTCCTGCGCCTTTTGCGCGGCGTCGAAGTTCGCGCTCGTCTGCGTCGCGGCGTACGCCTGGTCGACCTGACCGAGGATGTCCTCGTCGTCGCCGACGCCGGGGATCTCGCGCAGGGACTCGTACGACTCGAGCGCGTTCGTGAACTGCTTTTCGGTCACTGCGAGGAGGGGCGGGAGAGGAGGAAGGCGTGAGCGCGCGCGCGTTTGAACGGACAGGAAACGCGCGACGCACCGCAGCCGAGGTGGCTCCAGTACGTCTGATCGTGCTCGTCCCTCGTCGTGATGCTGCCCCAGCGCAGGGCGTCCTTGGCGATCGGATCCTTGCACTTCCTGCAGTTGGATCGGCCGCTCTTCGCGTGTTCGATGACGTACTTGTTGGACATAGCGAGCCTGCGGCGAGGGAGGGGCGGGAAAAAGAGCGAGGGCGTTCGAACGAGCGAACGCGCGCGCGAGAGAGAGAGCGCGCGCGTCAGGGAGTCGCGCGCGGGGTGAAACGACGGACGCGCGGGGACGACGCGGAGCACGCGAGGGACGCGACGGGGACGGACGCGCCTGGTGGGCGAGCGAAAGGAAAGTCGGTGAGGTGCGGCGGGGGGTAAAGCGCGTGGAGTCGTTGTGAAGCGCGTCGTGGCTCTCAAACGCGCTTCGTCTCTTTTCTGATGACTGGAAGATTCAAACTGAACGAGCTCCCGCCCAGCGCCGCGCCCGCCGGTCAGTTCCGCTTCGCGACCTTCCCCGCGCTGATCGCGATCGCCGCCACCCCCGCGGCGGCGGCTCCCAAGAACCCTAACGCCCATCCCGCCATGCCTTTGCCCTCGCCCTCAGCCTTTGCCTTCCCGCCCCCGTTCTTCTCCAGAAGCGCGGTCCCGCGCGGCCCCTCGCCGCGTTCGCGCTTCGCCTCCGCCTTTCTCCGCGCCCTCAGCGCCCTCGCTTTCGCTTTCGACAGCGGCGCCGGCGCCGGCGGTTCGATCCCCGGCGCGGTCGCTTTCGCCTCGGCGACGGGTTTCGTCGCGGGCGCCGTCGCGCTGCCGGTCGTGGGCGCCGTCGCCGCCGGCGCCGCCATCGTCGCCGCCGCGGGCGCGGGCTGCTCCGCCTTTACCGCCGCGGGTCCCTCGATTTTCTCCCCCCCCGCCGCCGCCGCCGCCGCCGCGGGCGTCTCCTCCGCGGGCGCCGCCGGCGTCGGTTCGGGCTTCGAAGGCGGCGCGGCCGCGAGCGACGCGGCCTGTTCCAACGTCGGCTTCGCGCTCTTCTTCCTCTTCGCGCCCTTCTTCTTCTCCGTCTTCGGGTCCGTCGCGGGAAACGCCGCCGCCGCCTCCGCCTCCGCGACGGCTTTCACGAGGGGATCGTTCTCGACGCTCCACGGCCGCTGCGCCACCTTCGCGTCCTCCACGACGACGCCCTTGGCTCCTTTCTTCTTCTTCTTCCTCTCCGCGACGACCGCGGTGACTTTCATCGTGTCCACCTCCGCTTTCGCCCTGATCTCGTTCGCGACCATCTCCGCGGTCGCCTTGACCGGGTCGGCGCTCGCCGCGCCGCCGCCGTCGAATCGAAACGCGCTCCCCTTGACGCCGTCGTCCTCGCCGCCGTCGTTCTCGTTCTTCTTCGACGGCGGCCGCGCCGCGATCCTCTGCTTGCGCGACTGCCGCTGCTTCACGAGCTTTATCTTCGCCTCGACGACGCCGATCTGTTCCGGGGTGCTCGCCACCTCGAGCGCCGCTTCCAACGCGCGCAACGCGCCGTCGTCGTCGCGCATCTCTTCGAGCACCGCCGCCTTTCGAAAGTGCGCCTTATCCCAGTCCGGCCGCAGCTCGATGCACTTCTCCGCGTCCGCGAGGGCTAGGCTGACTTTGAGGAGCTTCAGCAACGACGCGCTTCGGTTGCTGTATATCGGCGCGAGCTCCGGGGAACTGCGACGGAGGGGCGAGGGAAGAGAAGCGCGGGAGAATGAGCGTGAGTCGGCGGCACGTTTCGTTTTTGAACGTCTCGCGCGCGATCTGGCGCGGGGGCGGGCGCGTTCGGGCGCGCATCGCGCGTAGCGAAGGCGACGCGAGGCATCCGCGCGAACGCACCTCTCGCATCCTTCCTTGCTCGCGAGCTTGAGCGCTTTCGAGTACGACGCCGCGGCTCTCAGGAAGTCGTTCTCGCGGAACTGCTCGTTCCCGGTCGCCTTCAGCGTCGTCACCGCGTCGGAGAGCGCCATGGCGCGCGTCTCAGGGACCGCGTCGCGCGGAGACGCGCGGGGTGTGATGTGACGGGTACTTGGAGTAACCCGGGAGCGTGACGCGTCCGGGCGCGCCGTGCAGTGGCGAGGGGGGGGCGTAGATCACCACGCGTGTTGACCCGCGAGATACTTTTCGGGACAGAAATCAACAGTCATTTTTCGTCTTCGCGCGTCTTCATCATCGACGGCGACGCGCGGCCGCGTCGGTCGTAGCCATTCCACGCGCGCGTTTCTCTAGTTCACACGTTTCATTACCACCCACCGATAAACACGCCGTCGCTCGCTCGCTATGACTATCGAACGCGCGCTCACTTCGCCTCCTTCTCGACGCGGTCGGTGACCAGGATGAGGTGGTACCCGAACTGCGTCTGCACCGGCCCTTGAATCTCCATCACCGGCCCGTCGAAGACGGCGTCGTTGAACTCCTTCACCATCTGCCCGGGCTTGAACGTCCCCAACGAGCCGCCCTTGGACTTAGACGGGCACTCGCTGTACTTCCCCGCTTCCCGCGCGAATCTGTCTTCGATGTTATCCTGAGGGCCGTCGTTCAGCCTCTCGAGGAGGGAGACGGCGAGCGAGCGATCCTTCACGAGGATGTGGCTGGCGGTGGCCTCCTCGCCGCCCGCGAGCGCGAGCAGGCCCGAGATGGCGCCGCGCGAGCCCCACAGGACGGCAGCCTGCGCGAGGAGAGATGCGCGCGTCAGCGGCGGTGACGACGACGACGCGTCGGCGCGTCGACGGCGACGCGACCGCGCGGCTCGGAGAGACGGAGAGACGGAACGGAATGTGCGATGCACGGCGACGGCGTATCGGAGGGAGATATCGGAGGGAGATATCGATGTCGCGCCGCTCGACGGAGGACGACGACGGCGCCGAGGACGCGGTCGAGACGCACCAGCGAGGCGTAAATCGCGATCGTCGGGATCGTGTCCTCGAGGCTGTCCGCGAGCTGGAGGATCGCGTTGCCGTGCTCGGTCGCGGCGAACGCCGCGGGGGCGACCGCGAGCGAGGACGACGACGCGAGCGCGAGTCGCGCGATCGGCGCGGCGTTTCGCGACGGCCCGACCGCGGCGGTCGCCTTGCGAACGGCGCTGTTTTTCGGCGCGGACGCGGCCGCGACGGGCGCGAAGCGAAGGGAGGCGACGCAGAGGGCGGACATGTCGGAGGGTCTCGCGACGAGTGCGCGACGGCGAGTGCGCGCGACGGACGAGGATGAATGATGACAACTGTCCCCGGCGCGTCATGTCAGCTCCGATTATTTTCGGCGGGAGGGTTCTGTTGGACGCGGACGCCGCCGGCCTCACAGCGAGCGGCACGCACCGAGGGGACCACCACCGGCTCGCGCACCATGGGCCGCCACGGCGTCTCAAGCATCCACGCCGCGCTGGACGACTTCGTCACGAAGCTGAAGCGGGGCCAGCTGGAGACGAATTCGATCGCGCTCGCGAGGCACGCGACCGAGGTGCTCATCCACGCGGTCGCCGCGCAGCAAGCGCCGACGACGCAGGGGATCATCGACGGCGTGCGCGCGGTGAGCAAGGAGATGGTGGACGCGAGGCCGTTGGGTGCGTCCGCGTCGTGAGACAGGGAGACTCGCGCGCTCTGATCGATCGAGCTTTCGCGCGCGAGGATGCGCGATCCCGCCCCCGCGAAGAACGATGTCCGCCGCGCGCGAAAACCCTTCCATCCTCTGACCGCCCCTCCTCCCCCCGTCCCCACCCCCGCCGCCTACTCCTCCAGAGCTCGTCGTCGGGAACATGTGCAGGCGCGTCTTGCACATCATCCGCGAGGAAGCGGACGACCGCGCGGACGACGGCGAGGAGGGCCACGACGTCATGAGAGCGTTCAAAGCGGAGGTGATTGAGGTCATCGGCGAGCTCGTCGACGAGCTCGAATCCGCGCAGTCGCACATCACCGGCCACGCCCTAGAGCACATCTCCCCGCAGTGCGTGGTCTTGACCTCCGGCGGCAGCGACGTCGTCGAGGCGTTCTTGAGGGAAGCGAACAGGAAGAGGAAGTTTCAGTGCGTCGTCGCGGAGGGCGCGCCGACGTTCGGCGGCCACCGCCTGGCGAAGCGGCTCGCCGACGCCGGGATCGAATGCACGGCGACGTCCGACGCGTCCGTGTTCGCGGTCATGAGCCGCGTGAACGTCGTCGTCCTCGCCGCGCACGGGGTGTTCAACAACGGCGGGGTGTTTACGAAAGGCGGGGGGCTCTCCGTCGCGCTCGCGGCGAAGAAGCACTCCGTCCCGGTGATCGTCCTCGCGGGGCTTCACGAGCTGTCGCCGCTGGGGCCGGGGGATCGCGAGTTCGAGATGAACGACCTCTTGTCTCCCGCGGAAGTGATCGACTACACCGCGCTGGCGGACTGTCTCCCCGCGGCCGCGAGTTTCAGCGCGGGAGGGCCGGGAGGAGGAGGAGGAGGAGGAGGAGGGGAAGGTGGGATCGCGGGGGGAGCGGACGCGGACGCGAACGCGAACGACGGGGGGGCGCGAGAGCGCGGGATGGAGGCGTCGCTGGACGTCGCGAACCCGGCGTTCGATTACGTCCCGCCCGAGCTCGTGTCGCTGTTTCTCACGGACGCGGGCGGGCAGGTGCCCGCGTTCGTCAAGTCGCTCTTGGGGGAGATTTACTCGCCGTTAGATAAGACGTTTTAACACGAACGGAGGCGTATGTAGCACTTTACCTCGTTCGCGCTCGCGCCGCGCGGGGACCAAACTGTTCTGTTCTGCGCGCGACCTAAAATGACTATTGAGAACTCTGCAACATCTGTCGCGTCACCGATCAGATCACGACGCGCGTTCGTCATGGCGGTCACGCGGAGCAGAACCGGGCGAATCCCGACGCGCAGGATCACGCACGACGACGATCGCGCGCCTCTGTCTCACGATGGCGACCAGAAGCGCGGCGTCTCGTCGTCGTCGACCTCCTCCTCCTCGCTGAAGGGGGATCGCGGCAGCATCGCGCTCCTCCTCCTGCTCTACACCCTCCAGGGCGTCCCCATGGGCCTGAGCGCGTCCGTGAGCTTCATCCTCCAAGAGAAGGGCGCGACGTACGCGGAGCAAGGGATCTTCTCCCTCGCGTCGTGGCCGTTCAGCCTGAAGATCCTCTGGGCGCCGCTCGTGGACGCGCTGTACGTGCGCTCGATCGGCCAGCGCCGGACGTGGCTCATTCCTCTGCAGTGCGTCGTCGGCGCGACGCTGCTGTGGACCGCGGAGAACGTCGGCGCGCTCATAAGCGACGAGGGCTCGGACGTTCGCACGCTCGCGGGGGTGTTCTTCTGGATCTACGCCCTCCTCGCGTCGCAGGACATCGCCGTGGACGGTTGGGCGTTGACGATGCTATCGCGCGAAAACGTCGGCCTCGCTTCGACGTGCAACAGCGTCGGTCAAACCGCCGGTTTCTTCGTGTCGTTCACCGGGTTCTTAGTCCTGAACTCGTACGGCAGCGTCGGCTTGAAAGGGTTCATCACGTTCTGGGGGTTCGTGTTCCTGTCGTCCGCGGTGTTCGTGTTCTTGAAGAAAGAGAAGCCGGTGAAGCCCGGCGCGGTGGAGGGCGTCGCGGACTCGTACCGCCAAGCCGTCTCCATCGCGCGCCTTCCCGCGGTCCTCAAGCTGTGCGGCGTCCTCGTCACGCGCGCGATCGCGTTCAGCGCCGCGGAGACGATCACGACGCTGAAGCTCCTCGAGCGCGGCGTCCCGAAGCAGCACATGGCGTCCATCAGCGCGATGATGACGCCGGTGTCGCTGTGTCTGCCTCTGATCGTCGCGCGTTGGACCGGCGGCCCGCGGCCGTTAGACGTCGTCGTGAAGACGTGGATGTTCCGCGCGGTCGCCGCGCTCGGCGCGTCCGCGGTCGTCCTCTTCGTCCCCGCTGGCGTCGGCGACGCGAACGCGGCGATCCCGTGGGCGTACTACGCGTGCGTGTTCGCGTGGACGAGCGTGTACGCCGGGCTGAACACGATTCATTTCGTCTCGTTCATGTCGTTTTACTCGCGCGTGTCCGACGCGGACATGGGCGGGACGTACATGACGTTGCTCAACACGGTGTCGAACTTGGGGTACAAGTGGGTGGAGACGAGCACGATGTTTATCATCGACGCCGTGAGCGAGAAGCGGTGCGAGGGGTTGAGAGGGAAAGCCGCGGCGGTCGCGGCGGCGGCGGCGATGGACAAGGCGACGTGTCTCGCGAAGGGCGGACGGTTCGTCAGCGGCGATCGCGCGTTTCATCTCGCCGTCCTCGCGACGCCGTTCATCGCGTACGCGTGGTTGAAACTCGCGCGCGCGCACATTAATTCGCTTCAATCGGGGAGCATGGGGAAGTGGAAGGTGAGGGTTCGTAATTAAGAGCTGTGAATAAATGTTTACTTCGAAAAAACTGCCTTCAACACCAGCAGTCAAACACACACCAGTCAAAAGTCGTCCGCGGCCCGCATAGCGTCCATCGCGAGCGCCCGCGCAGCGCGCTCGCGATGACCGACATGGACGTCGACGAGCGCAAGCGCGGCCCCGAGGACGTCGACAGCGACGGGTTCTCCCGCGGCAGCGGCTCCGACGTCGACGTCGACGACCCGCCGCCGCGCGTGAACGACTCCGTGCGCTTGTCGCTGCCGCGGTACGAGCCCCCGGGCGCGGGGGACGAGATGCCGCCGCCGCCGCCGCGGACGGCGGACGGCGGCGCGGCGTCGCCGAGCGCGAGCACGCCGAGCGTCCCGATAATCTCTCTGGGCGGCGTCGGAGCCGGTGGCTCCGGAAGCGGCGGCGGGCTCACGTCGAGGAAGCCCCCCGGATTAGGACTGAACGTGAGCGCGACTTCGAATCCGGATACGCCGCCGACCGGGGTGACGATGCCGTCGCCCTCCGGGAGCGGCGGGTCGTCGGGGGGAAACAAGCCCCCGCGCCTGAGCCTGAGCGGCGGGAACCGGCCGCTGGGGTTAGACCTCGACGCGCTTCGAGACTCGGACCCGGACTCGCGGCCGATGTCCGAGCTCCAGATTCGTCGCGAGAAGTTCTCGCACTTCGAGAAGCACTGCACGCAAATCACCGAAGGCCTCTACGTCGCCGGGGACCTCGTCGCGAAGAACCGCGCGACGCTGGACGAGCACGGGATCACGCACGTCATAAACTGCGTCGGGTTCCTCATACCAAACTACTTCGAGGGCGACATGACGTACTTCCCGCTGTGGCTGCACGACACGCCGAACGAGGACATCATCTGCGTCGTGTACGATTGCATCGATTACGTTCGCACGTCGCACCGCTCGCACGACGGTCAGGGGCGGACGCTAGTGCACTGCTCCCAGGGCGTGTCTCGGAGCGTGTCGATAGCGATCGCGTACGTGATGTGGAAGGACGGAGGTAACTACGACGAGACGTTCAAGGTGGTGAAAGCGCGAAGAGGGATCGCGAACCCAAACATCGGATTCACGTCGCAGATTTTAATCTGGGATAAGCGGCGTCGGACGGAGAGCCTCCCCGGTGGCGGCGTCGATCGTCTGTACGTCATCGCGCCGCAGTCGGAGCACGACCCGAAGTACCTCGTCGCGAAGCAGGTCACCATCGGCGGCGGCGACGGAGGGAAAATAGGCGTCGAGTTGCTCGACTCGAGGTGCGTGTTCGTGTTCCAAACGAAAAGCGGCGTCGTTTACGTGTGGTTAGGGAAGGACAGCGAGAGCAAAGGCAAGGAGTGGAGGACGCGCGGGGAGACCTTCGCGAGGCAACTCAGAGAGTACGAGCGTGTCACCCCGGGGACGATGGTGCTCGTGAGACAAGGGGAGGAGAACGCGGAGTTCCTCGCCGCGCTGGGCGGCGGCGGCGGCGCGTCGGCGAAGAACGAAGCGACGGCGTCGGTCGGCGTCAACGCGTCCTACGACGCGGACTTTGACCTGTACGAGAAGGGGGTACGAAGCGCCGTCGCCGCGCGAAGCGGCGCGGCGATCCCCGCGCCGGAGTGGGCGCGCGCGCTGACGCGCGCGCACGGCGGCGCCCCCCCCGGCGCGGGCGGGAGCGCGACGCTCACGAAGGGCTGGTCGCTGAGCGAGCGCTCGAGCGCGCCGAGCGGGCACTTCCCCCCGGTCGGTCTCAACCAGCCCGGGTACCAGGACGACGGCGGCGACGGCGCGTCGACCGCGCGGCCGTTCAGGAGGTACCTGTCCGTCCCCACCGGCGGCGGCGGCGGCGGCGCGGAGGACGTGGACGACGACGCGTTCGCGGCGGCGTCGGAAGCCGCCGCGACGAAGGTGGCCGAAGACGGGTTCGCGCCCACCGATGACGTCCCGCTGTCCGCGCGCGTCAGCGACATGACGCGGTTGCTGGACTATCCCGCGATGGACGTCCTCGGGGTGTACGACGAGGACGATCTAGACTCGAGCGGGGTGTTCATCTTAGTCGAGCGCGGCGAGAAGAGTCTCCGCGTGTGGGTCGGCGAGGACGCGACGCAAGGCGACGCGTGGATCGACGGGGAGGACGTCGAGGTCGCCGCGGAGAGGATCGGGAGGGCGTGCGCGAAGAAGCTGGAGCTGATGGACGCGTGCGAGATCACGCTCGAGAGGGAAGGGAACGAGTCCGACGCGTTCTGGGAAGCGTTCGAGGCGGGGCAGTAGTCGCCGTCGCGACGAGCTTTAATTTCGTCGTTCGTAAAAAAAAAAAGCGCGAGGCGCGACTATCCTGTCCCCGTCCCCTTCTCGATCTCCCACGACTCGTCTAAAAAGTCTCCGCTAATTCGATCGTTCTTCGCGCGCCGCCGCGCGTTCGCGTTCCCGGTACGCGACGGCACGCCTCTCCGTGCCCGCGTGCGACGCCTCCCCCGGCGACGCCCGCGTCAATAAAATCCCATCCACGCCTTCTTTTCTCTTCCTATCCGGCAGACTTTCTTTCTCCGCCGAAAAACAATCCTCCAACCTGGCGCTTACGCGAGGAAGCCGAGCTTCCCGCCGTTCTGCTTCGCGGTGCGAATCAGGTTCTGGCGAACCTTGCCGTCCGCGCCGATCTCCTTGCAGAATTCGGTGATAACCTGAAGAAAAACAAGACGGATCGAAGACGTCAGCGCGGCGCGACGAAGCGACGCGGTCGGGCTTGTTATCCAACCACACGAGGAAAGACTGCGGACGAAAAGGGGGACGGGGGATCGACGCGCCGCGCGCGCTTACCTGCGAGTGGAGCGCGATGGCCTTGCCGCGAATCTGGTTGAAACGCTTCACCCCGATGACATCGCGCGCGACGACGACGATCGGCGCGAAGAGACCGCCCTCGTAGTCGTTCCCCGCCACCACCCTGAGCGAGCCGCGCGACGTCGCGCGACGCGACGCGGGCGTCGTCGCCGCGACTTTCGCGCCCATCGGCGCGGAGGTCTTGAACCCCAGCCCGCGCGCGTTCGTGGACGCGGCGGCGAGAGCGGAAGATCCAACGATCGCGGACATTTTATCCGTGTGCGGAGCGTGCGATGTGCGTGCGAGAGTGCGTCGCGTCGTCCCGTCGCGCGCGCGTTAACACATCCGGCGAACGGAATACTTACGTGGAGCGCCCCGGTTGATTCTCTGCCTACCGTCAGTTTTCGTCTCTTCGCTGATTGGTCGATGACTTCTGACTGTTTGCTCGTACGTGTACACTCGAAAAGTACACATACTTCCGTCTCGCGTCGGGACCGACCAGCTGCAGGAACTCAACTCCGAGCTGTCCTCGAAGGCGTTCGACTTGTCCTCCGCGCTCCGCCTCCTCGCGCGCGCGGACGGCGGTCGTCCTCGCGTCGCGCGATGAAGGACGACGACCCCGCGATCCTCCTCGCGAGATTCGCGCTCGTCCTCGTCGCGTCCTGGGCCGCCGGGTCGCTCGTGCAGCGCGTTCGGCTGCCTCGCATCACGGGGCACATCTTCGCCGGCATCGCGTGCGGGCCGCACGTCGCCGGCGTCGCGACCGAGCGCCTCGCGTCGATGCTGACGTCCCTGGACGTCGTCTGCCTCGCCGTCATCGGCGTCGCCGCGGGCGCGGAGCTGCGGGCGTCCGAGCTGCGCAAGAACCCGAGGCCGACGCTCGTGATGACGCTCGCCATCTCGACGCTCTCGTTCCTCTTCGTGCTCCTCTCCGTCGTCCTCCTCCTCGGCCCGACGAGCATCGCGATGTTGCGCGGGCTCAGCACGTGGCACGCGGTCGCGGTCGGATCACTCGCGGGCACGCTCGCGATCGCGCGATCGCCCGCGTCCGCGATCGCGGTGTTGCACGAGATGCGAGGCAAAGGCCCGTTCTGCTCGCACGTCATGGCGGTCACCATCGTGAAGGACGTCCTCGTCGTCGTCGCGTTCGCGCTGAACATGGAGGCCGTCGCGCTGTCCGGGCTCGCGTTCCACCCCTACGACGTCGCCTACTCCGCCGCCGATGGCACCGCGGGCGGCTTGGGGAGAAGCGCGGCGCGTTCGGCGTTCGCGCTGATGAGGCCGTTCGCCGTCGTCGCCGCGTCCGCGGCGTGCGGCGTCCTCGCCGGCGTCGGGTTGTTCGGCCCGGCGCTCAAACCCGCGCGTCAGCGCCCGACGCTGTCGCGCGTCCTGCGCCCGGCGTACGTCCTCGTCATCGCGAGCGGGCTGTACGCGACGAGCGCGTCGTGCGGGCTCGAGGCGCTGTTGATTTGCATGCTCGCGGGGGCGACGGCGGCGAATCGACGGCACGACTCGGGCGAGCGCGAACGCGACGCGCTCGAGCTCGCGGTCCGCGGGTTGATGCCGATAAACAACCTCGTGTTCTTCACGAGCGTCGGGTGTGGGTTGCGCGTGCCCGCGGTGGTCGACTACGGGCTCGTCGCCGCGGCGATGACGGTCGCGAGGACGGGCGCGTTGATGGTCGCGTGTCGCCTCGGGTGCGTTCTCGTCGGCGCCCCGGCCGCGCACAAGGAGGTCATGTGGCAGGGGTTCGTCACCCAGGCTGGGGTCGCGCTCGGGCTCATTCGCACGATGGAGCGCAAGTTCCCCGGGTGGGGCGAAGACTTAGGGAGTCTCATGGTCGCGTGCGTGGTCGTGAACTTGCTCATCGGGCCGCCGTTGTTTCGAAACGCGATCGTCGCCGTCGGAGAGAGCGGCGTCGCCGGCGGCGGCGGCGGCGGCGCGACGGCGGGAGTTGGAGCACGGAGCGGCGCGGGAGGCGCGCCCGTGGGTATCGCGGGGGAGGTCTGACGAGACGAAGGCGACGAGGCAGCCCCTCTTTCTGTAGGTTTTAGCGAGCTTAGTAGTCGACGTAGGATGTGCCGCGAGTTCTCTCGAGTACATACTGTATTTCACGACGAGTCAGACGCGCCCGCGCCCGCTCACTCGTCCGACTCGGGCTCGGGGAACGAGTCCACGATGTGCGCGTACAACTTCCCCTTGTTGTTCGACGCCCACATCGAGTCGAATCCCTGGTTCACGACCTGCGATCGAGGGGAGAGACGGGACGGGGGTCCGCGGTGAGTTCGCCGCCGCGGCGCAAAAAAAGCCCTAGGCGCCAGCTGTGCGCGAGGCTGGCTCGACGGAGCGAGCGCCCTTCGGCGCGCGCGGACGCGATCGGAGCGAGGGAGGGACGAGAACAGACGATAGACGCGACGCGCACCTTCTCGCCGACGAGTGCACCCGCGACGATGACGCCCACGTACACGCTCGAGCGCTGCGGAGGAAGAAGATGCGGGGGGCGACGGAGGGTCAGCGGATGGCCGAAGCGCGCGTCTTCTGGGGAGGGCAACGATTGCATTTCCGGCGCCGGGGCGCGTTCGCGCCGACGAGCGCGTCGTCGCGGGGGGAGAACACACCGACATCGCGGCGCGGTAGAAAGCTTCGAACATGATCTAAAGTTTTGAAAAGTCACCGACGCTGCGACCGCTCCTCGCGCGCTGTGCTAGTGAGATCGCGATCGCGCGCGTCCCTCGAGAAAGATCGGTCTCGCGGTTCGACCCCGCCTGGCAGGTCCGTTGATCTCAGACGTCCTTTCAAGGTTTGCCCGGTGGGTACAGTAGGGCTAGAAGTTCGACCTCGAGCGAGGCGCGCCGCCGGCGCCACACACCGCCGCACGCGAGCGCGTTTCTTCGGGTTTCGCGAGGCGACGCGTCGCCTTCGCCGCGGGCGACCGGTCTCGCGCGTGCGAACCCGCGCGAACGCGCGCGCGAGGGCGAGGGCGAAGTCCGCGCGCGTCAATCAAATAAATCCGTCTGTGGACGCGTCACGACGGAGAGAATCCAATGCCCGTGTCGCTTCGGCCGGGGGATACCTCCCTCGTCGCGCACGCGAAGGTGCGCGCGCTCGCTTCCGCGCTCGTTCGATCGGATCGCTGACGGATCCCTCCCCCTCGACGTCTCGCAGGCGAAGTACGTGGGCGCGACCGCGCCGAAGGAGTTCAAGGTGCGCGAGCCGCGCCCTTCGACGACCTTTCAACGACAAAAAGACCTTTCTCCGAACATACTTCCGCGGGCGACGACCCGCGTCGCGCCGCGCGCGCTCGCGCCGCCCGCGATCAATCCGCGAACGCGTTCCTGACGCACAACCCCTCTCCTCCCCCGATCTTCCCCCGACGTTAACCCCGACAGCACATCTGCGTCGCGGTCGAGAAAGCGACGAACGGCGAAGAGATCGCGCCCAAGGAGAAGCACGTGCAAATCTTGCTCGACGTCGTCCGCCCGGGCGCGTCCATCGCGGACGTGTCTTTCCTCGTGAAGTACCTGAACAAGCAGATCCAGGACACGAAGAAATGGCTCGGGATGTTGAAGACGCACGTGTTGATACATCGCCTCCTGCACGAGAGCGGGGATGAGTTCAAGTCGCAGATGAAGAAGGCGCAGCGCTGGACGGCGGAGGACCGCGATCGCGACTCGCGCCTCAAGTGCATGTTTAGCATTCGAAACTGGAAGGACGACAACGGCGTGGACGCGAGCGAGTTATCCGGATGGACGCGGTGCTACGCGCGATACCTCGAGGAGTACGTCGAAGCCCTGGACGACATCCCGCCGTTAGGGAAGTCGATGGGCGGCAGAGGCGGCGGGTCGTCGAGAGCGCGCGATCGGAGCCGGTCGCGAGACCGCGACGACCGCGGGTACGGTCGCGACCGCGACCGCGGAAGCTTCGACCGCGATCGCGACCGCGGGTACGGTCGCGACCGCGATCGCAGCCGATCCCCGCCGAGACGCTTCGGCGGCGGCGGCGACGCCGCGCGCCAGTGGGAGCCCGGAGACGGCACCGCGATCCCGACGACGATTCTTCGAAACTGCGACGAGACGGAGCTCATGGAAAAGCTCCCGATCGTCCAGAGCTTGATGCGACGTCTGCTGGACTGCGAGGCGATTAACTCGCTCCTGACGAACAACGACATCGTCATCGCGGGGACGTCGTTGATCCTGCGCGACTCGTTCAAGATCTACCGCATGATCAACGACGGGATCATCCGCCTCATCGATCTGTTCTTCGAGATGGGAAAGATCAACGCGATGAAGAGCCTGGAGATTTACAAACGCGCGACGTCGCAAGGCGACGACCTCGAGCGTTTCTACCGCACGACGAACCAGTGGAGCCAGTTCCGCGACGTGAAGATGCCGAACATCGAGAACCCGCCGTCGAGCTTCCTTCAGACGATGGAGGAGTACGCGCGAGGCGCCTCCGCGGAGGGCGGCGGCGGCGGCGGCGGCGGCGGCGGGTACCAGGGCGGGGCCGTCGCCGCCGCGCCCGCGCGCGCGCCGCCGCCGCAAGCGCCCCCGCCCGCGCCCGCGCCGGCGACCGGTCCGCCGAGCATCGGCACGATGCTCGGCGGTCTGACCGTCGGCGGCGCGCTCGCGGCGGATCCGTACCAGGCGACGCCGCCTCCGCCGCAAGCGCAGGCGGTGGCGCCGTACGCAGCGCCGGCGCAGCAGAGCTCCTCCCCGACCGCGCTCGTGGATCCGTTCGCGGCGCCGCCGCCGGCGGTGCCGCAGCAGCAGCAGCAGCAGCAGCAGCCGGATAATCCGTTCGGGGCGAACCCTTTCGGCGCGGCGGAGCAGCCCAAGGTTGACGTCGCGGTGAACCTCGACGCGCTCTACGCGCAAGGCTCGGCGCCACATTCGCAGAACCCGTTCTTGCGAGGCGGCGGCACGGGGATGCAGCAAGGGTACGGCGGCATGCAGCAGCAGGCGCCGCCGTCGTCGATGGGCGGGTACGGCATGCAGCAGCAAGGCTACGGAGGCATGCAGCAAGGTCCGCAAAGCATGATGGCGCCCGGCGCGTACGGAGGCGCGCAACAGCCGGGGATGGGCGGCGGGTACGGAGGCGTGCAGCAAGGTCCGCAAAGCATGATGGGGCCCGGCGGGTACGGCAACGGCATGGGGATGCAACAGCCGGGGATGGGCATGGGCGGCGGGTACGGCGCGCAGCAAGGTGGGATGCCCCCGCCCGGGGCGCGGATGTCCCAGCCCGGGTTGCAGCAGCAGTACGCGCCGCCGCAGTTTTCGCAGCCGAATCAGAATCACGGTTCCCCGACGGGGGGGCCGAGCTTGCTGTGACGCGAGCGCGCGAAGGCGCGAACGACTAGTCGCGTTGACATAGGTCGACCGCCGCGCGAGCGAGCGATCGGCGAACGCGTGTTAAATAAGATGAATTGAATCGACGTGAACTCGGTTAAAACACTTCCGACGTGAAAACACTCGCCGGGGCGGGCCCGCTCGCCCAGTCGCGTCGCGCGCACAGCCTCCCTCGATGCGCACTACTTGATCTGGTACGTCGCCCAGCTCACAAACTTCGCCACGGGCACCGACCCTCTCTTCCCCGCGTCCACCTTGGCGAACATTTCGTTGAGAATCTGATCGTTCGGCGCGCTTCCCATGGCGTTCAGCGCGCTTCTTAACGTCTCCAGGTCGATCTCCCCGTTCACGTCCACGCCGACGTCCTTAAATTGCTTCGCCATCTGCATCTTCGCCCACGGCCCTAAGAAGTACCGCTTAAACTCCATGATGCTCACTTCGTTGTCCCCGTTCTGGTCCATGTCATTGAGCGCCTTCTTGATCGCGTCCGGGCCCGCGTCCTGCGCGAGGTCCTTCAGCAGCGCCTGGATCTCGTTTTGCGTCAGCGATCCGGATCGATCGACGTCGTATCCGTCGAACAGATTTTTTATCCGCTGCGGCGTGAGCACCTTGATGTACCACCTCGAGAAAGTCTCGAAGCCGACTCTGCCGCCGAGACCGATATTCTTGAGCTCCCTCGGGACTTGCTCGCTGAGGTTCTCGAGCATGTTCACGAGCTCGTTCGCCTCGAGGACGCCGCTCTTGTCAGCGTCGAACTCGTCGAATTGCGCGCGAATGTAAAAGATCGGCACGAACCCGCACTGGCGCTTGACCGTCTTCGCGAGCTTCGCGCGACCGGCCGGGGACATCAACTCCGCCCGTTTTGCCTTGTCCATCGGCTGCAGCTTCGCGGTGCTGGCGCCGCAACCCATGACGCCTCGTCTCTTCGCGCCGTGTCGGTCAAATCTTAATTAAGTATCTTTTCACGATTCGATCGATCGCGGTGACGAATCGAGCTCGTCGCGACGATCGAAGCCGCCGCGGAACGGAGCGCGGGACGGGACGTCGCCTGCGCTAGGGTTTCGCTCTCGCGCTCGCGAAGCGCAAGGGAACGTACCGCAGCCGCGACCGGTGCGCGTCGCTGTGCCCCTCGGCGCGACGTTTGACCGGCGTAACAGGCGATCTACTTTCAGATTTCTTTCCCCTGCTGTCGCGGCGCGGCCCACCTGCCAGCCGCAGCAGCAGCAGTGCCAGCGAACTGCTGCGGCTGCGGCTGGTCCCGGCGCGCAAACTTCGTCTCGCGCGAACCTCCTCGCGACATGGCGGCGGCGGCGGTCGCGGTCGCGGTCGCGCCGCGCGCGCGCGTCGCGCGCGTATCGCGGCGCGACGCGCGCGTCCCTCGCGCGGCCGCGACGCCGCGCGCGGCGCGCGCCGTCGTCCGCCGACGCGCTCTCGCAGCCGAGGCGCGCGCGCGAAACGTCGGGACCGTCGGCGGGGACCCTCGGAAGCGCGCGTCGTCGTCCGTCGCGCGCGCCGAAGCGGCGGGCGACGCGATTCCCGCGACTCCCGCGACTCCCGCGGTCGCGTCGCGGTCCTCCGCCGTCGCGACGTCCTCTGAGAGCAAGCGCATCGTCCTCCTGTGCGCGATCGCGATGCTCCTCGCGAGCGCGGACCGAACGATCTTCTCGCTCGGCTCGCTCGCGATCGCGGCGGACCTCTCGCTGAACATGCACGCGCTCGGGCTCCTGCAGTCCTCGTTCCTGTGGGGGTACGGGTTCACGCAGATCCTCGGCGGCGTCGCCGCGGACGAGTTCGGCGGCGCGAGGGTCCTGCTCGTGGGATTGGGGCTGTGGTCGATCGCCGTCGCGGCGATTCCGTTTTGCGCGTCGACGTCGGCGCCCGTCGCCGCGATGGTCGCCGCGCGCGTCGTCTTCGGCGCCGCGTCCGGGTGCGCCCTGCCCGGATCCGCCGCCGCGGTCGCGTCGTACGTCACCCCGGAACGACGCGCCGGGGCGCTGAGCGTGATATTCACGCTGTTCAACTGCGGCAGCGCCTTCGGATTGCTTCTCGCCGGCGGGTTGATCTCGACGCTCGGGTGGCAGAGCGTGTTCGCGGTCTTCGGTGGGGTCGGCGTAGCGTGGAGCGCGTTCGGCATCGCCGCGCTGCCGGAGGTGGCGAGGCGAGGGAAGAGGAAGGAGAAACCCGAGCTCAGCGACGGGGCGGCGGAGGTCTCGAGCGGCGAGAACGCCGCGGCGAACGACGCCGTGGCGGGCTGGGGCAACCTCCCCGGTTGGATGTACGCGCAGCTGTTCGCCATCGGGTGGTGCCACGTCTGCGTGAACTGGGGTTTCTTCATCCTGCAGTCGTGGCTGCCGGTGTACCTCGCGAAGGACTTAGGGTTTAGCTTAGGAGGCAGCGGGCTCGCGTCCGCGCTGCCGTGGTTTCTCACCGCGTTCACGTGCGGCGCGACGGGCGTCGCGTCCGACGCTCTCCTGAAAAACGGCGCGGAGCGGTGGAAGGTTCGGCGGCTGATGATGAACATCGCGACGATCGGACCGTGCGTCGCGCTGCTGCTGTTACCGCTCGCGAAGTCCGCGACGATCGCGGTCGCCTTGCTCGGCGTCATGTTGGGCTCGCAAGCGGTCGCGATCGGGGGATACTTGGCGTACATGCAAGACGTCGCCCCGGCGAGAGCTGGGGCTTTTCTCGGCGTGACCAACACCGTCGGCGTGGCCGCGGGCATCGCCGCGAACGTGCTGACCGGGTTCTTGGTCGAGCGCACGGGGGGGTTCGACGCGGTGTTTTTAGTCACCGCGGGGGTGTACGCGTCGAGCGCGATGGTGTGGAACGCGTTCTTGAAGGGGCGGATGCTGTTTCCAGGGGACGCCGACGCCGTCGGCGACGACGTCGGCGGCGGCGGCGGCGGCGCGGTCGCCGACGCCGCGAGCGGGCGCAGATGAGTCGGTACATTTAAGTATTCTCTTTAGAACGTAGATAGTACTTCCGGAAATATTCTTTAGCGGGCGACGCTTCGCGGGCCCCGTCATCAAACGCGATCGCCGCTCATCACTCCACGTCCGGCTCGTCGTCCATCATGCGCCGAGCGTCCATCCAGGCTCGCCTCGACTCTGACTGCGACGGCGACGCCGGGGAATCGTACGGCCCTTTGCTCCCCCCCGCGGCCCCTCCCTGCCACTTCGCCGCCGCCTTCCTGCTCGCGACGCCGGTGACCTGCCCCGCGCCGTGATCCTCGATCGGCGCGCTGAACGCCTCCGCGACGGCGCCCAACTGCTGCCACTGCTGAAACACCCCGCGGTTCACGCCGCGGTTCTCCCCGAAAACCTCGCCGATGACGTCGGAGGACGTCTCCGTGATGAGACCGAGCGCGGACGTGATGTCGCCCTCGTACGCCTGCCAGTACCAGTCCAGGAACCACTTCGTCATGAGACGCTTCGACGTGACGCACTTCCTGAGCGTGTCCTTCCGTCGTTCGATGTCCGCGACGTACTCTAGCCACTGATCGAACACGGACTGCTTGTACACGCGCCGCGACATCGCGTAGCCTTTCGACACGAGGTTCGCCTTGCGGACGTACTCCGCGTTGTACGCGCGCCACGCCCTCCACGTCGCGCGGAGCGAGTCCCTGCGCGCGACCGCGGCGTTGAGCTTCGCGGTGTGACGCGCGAGTCGCAGCGCGACTCTCGCGGAGTCGACGTGCGAGCGCCACTTGCGCCACGCGTGGACAAACTTCCCGCCTCGCCAGAATTTGATCGCGCGGCGTTCGCTTCTCACCGCGAGGAGGTCCCTCGCGACGTGAGACCGCCACGTGAGGTACGCGCGCGACACGCGCAGGATGTTGAGCTTCGCGATCGCTCTCTTCACCTTGAGCCGCGAGCGCTCCTGCGCGAAGCCGCGCTTCTGCCAGCCCGCGACGACGCGGCGAAGAAGCAGACGGGAAAAGTGATTCGCGCCGCGTCGCGCGAGCGTCTTCATCCGGCGTTCCTCCTCGATCGACTCCATCCACTTGTTCATCGCTCGCGTGAGCACCGAGTCGCGTATGCGCCCGACCGCCCGCGCGGCTCTGCGCTTGAAGCTCGCGGCGTCTCTCGCCTCCGTCGCCCAGGCGAGGAACATCGCTTCCGCGCGGTCGCTCTCGCGTCTCGCGCGCCACCGCGCCGCGACGTCGACTTTCCGCCGTTCTTCGACGGCGTCCGCCACGCGCGCGACCCACGCTCGAAACGCGTGGTACGTCTTCACCTTCCTCATGCGCGCGATGACCGTCCGCAGCGTCGCTCTCGCGTCCGCGGACGCGTCGACGACGGAGACCCATCGCTCGAACGCGCAGAACGTCTTGATCCTGCGCATCTTGTGGACAATCTTTTGCGCAAAGGCGAGCCGCGTCTTTTTCGTCGCGACGGACTCGCGCCACCCTTTGAACGCGAACGTGAGGCACCGCTGCAGCATCGGCGCGCGGACGCGTCGCACCGCATCCCGCGCCCGCGCGTTTCTCTGCGCCGCGGCGAACCAGCCGTGATACGCGCTCGCGAGGGCGCGGTTCCTCATGCGCCACACGAGCGACGTCGCGCGGATCCGTCGTATTTTGTTCTCGCGCGTCCTCGACGACCACCCCTCAAACGCCCTCGAGGTTCGGAAGCTCATCCACTTCCGGACCATCTTCCCGCAGCGATCGCGCGCGTCCTTGCGCCGCGACGCCGCGAACTTCCACCCTCGCAGGGCTTTGTACGCCTTCGACCGTCGCAACCGGAGCAGGTACAGCTCCGCGTTGTCTCTGCACGCTTGCTTATACAGCACCCGCGAGATCCACCCGGAGAACGCCGTCCCGAGCGTTCGGTTCTGCGCGCGTCGTATGAACCACCGCGCGCGGCTTCGAAGCGCGTGTACCTCCACGATGACCCCGCGCCACCGCTCGAACGACGCGTTCAGCGCGCCCCACCGCCACTTCACGATCGTTCGTCGTTGAAAGTCCATCACGCGTCGGCGCTTGTGCGCGAGCGCGCCGCACGACGCGGCCCAGTTTACGAACCCGTGCCTCAGCGCGTTTCTACGCAGATGCGCGGACGTCACGCGCGTGAGCAGCATCCGTCGGCGAGACTCGACGACCTCTCGGTGCCAGTGCACGAAACTCGCGTGCATCGTTCGGTTCAGGACGCGGAGGACGAGCTCGGACAGCCGGTTCCGGCGTCGGTTCCGCCCGCGCGCGACTTTGAACCACGCCCACGTCGCGTCCGCGAGCGAATGCCGCGACCACCGCCGCGCCACGACGGTCGCTACCGCGCGCAGGCGCACGCGCTCTCTGACGTATCGCGTCCAGCCTCGCAGCGCGGCGTGTTGGGACTGGTGCGAGAGTCTCCTCGCGGCGCGGCGGGCGACGCACTCGAGGAGGTATTCCCCTCGGCGCCCGCCGCCGCCGACGACGCCGCCGTGCCAGCACAGAAGCACGCGTCGTTTGAATTTCGCGCGCGTCGCCTTGGCCATCTTCAGCGCCTCGACGCGGCGCGAGGTGATGAACGCCGCGCGGTTGTGCCACGCGCGAAGACTCGCCTCGGTGCGTCGTCGCGAGTGACGCCCGACCATGCGCGTCAAGACTCGGCGTTTGACCGCGCGCTCGCGGGACATCGACCGCCACGCGCTCGCCGCGCGCGCGAGGTTGAAATACCGCATCCTCCGCGTCACTCTCGTCGCGACGCCGCGCTGTCGCGCGAGCTCGGCCGCGTTCTCGCGCCAGCTTAGGAAGTTTCGCAGCGTCCAACGCCGGCCGAACCCTTTCCGCGCCATCTCGACGACTTTCCTCCGCTGCCGCGACTGCTTCTCGAGCAGTCCTCGGACCTCCGCGCCGCAGAACGACGCGTCGGATATCCACTCCTGCCTCGTGACTTGAATCTCGTCCCGGACGTGCATCGCGAGCGCGCGCGTCTCCTCGCGCATGCGCAGAAGCTCCTTCTCCACCTCTTTCCTCGCGCGCACTTCTTTCAGCACGAACGCGCTCCACTCTTTGATGAGCACGCCGGACATCGTCCGCAACGCGTTCCCTTGCTCGTTCGATCCGGAATCATCCGCGCGGTGCCCCGGCGGCGGCGGCCGCGACGCCGTGCTCCCGGGGGTGTTCGACACCGACCGGTCGTCCGCGCGCGGGGGGGCCTGGAGTCGCGAGTCCGCGGTGGAGTCGGACGCGGCGCCGCGACCGTCGAATTCAACCCGCCGCCGCGCCGCCGCGACGCGCTCCTCCGAAGACGCGCCGCTCGACGGCGGCGACGGCGGCGCGTCCCGCACCGGGCTCGGCGACGCCTCGGACAAGGACATCACCGTCTGCGCCGTCTGCGGCGTCGCGACGACGATCCCGCTCGCGTTCGCGTTCGCGCTCGCGCTCGCGCTCGCCGGCGGCGACGGCGACGGCGACGCGCGCTCGAGCGTCGTCGGCGACGCGCGTTCGACGGCGCCCGCGCGCGCCCCGACGGCGTCGCGCATGTTTTCCGGCACGCGAAACACCTCGACTTTCAAAATCACGTTCGGCAGCCGCCTGGACTTCAATCGCATCGACGCGGACGTCCACTCCACGTTCGCGGGCTCGTCGAACGTCTCCCACTGCTCGTTCACGCCAAAGTTTGGGTTGAAGAAGACTAAACGCTCCGTCGCGCGTTTCCGCGCTTGGAGAAACTTACCCCCCGCCGCCGCGGATCGAAATCCGAAGAAGGACCCTTGGCGCACGAACTCCAGGTGCGTCGCCGGGTCCGCGATCGAGACCGCGTCCTCCAGCGTGGATTCCACGAACCGCGTCGGGGCGCCGGACGCGCGCGCGCCCTCCGCCGGACGCGCGACGTACGGCAGCCCGTTCGCGGATACGAACGCGACGACTTCGCCGTCTCTCAGCCGGCGTCCCGTTCGCGCGGGCTCCCCGGCCGCGCGCGTCGCGACCGGGCTCGAGACCGGGCTCGGTGGTTCCGCGCGCGGAGGCGGAGGCGCCGCCGCGGGCGCCGCGGGCGCCGCGGCCGCGCGTCGACGACGGCGCGCGTCGACGTCGACGTCGTCGTCGTCGTCGCTGGACGACGCCGCTTCGGGGGCGCGCTCTGCACGCTGCGCGCGGCGCCAGTCCGGCGTCGTCGGCGCGGATCTTCGCGCGCCTGGGGTGACGCGTCGAGGGAACGGGACCGTCGCGGCGTCAGAGACGGGATGGGACTCGGGGGATGGACGCGGGGAGGCGAGGGACGGGGACGGACGCGGACGATACGGCGAGGTAACATCGACCGGCGCGCTGGAAATCGAAATACGCGCCAACGGGCGCCGCGTTCGTCGACGCGATCGCGGCGGGTCCGCGCGCACCTCCGAACAATGCCTCCGCGGCTTGCTTCGCCCACGTGTTGTCCACGATGTCATCCTCCTCCATCGCGCGCGATACGTCACGACGGCGTCCGCGCGCTCCGCGAATGGCGCGCGGTTCGCCCCCTCGGAACGGCCGTATCGGCGCGAGAACTCTCCCCGAGCTGCGAGGTCAACAATCGTCGACGGATCGTCGAGCGACGGCGTTTGAAAGGCGTCGCGGTGTTTCGACCTCGATCAACGGATGATTTGATAGGGACCCGACACGTTCTTGAACGTAGAAGTGCGTGAACAAATGACCGCGTCGCTTCGAGCTGGAAAAGAAACAGAATTACCGAAGGTACCGAAGGTATTAAGGTTAACCCGATTTTTAGCCCTATGTTTTTTACCTTCGGTAGGGCAAAAAATTTTATCTGGCTCTTTTTTCCATTCGATCCAGCTCTTCTCGCGTACTCGCGGTTGATCGGCTTGACCTATCAACTTTGACCGAGAGTCGGGTTTTCACCCGTCTGACGATTCAGTGGCCCTTTCGTCTACGATCAGAGTTCTGACAGTTTTACTCCTCTCCGCGAGGTCTGCGTGTTCGCGCGGCCATAGCGTCGCGGAATAGCCGTAACAATCTCCGGTACAGTGAGAAGAGTTCTTCGTCACATCGCGGGGCATCGATTAAAGCAAAAGTATTGTGCCACTTCCCGTAAAGAAAACGAAGTCAGCGGCGCTTATATGTCAAGGACGACTCTGCAAAATATTTCTTGAAGGAGGAGAACTTTTTTTTCCACCTTCCCCTAAAACGCGATGTTTAAAGTTGCCCTGTTCGAGAGATGATTACGTCGTGATCATCACAGTGACTGGTGTGATATTTTTGATTGCGCCGGAGCATCATGGTATTTCGAGTAAATTCTTCGCGTGCGACGTCGGCGTTCGTGACGCTCCCGCGACTCCAACAGCGCGCGAACGCCCGCGGGTACCCCTTTCAAACGACTGAAGTTTGAAACCAGGGAGTACGGGACGTAGTACGAGGGCTGTATCGTATGGGTATTTGCATCGAAAAGCGAGATGAGCTGGATCGAATGGAAAAAAGAGCTGGATAGTATTTTTTTCCTTCGGTAGGACTTATGCAGATGAGATATTTTATTTTCGATCGGTTCTTCAGTGCGCAATTAGTCTCAACCTTTCGCGAGCCGCGTGCAGTGCGGTGAATGTGCGGGAAAGGAAGGGGCGCCGGAGGATGACCGCGTAAATGGTGTCGCATGCTGCCGATCCTTCGCCGCGCACTCCTTCTCGCGCCAGCGGGGGCGGCGCCCTCGCGCGCGGAATCCCCCCAAATGGCCGAGATGGGAGTTCAACCCACGCACGAGCCGTCGCGCCAGAAACCCGCGGGCGTGTTCTCGGACCCGTTCGGGTGGTACGCCGAGCGCGCGACGCGGCGGCCGAGGCTCATGTTTTTCTGCGCGTGGACCTTCGTCATCGCGCTCTGCGCCGCGGGCTTGCCGTACTTCGAGCAGACGGAGTCCTCGGAGTACGACTGGCTCATCGGCACCGACGAGACCGTGCGGAGGTCCTACGCGCTCAAGTCCGCGCAGGAGGACCTCGCGCTGTACAGCACGAACAACGAGCGCTCGGTGAAGAACACGGACCAGCTCTTGCAGTTCGTGTACGAGGCCGAGGGGAACACCGACAACCTCCTCACGCCCACGGTACTCGCGGAGATGATGAAGATAGAGAAGATGTTCTACGAGAACGCCAAGTTCGCGTCGTACTGCCACGCGCAGAGCACGGACAAAACGAAGTGCGCGGAATCGGCGACCGCGAGCGCGATCACGCGGCTGTTTTACAAGACGACCATCCAGCAAGATGCGAACGGGAACACGGCGGTGACGCAGACGCCGGTGATGACGTACGTGGACTTTAAGACGACGTTCTCGTTGACCACGCCGCTGGATTTGACGTCGCAAGCCGCGATCGACGCGCACCTCGCGTTCATCCTCTCCGCCCCGAACGGTCTCTACGCCGCCGCGCTCGCCGCCGGTCAGAGCGACCTAATAAAGAACACTGGGGCGGGTATCGACGCCGCGTTGGCCGACTCCGCCAAGTTGCTGCCGAATTTTTTCGACGCCACGTGGAGCGCGACGAACCTGAAGACGAAGTACATCCAGAGCTTTTACTTCCTCGGGCTTCCGCTGTCTGGGTACGCTAACCCGTACGTCTCGCAGGAGACGCAGAGCGAGCCGGGGAACGACCTCATCGTCCAAGTCAGCGACGAGCTGAAGTTGCACTTTGGGATGAAAGAGACGCTCCTGAAGTCGCCGTTCCAGAGCGAAGCGACGTTCGCGACGACGGCGAACGAGCGCGTCAAGGTGTACTGGTTCTCCCAGCCTGTCATGGAAAAAGAGTGGGAGCTCATCTCGAATAAGGACTTGCGGTTCGCGATCTTGTCCTTCATCGGCGTCGGGATGTACATGGCGTACCACACGAGGAGCGTGCTGATCTCGCTCACGTCGATGAGCATGACCGTGTGCTCCATCTTCGTCGCGTTTTTCTTGTTCCGCGTCGTGTGCCAGATCGTCTTCTTCCAGTTCATCAACTTCCTGATCATCTTCGTTGTTCTCGGGATCGGCGCGGACGACGTCTTCGTGTTCATGGACGCGTTTCATCAGTCCCTCGACGAGCTTCAGAGCGCGGGAGAGCCCGCGACGTTGCCGCACCGGATCAGGCACACGATGAAACGCGCGCTGCACGCGATTTTCGTGACGTCGCTGACGACCGCGGGTGCGTTCTGCGCGACCGCGCTGTCGCCGCTCGTGCCGTTGCGTTCGTTCGGCGTGTTCTCCGCTATGGTGATCCTGTGCGTGTTCACCCTGAACGCGTTGATTCTTCCCCCGCTCACGGTGATGTACACGCGGTCGCTCGCCGGCCGAGGGTGGTGCGCGAGCATTCTCATCGTGTGCACGTTTGGTCTGTGCGGGACGAAGAAGTACGAGGATCCGGGAGAGTCGCTGAACGGGTCGCAGTACGTCGTCGGCGTCGACGAGCCCGCGCCGCCGCCGCCGCCGCCGCTCTCGAATAATCCGTTCCTGAAGATGGTGGCGTCTCCGGCTCAGCAACCGTCGCCCGCGTCACAAAACCCGAACAACCCGTTCGCGGCGACGTCCGGGTCGCAAAACCCGAACAATCCGTTCGCGGCGACGTCCGGGCCGGTCGTCGAGGGCGCGACGCCGTCCGTCGAGGAAAAGCTGCGGCCCGACCCGGCGGAGAAGCGGGACACGAAGAAGTTGCGATTCACCGAGCGGTTCTTTTACCAGCACTACTACAAGTTCCTGAAGTCGCCGGCGAGGTTCCTCGTCTTGCTCGCGTTCGCGGGGCTATTCTTCTTGGGCGCGTACCTGTGGCTGCAACTTGACCTGCCGACGGAGCCGGAGCAGTGGTTCCCTGCCGATCACATGTTCCAGCAGTACCAGGAGCTCGCGACGAACAAGGTTTTCTCCGCCGCTCCTACGCTCGTGAACGTGTCCATCGTGTGGGGAATCGGCGGCGTGGACGACTCGAACACGAACCCGTGGATCCCCTCGGACTTGGGGAACGTCGTCTACGCCGAGAATTTTGACCCGTCGACCGCGGCGGCGCAGGCGTACATCATGCGCGTGTACGAGACGCTCAAGACGGCGGCGTGCGCGAAGTCAGCATGCGTCGGGTCGCTTCTCATCAACCCCCTGTACGAGATTCGAAACATCCTAGGCCAGACGAGTTCCACGGGGGCGTTAAACGCCGGGTTTTATTATTGGTTAAATTGTGGAGAGGGTAATGGGTACAGCGGAGTAACAGTGAATAGTCTTAACCCTACTGTTGGTTCTGCGAGCAGCGGGTACTGCCAAACAACTTGCGGAGGAGTCACTGTCACCTGCTCCGGAACGGCTACCACCGTGGATCCGACGACGAACCCGCTGACTGGGGACGCGTTCAACGCGGCCATGTGCGCGTACGCAAACGTAGAGGACACGAAGGTGCAATACCCGTCGCACGTCGGGTTCTTCACGAGCTCCTGCGCGACGTCGCCGGCGTCGCGCGCGTCGTTCATGCTCATGGACGCCGCGTCTTCGCTGAGGATGCCCGTCGCGCCGGTCGCGTTTAAAGAGGTTCGAGACGCGTGGAACGACTTCGCGGCGACGTGGAACGCGGACGCGCCCTCCGAGCTCGGAGCCGGCAGCGCGACGTCCACGAACCCGTTCTGGCTGTGGTCCGTCACGTCCTTATCGTTGATGGACAACGTGTACTTGGGGTTCAAGGTGTGCTTCCCCATGGTCTTCGTCGTGTTGTCGATATCCACGTGCAACGTCGTGCTCGCGTTTTACAGCATGGTGACCATCGCGGGGATCGTCACGACCGTGATCGGCGTCGGCGCGGGCGGGATACAAGGGTGGGACCTCGGCACCGCGGAGGCGATCGCCGCGGTCATCGTCATCGGTTTCTCGGTCGATTACTGCGTCCACCTCGCGAACGCGTACATCGAAAACGACGCGGTCGATCGCCAGTCGCGGACGCGAAGCGCGCTGACGACGATGGGAATAAGCGTCACCGCGGGGGCGATCACGACGATCATCGCAGGGGTGTTCCTCTCGATGTGCATCCTGCTCTTCTTCGTGAAGTTTTCGTTCCTGATTTGCTGGACGATCTTCTCGTCGTACGTGTGGGCGGTCGTGTTCTTCGGGGCGCTGTGCATGACCGCGGGGCCGAGCGGGAATTTTGGGGACATCTCGTGGGTGTTCGACGCGTTGTTCTGTAGGAAAAAGAAAGATTGATTTTTTGTCGTTTTGATATTTAAGTTTAAGTACTCGTAGAAGATAAGTTGAGTGAAGTTAAACGCCGTGAATCTCCTTCAGGAGCTGCCCTAATATGTCCGCCGCGAACGGGATGACGACGAGGTCCTCGCCGTCGTTCGAGCGTTTATACCGCGTCAGCTCGTGATCCGTAAACTCCGTGAGGTGCGACCGCAGCGTCACCTCCGACGTCGCGAAGAATTGCTCTCTGCACGCGGTGTAAAACGCGTGAAACTTCCACCCTTGCTCGTCCGGATGCTGCAGCTGATGCTCCGCGAGCAGCCGGAATATATCCCGCGCGTTCGACGTCAGCGATCGCAGCACGTTCGATGCGCCTCTGACGTGCCGCTCTTCCCCCTTGGACGCCAATAGCTGCGGGACGTTCGCCGTCTCCAAGTGATACGGCGCGAACGTCGTCGCCCGCTGCCACACCCAGTTGAACCTCGCAGCCTCTCGTTTCGACCACAGCAACGGCGCGTTGACGTGGTCCACGCTCGCGATGATGTGCACCCTCGGCATCGCCGCGAGCTCGCCGAGGAGCGCTTGCGACTCCGCGTTTCGCAGCGGCGCGCCGTCGACGTTGTGCAGCACGATGTAGAGCCTCCGCGGCGAGCGCTCGACGACGAGGTCGCCGGCGGCGGCGGCGGCGCCGACGACGGCCAGGCTGGCGTCCGCGCACCCGCCGCGCGCGGCTCGCGCGCGCGCGACGCGCTGCTGCGATGACGTGGACGTGGACGTGGATATCCGTCTGAGTAAGCTCTCGTTCGACGTCGAGTGCAAATTTTCCGCCTCGGTCTTCGTCGCCGCCAGCGCCGCCGCCGCGGAGACGAGGATGCTCTTCGCGGTGAGACCGGCGTGGTACCCGTTCACGACGACGACGCCGCCGTCGGTCAGCGTCTTCATCGCGAAGTCCTCCATGAGCGCTTTCTTCGACCCGAACCCGTACAAGAGGAGCGAGAACTCCGACTGCAGGAGCTGCCACCACCTGGAGTAATTCTTCTCGAGCTCGCGTTGCAGCGCCGCGCGTTCGTTTTGATGCCCCACCGGCAGCCTCCCGAGGAGCTCGCGCACGGTGTCCTCGTCCGCGAGATCTAACGACGTTAACGACGCCTCGGATCGCACGTTCTTCCCTTTCGTCGCGAAGAACCCTCGGCCGCCTCTTCTCGGCGCGTTCGCGTCGTCCTCCGCGTCCCGCAGTCGCCGCGCCGCGTCCGCGGCGACGACGGCGACGGCGTCGGCGTCCGCGCCTCCTCCTTTCTTCGCTCTCCCGCTGCCGCCCGCGGCGCCGCCGCGCGCGCCGCCGCCGGCCGCGGCGGCGTTGGCGTTCTTTGCCGCGAACACCGCGTTGTTATTTCGAAACTCCATCTGGTCTTTGCTCACGGGCTTGTGCCCGCGCTGGCGTCGGTACGGTTTCCCCTTCGCGGCGCGTCCAGACGGCATCCGATTCCCCGCGGCGGACTTCGTCCCCGCGGCGCCGCTCGGTTTCGTCGGCGGGTTCGGGACGACGCGCCTGGCCGCCTTCGCATCGCGCGCTGCGTCGCGTTCCTTGTCCTGATTCACGCGTTCGCGGAGAGGGGGAGAGGCACGTCAGCGGCGACGACGACGGACGGAGGACGGAGGGGAGATCTGGGACGCCCGCTCTCGCGGCGAACGATTTGAAAAAAACTCGAGTGTTTTCGTCGGCGCGACGCGATCGATCGGGCCGACGCACCTCGAGCCGGGATGATCCCCTCTTCGGCGCGGTCATCACGGCGTATCGATCTCGCGGCGCGATGTTCGAGACGCGCGAGACGCCGGTCGCGCTCTCACGAGTGGTTCAGGAGACGCGAACGCGGACGAATCGATGCACCCAGTCTGCCGGTGACGCCGCGAGAGACAGCCGACCGACCGCGCCACTGATCATCAGGCTCTGCTGCTGACTTGTCGCGTCGACGACACCGCAACGTTATCACTTCGCGACACGCCCCGCGACGACGATGGCCGCCTCCTTGACGTCGCCCGTTTCAATCGCGCGCCCGAACGCGGGCGCGCGACGCCTCCTCCGCGCGCGCGCGCGCGCGCCCGCGCGCGCCGCGAACGCCGCGCGCGTCGCCGTCGTCCGCGCGGCGACGTACACGGAAGTCTTCGACGCGAACAGCGGACAGATGGTCAAGACGCTGTCTCAGGCTGTGGAGACGGTCTCCACGCCCGGTCTGGAGTGGCGCTACCGCGTCGGCGTCCCGGAGGACGGCGTGGAGGTCAAGCCGAACAAAGTCCTCCTCGTCCACGGCGCGGGGATGTGCGCGTACACCTACCAGAAGCTCATGCGCGAGCTCCAGAAGATCGGGTACGAGTGCATCGCGCCCGACCTCCCGGGGCACGGCGGCACGTCGAAACCCTCCCCGAGCGCGTTCAAGTACGACTCGAAGGCGTACGCGGACGCGCTCGAGGCGTTCATCGCGGAGACGGACGTCGTGATCAACGGCCCGTGCGACCTCGTCGTGTCCGGCTTTTACACGTCGCAGCACGCGTTGCTTCTCGCGGCGAAAACGCCGGAGCTCTTTCGACGCGTCGTCGTCCTCAACGCGCCGCTCGGGAACGGGCACAAGCTCCCGGACCCGCTCGCGGTGTACTCGCGGCCGTTCGGGATGGGCAAAGGCGCGGCCGCGGATATCTACAAGCTCGCGTACTTTGGGAACGAGTTCGCGATCGGCGCGGACGCGATGGAGGAGTACGAGTTCGCCGTCGCCGGGCCGGAGAAGGATGCGGCGCGGGACGCGTTCGAGGCGACCGCGACCGCGGTGGACTTTAAGAAGCTCATGGAGGACGTCAGAGCCGCGCACATGAAGCCCGGGACGCCGAAGATCAGGGTCGTGTGGGGCGTGGGGGATAAGTACTTGAACGACGCGCCGATGTTTAAGTGGGCGGAGGACGTGCGGGCGAGCTTCGACTGCATGCGAAAGGTGGGGCACATGCCGCACGAGGATTTCGCGGAGGAGACGGCGAGGTTCGTCGACGCGTTCTTGGCGAGCGACATGAAAGTGAGCGCGTTGGGGAGCGTGCGTCTGGGGAAGATCTCGAAGGACGACGATTACGATCGGTGACGGACGAGCGGACTTGCTTGTCAATAAATAATTGCTGAACATTTTCCTGTCGTCGCGTCGCCCGTCTGATACTGAGACTTTCCACTGGTCGTCCTCCGCCTCCGTCGGTTCCGCACAACCTCGCGAGCATCCGCACGTCCGCACTTCGCGTCGCGCGCGTCTCTTCGAGGTCGACGTCCGCGTTCCAGAGCGTCGCGCGACCGACCGCGTTTGAGCTCCGGCGCGGTTCGGTCGTCGAGTCGACGTCCAGCTCGAGATCCGTCGGTCGGGTAGCCGGGCCACGTCGATGGCGAGCGCGGGAGAGATCGTAGGGCTGTACCGCGCGATGCAGCGGAGCGCGAGGAAGTTCGCCAACTACAACGTCCGAGAGTACGTCGCCGCCCCATCGCGTCGTTTCCACCGTCTCTTCGCCGGGGGCGCGCGGCGTCGCCGCGCCGCCGCGCGCGTCGCTCGCTCGCTCGATCGTCGTCGGCGGCATCCTCGTTTACAACCCTAACCGAGATCCGTCCATCCGTCCCTCCGTCCTCCTCCTCCTTCGCTTCGTTCGTCCGACAGGTACGCGAAGCGCAAGCTCCGCGAGGCGTTCCACGAGAACGCGGGGTTAAAAGGCGAGGAAGCCGCGGCGGCGCTCGCCAAGGCGAAGACCGAAGCGGAGGTGATGAAGAGGCAGGTGGAGGTGTACAAGATGTTCGGGTCCGCGCAGAAGAGCGTCGTGGAGTTGACGGGGAGGAACGGCGTAAAGAAACCGTGAACCGCTTCGCTCGCGCTCGCACGCCGCCGCGCCGCTCGCTTTAACACTACAACAGAACTACTAGCACAACACGTCGCACGTCGTCTCGTCTCGTTCATCGTTTACTCGCCAGCCTCGCGGACGAGCGCGTCTGCCGACGAGGCGGCTCCTCCGTCGCCGGCGTCGACACCGTTTTCGCGCGCGTCGACGCCTTCGGGGTCTCCTTCGCCGACCGACCAGCCGGCGCCTTCTTCGCCGCGGGCGTCGCCGTCGCCGCCAGCCTCGGCGCCGCCGCCCGGGACGTCCGCCGCGTGGATATCCTCGGCGGCTCCGGGACCTCCTCCGCCGCGGCGGGTTTCTCTGTAGCCTTCTCGGGGAACATCAGCGACCCCGCGGCGGAGCCGCGGCGGGTCGGGCGCGCGGCGCGGCCCGTCGACCGCGCCGGCGCGGTCGGCGCCGGCGGCTTCTTCGCCGCCGCCGGCTTCGCCGCGGGCGGCGGCGGCTTCTCGACCGCGGACGGCGCGGACGGCGCGGACGGCGCCTCCGCGACGGGCGTCGCCGCCGCCGCCGCCGCGGAAATCTTCGCGCGGTGACCCAACGTCTGCCCGATCCGCGTCGCGCGCGTCTGCGACCCGGACGCGAACTGCGCGGGTTTCGTCCACCGCGGCGTCGCACCCCCCCCCGCGCTCGCCGCCGCCGCCGCCGCCGCCGCCGCCGCCGCCGCCGCGCCGCCGCCGCGCGTCTTCCTCCCGCCGAACGGCGTGAACCCCGCGTTCGGCTCCTCCGAGGACAGGCGCACCGCGCCGACGCGCTCTCGCGTCGCCTCCGTCTCCGTCTCCGTCTCCTCCTCTTCGTCCCAGTCCGCGTCCATCATGTCCGCGTCCGCGTCGTCCGCCGGCTCGTCTTCCTCCTCGCCCTCGTCCTCGCGCGCGCGCGCCGCGCCGCCGCCGGCGCCGCCGCCATCGAACCGAAGTGTCGTCCACTCGTCCGTCCCCCCCGCGGCCGCGCCCGCGCCCGCGCCCGTCGCGAGCCTCCTCTCCGCGCCGTCCTCCGCGTCCGCGCGCGCGTCCGTCGCGAGCGCGGCGGCGGCGGGCAACGCGCCGTAATGCACCGCCGCCGCGGAGAGCGGCGGCGCGAAGAACGGCACGCGTCCGCCGCCGTCCCCCGCCGCTGGCTTCACGATGCGCCCGCCCGCCGGGGTGAACGTTCTCGACAGCGCGGCGCCGCCGACAGTCTCGCTCAACTCCGTCGGCGTCGCGGGGGCGACGTCCACCCCTCTCGCGAGCGCCTTCACGCCGCCGCGCGACGCGCGATCGGCTTCGGTCGCGCCCGGCAGGTGCAGCGACTTCGCCGGCTCCGGCAGCGCGCGCACCGCGTCTTCCAGCGCCCGCACGACGCTCGGCGGCAGCGACGCCTTGAACGCGTCGCCGCCTTTCCTGTACACGACGTCCGCGGCTTCCGCGGCGCGGCCGCGCGTCAGAAAGTACTCAACCGGCAGCGACGGCGGCGCCCCGCGCGCGTTGTACCCGCAGTTCGCGTCGAGCCACGCGAGCAGCGACCGCTCCGCGTCCGACTCGAACGGGAGGTCGAGCACGGATCGAAGCGCGTCGCGCGACGCCGCGTGCGCGGCGAGCCGACCGACGAGCGCGTCGGAGACGGCGGCGCGCCGCGCGTGCGACGCCGCCGCGATGGCCTCCGCGGCGACGAGAAACGCCTCCGTGGCGAGCCCGCACTCGAGCCGTATCGCGACGCCGAGCTCCGCCTCCGCGGCGGCGTCGTCCTCCGCGCTCGCCCCGCCGCCCGTCCTCGCGCGCGCCGCCGCGAGCGCGGCGTCTGGGCGTCCCCTCGCCGCGAGCGCGGCGACGAACCGCAGCGGCGTCGCGGCGTGCGCCGCGCGCGGTATCGACGCGCACGCGGCTTCCAACGACTCCGGGCTTCCCCAGTCGTCCAACAGCGCCGCGGCTTTAATCTGCGAGAACAATCGCGGGTGTATCCTCGCGCTCGCGGCGTACCGCGCCGGCGCGCCGTCCGGTTCTAACCCGGCGTCGAGGAGGTAGTACAGAAACAGCGACTGCTTCGCGACGAGCGCCGGCGGCGACGCGGACCCGGAGCCGAACACGAGCGCGCACGCGTCCGCCGGGGATTTAAACGGATACGGCGGCGGGTGCCCGCCGACGCCGTCGAGGAGGTCGTCCAGGAATAAACACGACGGGTCCGCGGCGGGGGGCAGCCGCAAGGACGCCGCCGCCGCCGCCGCGGTCGTGCGGCGGACTTGCACGCTTCCCGCCCAAGCGCCCGGGCCGCCGTGTCGATCCGCGGGGAGAGACGACAGATTCTCTCGCAACACGAAAGACGTCGCCCGCGCGCGCTGCGCGCATCGCACCGCGAGATCGTGCGCGCCCTGCAGACGGTCGTGGAACCCGCCGTCGCCGTCGCCGCCGTCGCCGCCGCCGCCGCCGCCGCCGCGAGGGGACGCGCCGAGCGCGCGGAAAACGTCGCGCAGCGCCTCGAACACGATCGCCGCGCGCTCGAGATCGGACCCCGCGCCGCCCGCTCTCAGGTTGGACGCTCGCTCCAGCGCTTGCTCCGCGCTCTTCAGCGCCGCGGTCGCCCACTCCGCGACCATCTCGCCGTCTTGCAGGTACGCCTCGACGCCGTCCGGGGAGGTGAACTCGTCGCGCCCGCACACTTCGTCGACGTAGTGGCACACGAGGTGAGGGATCCCGTGCGCGACCGCGGCGTCGAACAGGAGATGGAGCTTCGCGACGTCCGCGGCGCCGTCGTGCGTGGACGCCGCGGCGTGGAACGCCGCGGACGCGCTCCCGAAGTTTGGCCCGGCCGCGGTGAAGACGCCCGCGGCGGCGCATCGCGCGTGCATCTCGCGAAGATTTTTGACCGAAGACAGGTCCGAGGGATCCGTGGACGCGAGGTCCTCGAGCGCGCGCTCCATCGCGGGCGACAGCGCGGCGGCGACCATGACGCCGTGGACTTCGCCCTCGATGCGGTCGCGAGGGTGACCGCGCGCGGGTCGCCCGTGGCGTGCGCGAGGGGGTGTGTGTGAGATCCCCGAGTTTTGGTTTGAAAAACCAAACCTCTCTCGCACACTTCAGCGCCCGTGCTCGTCCCCGCCCCGCCCCGCCTCAACAACAACGCGACCTGACCGTCGAGACCGCCGCTCGGTTCATTCCCTCCCGCCGCTGAAGAGCGCTCGCGCACGTCGGGCTGGCCTCGGCCGCGGACCGCGGGCGATCATGGTGCAGATCGAGGACGATACCGCGCGGCTGGACACCGTGTGCTCGCCGCTGCAGGTGCGCGCGCTTCCCGCGCGCCGGCCGCGTCGGTTCCACGGAACGACGCGCGGCGCGAGGCGTCTCTCGGGTGCCCATCGATCTATCGATCGATCCTGACCCTCCCTCCCTCCCATCACCGCAGTACCACGCGAACGCGTCCGTGACGCAGGTCGTCGGGACGAGCAATTTTCCGCCGTCGTTCGCCGCGGTGGGATACGCCCCGTGCTTCAAGGGGTTCGGGTGCGTCCGCGCGTCCGTCGATCCCTCGCCTCTTCTCCGTCCCCGAGAGATGAACGAATTTCCCTCCTCCGCCGCGTTCGCTCGAGAGGTGACCGATCGATCGACTCTTCTCTCCGTTCTCTCCCCGCTCTCTCTCTCGCCGCAGCCCCGCGCCCGGGAGCTCGTCCACGGCGCCGTTCGCGACCGACGCCGCGTCCTCCCCCGCGTTCGTGAAACGCGCGGAGGTGTCCCCGTCGCCCTCCGGCGGCGCGTTCCAGCACGTGAAGCTCTTCAAGAACGTCCTCGTCGCCGCCGACGGCGCGGCGTCGGCGAAAATCTACGTCTTCGACGTCCGCGATTGGAAAGAGAAGCAGGTCATCCGCGTCGGCGCGGTCCCGAAAGAGCACGGCGGCGTGGGCGAGGGCGCCGACGGCGATGACGCCGCGCTCGCGCCCGCGGCGGTCACGATGCTCGCGTTCGACGGGCTCGTCATCGCCGCGGGCACCGCCGAAGGTTTCGTGCACACGTGGAAGCTGATGGAACACGAGGGTAAACGCGGGTACGCGCGTTTGTTGAACCCGCTCAAGGTGGACTCGCAGCCGATCACGAGGGTGCACTTGGGGACTCAAGCGGAGCTCTTGACCGCGTACGCGGCGTCGAAGAGAACGCTCGTGTGCTGGGAGTTATCCACCGGGAAACTCCGAGGCGCGTACAACGTCGACGGCGTAGCGAAGGGCGTACCCATGGCGTTGACAGCGAACTGCGAGTCCGTGATCGCGTGCGTGCACGCGCACAAGACGAGCGACGGGGGTGGTAAGGGTAATAAAACGCCCCCGCTCGCGGCGTTACTCGACGTCCAGTCCGGCGAAGGCGGCGCGGTGAAGGACGTCTCGCCGTTACTCGGCGAAGGCGATCCCGCGTGCATCGCGTTCGACGGCGAACTCCTCGCCGTCGGCACCACCGCCGGCGCGGTGATCGCATGGAACGTCGGCGAAGGGTACGCCGCGTGGAAGGGCTACCACGGCGGGTCCGTCGACGCGATCTGCTCGGTGCCGGACAATCACCGACCGCGGCTGCTCTCCGGCGCCGCGGATCGCACTCTCCTGTTGTGGGATAAGACGGGGATGGTGCAAGCGCGGCTGGAGGTTGGCGCGGGGGTGACGTCGCTGCACGCGCCGACGTCGCGAACCGCGGTGTGCGGGACCTCCGCCGGGATGGTCGAGCTCTTAGCCCTGTGCGCGCCGGACGCGACCGCGGACGAGGCGTTGACCGTCGCCGCGAAGGGCGGAAGGAGGGTCGGGAACGAGCTCGTCGCGACGGCGTGGAGGCACGATCCGGGGGACGCGCCGGATTCGCGCCGGTCGTTTGAGGTGCGTTCTATACACTGGTCCCTATACGACCCCGTTGGTGTGGTGAACGCCGATCCTTAAGGACTTTTGCCGTCGTCTCTCTCCGCCCACCCCACGGTTTCAATCCCCGTCCTCGACGCCTTTCAACTCCATCTGACGCCTTTGAACTCCACCCCGACGTTCGCTTGTATGGAACGGCCCTGAGGCGTACACGCGCGCGGTTCGCGTCGACGAAGGCGACGCGCCGCTCATGGCGGCGCCGGAGGAGACGAAGGAGACGAAGAAAGCGGAGAAGGCGAAGGCGAAGGCGGTCGCGAAGGGGATGATGAGAGGGCTTCGAGAGGACGTCGAAGCGAGCGAGTCCGAGGAGGCGATTGCGGCGCGGAAAAAAAAAGAGGACGAGGAAGAGGCGGCGAAGCATCGCGCGATGGACGCCAGGCGCGTTTTATACACTGGTTCCCATACGACCGCGTTGGCGTGGTGAACGCGGTTCCTTAAGGACTTTTGCCGGCGTTTCTCTCCGCTCACCCCTCGCTTTCAACGCCCGACCTCGGCACCTTTCAAATCCAGCTGACGCCTATGAACTCCACCCCGACATCGCTTCGTATGGAACGACCCTCAGCGGCGTCGCGAGGAATCCGAACGTGAAAGCCACGGCCGACCGCGTGCGAAAGTGCGCGAACCCGTCGTGCGTCGCGCGCGAGGACACGATCGCGCGCGCCGGCGGGAAGATGCTTCGATGCTCGCGGTGTAAGGCGGTTTCGTACTGCTCCCCGCACTGCCAGCGGACGCACTGGAGGGACGGGCACCGAGGGACGTGCGTTCCGGCGGCGGCGACGCCGACGAAGGAGGTCGCGAAGGAGGTCGCGAAGGATCCCGAGCCCAAGCCGCCGCCGGCGACCGCGCGGGAGACGGAAGTGAAGGAGACGCGCAGGGCGCTCGTCGTCGAGGACGATTCCGAGGACGACGAGAGCGACGCGGAGGAGGAGGCGGTCGGAGCCGACGCGTCGGCGGCGGCGACGGCGGCGGCGGCGACGACGACGCGACGACCGCTCGTCGTCGAGGAGGAATCGGACGGAACCGAGGACTCCGACGACGGCCCGCCGCCGCTGCCGGACGTGAGACGCGACGCGAAACTCGCGACGGAGGTGCGGAAAAAATCGCTGGTGATCGAGGAAGAGGACGACGTGGACTCGGACTCGGACGACGACGACGCGTTGAGCTACGAAGAAACCCCGGAGATGCGCGCGGAACGCCTGGAGCTCGAGTCGTTGGACGTCGACGATGAGCTCATCGACATGGAGCTCGTCGACATGGAGGACCTCGAATCCGACGAGGACGACGAGAACTACGTCCCGCAAGAGACCATGACGGTCAAGATAACGCACACCGCTCCCCCGACGGGGGAAGAGGGGAAGCCGCCCGCGTTGCCGCCGTGGATGACGGCGCACGCGCCGCCGAAGAAACCGCCGGAGAAACCGCCGGCGGAGAAGGCCGAGGCGAAATCGATACCGAAGCCGGCGGAGGTTCCCGCGGCGCCGAGGCCGGTCGAGGCGAAACCTACGCCGCCGCCGGCGCCGGCGGCCGTCGACCCGGCGCTGGAACCGGTGAACGCGGACGACCTCCTGTACGACCTCGATTAGACCGAGCGAGCGCTTCAGTTGTAACCTCTTCTCCGGACGTTAAACTTTTTTCATCGTTCGCGCCGCTGCGAAGTTCCATTCTTCCGTCCGTCCGCTCGCACATCCCACACACACATCCCGGGGCGCGGAGACCCGATGCGCCGAGGCCTGGGACGGCTTCTCATCGAACGAATGCACGCGCTCGCGAGCACGATATATGTCACCGCGCCCTCGCTCGCGCCGCGCGTCGGCGCGAGCTGCCCGTCCACGCGCGCGGCGACGTCCACCGTAAACCTACGCCCTCATCATCCTACTCGGCGGATTCTTCGGACGCACTCCACGGACGCGGACGCGACGACGGAGACGGAGACGGAGACGCCGACGACGCCGAAGCCGAAGCCGTCGCGCGCGCACCAGGGCCCCAGCGTGAAGCGCACCACCTTCGGCGGCGAGAGCCGAACCTCGAGCGACGCGTCGGACAAGGAGTTCCACGGCAATCGCGCGCGTCGCGTCTCGAGATACGTGCGACCGGCGCTCCCGCCGTCCGACGACGACGACGACGCGTCCGCCGCGTCCGCCGCGTCGTCCTCTCGGTTCCCGTACGAGCACGACACGTTCTGCTTCGACGGCCTGGACGCGTCTCTCGAGGACCTCACGCGCGCGTTCACGCCGGTGATCTCCCCGGACAGACTCGCGCGCCTGGACGCGGTCGTCGAGCAGCGGTCGTTCGATATACTCCCGATCCTCGAGGGCGCGTACGACATCGGAAACGTCCTCGCGGTGTGCCGAAGCACCGAGGCGCTCGGGATCGGCACCCTGGGCGTCGTGTCCGACACCGGCTTGAAGTTCAAACAGAGCGGAAGAACCTCCGGAGGCGCGGTGAAGTGGACGCATCTGCAGCAGTGGAGGTCCACCGCGGACGCGGTTCGAGACGCGAAGAAGAGGGGCTATCGCGTCCTCACGACGGTGTTCGAAGGCGGGCACCCGCTGGAGCATTACGATTGGACCGTCCCGACGGCGGTCATCTTAGGAAACGAGCGCGAGGGCGTGAGCGAGGAGGCGAAGAAACTCGCGGACGGCGGCGTGTACGTCAGCATGAACGGCTTCACGGAGAGCTTAAACGTCTCCGTCGCGTCGAGCCTCGTGATGCATCACGCGGTGCAAGACAGAACGCGCAGAGCGGGGAAGCACGGGAGCTTGACGGAGAGAGAGAAGGAGACGCTTCGTGGGGTGTACCTCGCGCGGTTGGTGCCAAACTACGCGAGGCAAGGATACTTGCGGCAGCTCATAGAGCGCGCGGGGAAGCTCGGGGAGGCGGCGGCGTGCGGGGAGGGCGGCGGCGACGACGAGCCGCGCGACGCCGAGACGGACGACGAGGTGATTCTGCTGAACGCGTTGGAAGTCGCGAAGATCGTGAAGCGACCGAGGCGCAAGAAGTGGGGACGGCCCGTGAAGGACGACCACGCGCGGATACTGAGCGAGGTCGAGCTCGCGCCCGAGCGCGAGAGCGAGTCTGGGTAGGAAGCGGACAAGCAAGACAACATGCACACGTGTTATTACTTTCGACTTCTGCCGCGCCGAAGACCTTCCGTCGGCGGCGCGGGCGCGGGCTTCGACCTGCCCTTCGCCTTCTTCGTCGGTTTCTCCTTCTCCTCCGCCGCCGGCTTCTCCGGCTCCAGCTCCGGCTCCGCCGCGGGCTCCGGCGCCACCTCGGGCTCAGGCTCGGGCTCAGGCTCGGGCTCCGGCTCCGGCTCCGGCTCGGGCTCAGGCTCCGGCTCCGGCTCCGGCTCGGCCGCCGCTTCGGGCTCCGCCTCCGCCGCCGCCGCCGCCGCCGCCGCCTCTTCCTCTTCCTCCTCCGCCTCCGCCATCACGACGTCCACGTTCGCCTCCTCGACGTCCACGTTCGCCTCCACAGCCTCTGAGGGTGTTTGCCCATACGGCTTCTGCTTCTTCTTCACCGCCTCGAGCTGCTCCGCGGTCACCGCGGGGCGGTGAACGACAAACGTCTCGCCGCCGGCGTCGCAGCACGGCGGGCACTTGAACGTCACGCCGGTGTCCTCCTCCTCGTCCAAACCGGGCGGAGACATCCCGCAGCACTCGTAGTGAAACCACCCCTCGCACTTATCGCAGCTGATCATCGGCCTGAGCGCGTCGTACGCCGTCTTACACAGGCAGTACACCTCGCACCGTTCGCCGAGTTCTTCGAGCTCGTCCTTCAGGTTGATCGGCAGCGCCTTGCCCTGCGCCATCAGCGCCTGCACCTCGTCCACGGGGACCTCCTTGGCGCCGTCGACCGCGTCCGCAGCGCGGTCGAGCCACGACTGTCCCGCGGCTTCCAACGCTAAGACTTCGTCGCCCAACGGCTCGATCCCGGGGACCACGAACTCTTTGTCCCCGTCGGAGGCGTATCGAATGCACCCGGACGCGATCCCCGTCTCTTTCAAATCCACGAGCGCGTGCAACGTCGGGTACCGGTTCGGGTTATCGTCGTCCGCGCTTATCGCCGCTGCTGACCGCGGGGACACGATCGGGTGCAACGCCGCCGACGCCCTCGCTCGCCACGACGCGCCGCACACCTCGCGGAGCAAGCTCGGGAGCTCCTCGTCCGCGGGGTTGAGGTCGATCTCCATCGCGAGCGCGCCTTTCAGCCCGGCGAAGATTTGCTTCTTCGGGTCCGGGGACGCCACCTCGCCGAGGTTGGACGCGGCGACGGCGTACTCCGCGGCAGCCGCCGCGTGCGCGGCTTCGAGCGCCTTCTCCTCTTCGCTCGGGCCTTCCAGGGCTTTCTTGCGTCGAGGCGGCGGCGCCGTGATGGGTTCGCTCGCGTTCGCGTCGTTCGCAGGGGAGGGTTCTTTCGACGCCGTCGTCACCGCGAGAGGCGCAACGCCGGGCATCTCCTCTTTCGCTTCGATGTCGTGGTCGTCCTCTTCCGCGGCGGCGGCCGCGGACGCCGGCGCGGCGGGCTCCTCCGCGGTCGGCTCTTTCGCGTCCGCGTCCGCGTCCGCGTCCTTCATCTCGACGTCCTCTTTCGGCGGTTCTTCTTTCGGCGGTTCTTCTTTCGGCGGTTCTTCTTTCGGCGGTTCTTCTTTCGGCTCGGTCTCCTCCGTCTTCGGCTGCTCCGCCTTCGGTTCCTCTTCTTCTTTCTTCGCCTTCGCCTCGGGTTCCGGCTCCGCCGCCGCCGCCTCCGGATGCGGCTGCGGTTCCGGCGCCTCCGCGTCGGGGTCGTCCTCCTCGTCTTGCTCCGCCGCCGCCGCTGCCGCGGCGGCGGCGACGCGCTGCTGCTCGAGCAGCCCCCCGCCGAGCGCCTCGAGCTGAAGGTCTTGCTGCTTGGACAGCGTCAGGAAGTGCTGCTGCATCATCATCACCTGAATCAACACTTGGTACTGCGCCGTCGCCGCGGCTTGCGACCCCGCCGGATTCGCCGCGCTCTGCTGTTGCTGCGTCAAAATCTGTTGCTGGCACGTCGCGAGCTGATGCACGAACGTCCCGAGCTCTTGCAGATGCGACACGAGGAGAGCCTCGAACGGCGACGCGGACTCCGCGGCCGCGGCGACGGACTCCGCGCCGCCGTCGCCGCCGGCGAGCCCCGCGGCGACGGCGGCGGCGACGGCGCCTCTCAGCTGCGTGAGCTGCTGCTGCTTCATCGCCGCCGCCGCGGCGACTTGCTGCCCGAGCATCTCGAGTTGCTGCTCCGGCGCCATGTGCGCGGATCTCTGCGCGGCTTCCAACGCCGCAGCCGCGGTGCCGCCTCCGCCGGCGCCGAGCAGCGCGGCCGCCATCGCGGTCGCGCCCGCGCTGATCTGCGCTTGTTGCACCGCCGCGGTGCGATCGTGCACGCCCTTGATGCGCGCGAGTCGCGCGTCTCTGACCGCGGCGAGCGCCCTCGCGGCGGCGTCGGCTTTCTCCTTCGCCGCCTGCGCGATCCCCTCCACGCCCGCGGTCGCGCCTCGGCGCTTTAAGACCCCCGCGACCGCGGTCCTCCACTTTTGGTGCTCGACGAAGACGTCGACGAGAAGATCTTCCTCCGGGAGCTTCCCGCTGAATTCGAGCGCCTCGAGGAGCATCTCGCCGAGCACCGTGAGCGTCGGCCGGCGCGTCCTGTGGATGTGCTTGTACACCACGTCCGGCTTGTTCAGCTTGAACACGTCGCCTTGCGCGGCGAGGCAGGCTTGGCACACGTAGTTCTTCGCCCCTCGCGCGAACCCGGCGGTGACGCCCGCGCACCGGAGATGGTACCAGTCCCCGCACACGTCGCAGCCGAGCATCTCTCGCCCGCCGGGTTGGCGGCATAAACAAAACTGGCCCTCTTCGCTCTCCGGGGGTTCGCCCGTGCCTTCCAGGTCGTACGTCGCCGCGCGGATGCTTTGTACGATGAGCGTCAGCGCGGTCTTCGAGTCGTCCACAGCGATCGCGTGCACGCCCGCGGAGGATCGCGGACGCACGAGCACCTTGCGCAGGCGCTCGGACCAAGCCGCAGCGGAGGCGACGGCGGCGGCGAGCTCGATCCCTTCCTCGGACTTCAACGGTAAAGATTCCCCCGTCGTCTGCATCTCGATCACGTCCGCCATCGCGGGGCGGGTGTCCGCGTCGTTACCAGCTTCCGCGCGCGCCGCGAGCTTTTTCTCGACCTCGTCGCGGACGCGCGTCGCCGCGGCGGCGATGCGCGCCTTTTCCTTTGCTTCGTCCGCCGCGGGTTTCGCATCCGCCGCCGTCGCGGGTTTCGCGTCGGGCGCCGCCGCGGACTTGCCACCCTTGCCCTTCTTCTTCTTCTTGCTGTTCTTACTCTGGCGCTTCCGCTCCGCCTCCGCTTCCGCGGCGGCTGCCGCGGCGGCTGCGGCGTCCTCTCCCGCGGCGGTCGCCGCCGCGGCGGCGTCCGCGTCCGCCTTGGCCCGGAGCTCCTCCGGCGTCGGCTTCGGCTTCGGCGGACCCAACAGCGCGCGCGCGGACTCCACCCACTTCTGGTGCTCGTCCAGGATGGTCTCCAGCTCCGCGACTCTCGGGACGATCGCGGGGAGCTTCTTCCCTTCGTCGATGAACGCCTTGATGATCTCCGGCTGCGGCCGTCGCTCCGCGTGCGCGGCGGCGGCGGCGGCGGCTCTCTCCGCTGACATCGTCTTCGGCGCCGATCCCCCGGCGCCGACGCTGAACCTCAGCGCCTCGTCCACCTTCTTCGTCCACTCCTCGACAGCCTCCAACCTTCTCATAAGGTCCTCGCCCAGGCCGTCCTCGATGTCCTCCATGTCGATGTCGTCCGCGCGCGTTCTGAGATCCTCGAGGAGCTCCAACGTCGGCACGCCGTCCTTCTCCTTCACCGCGTCTCTCGCCTCTCGTTCCCACGCCAACGCGGCGAGGCACGCGCGAACGTCCGCCGCCGCGGGGAGCTCCAACCCGTACGACTCGTGGTCGATCAGGAGCTGCTCGAACTTCTGCTCCGCGCCGTCCTCGCGCCAGTGGTCGACCACCTCCTCCGCGCGCACGCCCCACGCCTTGGCGTCCTCGACGCGTTCCTCGAGCGCGCTGAGCTCCTTGACGGAGACGGAAAACTTCCCGGCGTCGCGAATCAGACGCTCCGCGTGCGCGAGCGTCGGCGGCGGCGCGTTCGCGCCCCGCCGCGTGAGCTGCTTCCCCTTGAGGCACAGCTGCGCCTTCTCGACCCACGACCGCGCGGCGACGCTCGCGTCGAAGAGCTCCTTGTAGTGCGTCAACGCCGCGGGAATTTTTTGCGCCTCGGCGACGAGCTTCTCCAAATCCTCCAGCGGCTTGAGGTTCCCGGCGGCGGCGGCGTCCGCCACCGCCTTCGCGCGCTTCTCCCACGCCTCGCCGTTCTCGACGCACGCGCGGAGCTTCTCGAGCAGCTGCCGCTCCGCGTCCGTAACGTGCTCCTCGCGCACGCGCTCGTCACCGCCAGCCGTCTCGATGATCGCTGCGCCCTGCGCCGCGACGCGTTTGATCTCCTCGACGACGCTGGGCTTCGGCTTCCCCACCGCGACCAGCTTCGCGGGGTCCGCCCACTCCCGCACGCGTATGCGCTCCACGAGCATCCGCAGCTCCTCGCTCGCGCGCACGCACATCCCGGTCGCGCTCTCGTGCAGGCTCCACAGCATGTTCAGAGGCGCGTCGGCGTTGTCCGCGGCCACCGCCTCCTCCGCCCACGTCGTCGCCTCCGTCGTCGCCGACTCCAACGCGTCCATCTCGTCGCATCGACACGGGAGCTCCGCGCCCTGTTCCAGGAGCTTCTTCGCGTCCTCGAGCTCGCACGACGGCGTTGTCGCCATCAGGCTCGTCGCTCTCGCCGCCCAGGCGTTCGTCTCTTCCACGGCGGCGTCGAGCGACGCGACGTCGTTGGGTTGCACCGGGAGATGTGCGCTTCTCGCTTTGAGCGCGAGCAAGTCCTCCGTGGTGGGCAGATCCGCGCGCGCGGGGCGGTGCCTGCGCCCGGGGAGCGCCTTACGATGCGCGTCCGCCCACGCGTGCGCGGCGGCGACGGCGTCTTTGATCCTCCGCGCGGACGTCACCTCTAAGGGGCCGCGCGCCACCTCCGCGAGGAGCGCGGCGAACTTTTTCGGGTTCGGGTAGGGGCGCTCGTCGAGCGCGGCGACGACGCGCGATTCCAGGTCCTCGCCCGTCTCGAGCGCTTTCGCGAACGCGTCCGCGTCCGCGGGAGGGAGCGGGAACGGCGCCGCGTTCAGGAGCTCGCGGAGGCGGTCTAACGTCATGCGACGCGCGGGGGCGCCGCAGGATTTTTTTCCCGCGGCGGCGGCGCCGGCGCCGGCGGCGGCGGCGGTTCCGGCGGTCTTTTCGCCATCCGCCGCCGCGTCTGCCATCTCGACGTCGCCGCCTTCCTCCTCTTCCTTGACGGGGTCCTCCTTGACGGGGTCCTCCTTGACGGGGCCCACCGTCGCGGCGACCGAAACGGCCTCTTGCCCTCGCTTGCCGCGCATCGGCGCCTCGGCGGCGGCGCGCGCGACGACGTCCGCGTCGTCCACGCCCGGGGCGACCCACCGATCTTTCCCCTCCGTCTTCTCGTCGGACGCGTCATCGTCCTCCGCGGCGAGCCGACGCTTCAGCACCGCGAGCTCTCTCTGGAACGCGATCGCGATCCCAACCTTCGCGGCGTGCTTTCGGACTTCGTTCATGTCCTCTCCCGCCCAGGTGAACTCCTCCGCGGCGATCATGATTTGCTCGAGCTCGTGAAGGTCCTTTGGCGGCGATTTGACCGCGAGCGTCTCCTTCGCCTTCTTCACCCACGCCGCCGCGCGCTTCTGCCGCGCTTTCGCGGAGCCGAACGCCTTCTCTTTGTCCGACGCTTTGCTTCTCTTTCCGGACGCGCGCTCGACGTCGTTGCACAGCCGCTCGAGCTGCGCGATGGACTTCCTGTAGAACATGACTCGGTGCGACGGCGGGCAGTCGCACAGCTCGGCGCTGTGACGCAAGCACGCCGGCCGGTTCGGGTTACAGCTGCACGCGACGCCGCTGCAGTGAAGAATGTACCGGCAGATCGTGCACTCGCGGTCGTACGCGCCGTTCGCGTTCTCGAGCGCGAGGACGCTCTCCGTCTCCGCGGTGGGGTCCAGCGCGGCGTCGAGGGCGAGCGACGAGGCGTTCGCGTTCGACCCGCCGCCAAAACCGCCGCCGGGGACGTCCGACTCGCGCTTCTTCGCCATCGCCGCCATCGCGAGCTTCTTCGGGACGTACCGCTTGCTCCGCACGACGCCGTCCGTGAACAGCTGCTCTCTTCCCGCGCGCTCGTCGTGAGTGATGCGCTTTATGTCCGACACGAGCCACTTCGCCACCTCCGCCGACGGATCGTCCGCTGCGACGACGCACGCGAGCTCGTCGTGGCACAGAACGCTCGGCTTGCGGTAGAACCGGTACCGCTCCACGGCGTCGTTCCCGAACCGGAGCCAGTCCGGGGGGGCGAAGCACACCTCCTCGGAGACGTTGAACCCGCAGTTGAACCCGGCGTGGTACGCCTTCGGGAACGTCACGACGAATTCGCCCGCTTTTTGGTCCGCGCGGTACACCGGGACGCCGTCGTTTTGCAGCAGCGACGGCGACAGCATCGTGACGAGGGACAACACCAAATCCGGCTGCGCGGCGAACAGATCCGGGGTGGACTGCTTGAACGACTCCTCGAACGCGTCCGCGCTGGCCCCGGGGACGCCGTACCACGTCTTCGCCGCGCCCGCGTGGTTGTAATTGATCGAGTACAGCATGTGGTCTTCGTACCGCCAACAAAACGACGAAAACGTGCTCCCGACGTGCATCAGCGGCATCGTGATCCCCGGAACGTTCTCCGTGACTTGGCGCAACAACGACGCGTGCTCGCCGCCCTGTCGCGGGATGTTGTTCAGATTCCACGCGTGCTCCGCCGCGGCGATCACGTCGTCCGGCCGCGTATCAGCGCCGCCCGAGGAGCGCGCCTCGACGCGGCGCGGGAACCCGCCGCCGTTGGCGGACACGTCGACGTCGCCGCCGTGGTGCACGTCGACGCTCCGTTCGCAGCCTTCCTCGACCATCTTCCAGAACGCTTCCTCGATGTCTGCGGTGGACGTCTTCGCGAGGGCGTCCTCCCCGCCGAAGAACGCCTCGTCGAAGTCCCGGCACGACTTTTCGAAATCGTCCATCGTGAACGTCTTCCCGGAGTTGAACCCAAAGTCTGACGCGTCGTTCGCGGCGGCGACGCAGTTGGGGCAGAACCAGTCCCCGCGCGGGAGCTCCTCCATCGGCGGGGAGAGGCAGTACATGTGGTACCTGGGGGAAGCGAACGGAGAGAGAGGGAGGAGAGAGAGAGACGCGGCGGTGAGCGGGAGTGGCGGGCAGAAGAAGGAGAGGAGAGGGAGCGGAGAGAAGGAAAAAAAACCGTCGAGAGAGAAATAAATCTCTCGGCGACAGAAAGCAGTCTCGGACGCGGAATTCTCCGACGCGGCGCGGCTCGCGCGACCGGACGATGCACCGAGACGCGCGAACCGTCGATCGACGGTGTGGAGATCCACGACGGCTCGCGAACGATCGCGCGCGACGCGGATCGCGGTCGGCGACGCACCCTTGGTCGCATCCGTCGCACAGGATCATGGACTCCTCGTGCGATGAGCCGCCGCAGTTCAGACACGCGTGTATCAGCGGCCCTTTCGCTTCCTCGTCGAGCTGCTGCGCGACTTCCTCGAGGCCCTGAAGCGCGCGGGGCGATGGCGAAGGGTGGAAAAAAGCAATTGTCGTCAGCGACGCTCGGTCGATTAGGAAACGCGACGTGCTCGCGGGAGGCGCGCGCGCGCGCGTGCGGCGACGCGGGATCGCGCGACGCGATCGCGCGCGCTCGCGCGCCGCGTCGCCGACACGAAATGCGATCGCCCGCGGGGGATCGGACGCGAAATCGCGGCGATTCGCGCGCGCCGGGGGCGTCCCCGCGCGCGCGAGCGCGATCATTATATCGCGCGCCTGACGCGGACGCGAGGCGCGGAGAAAGAGAATCGCGCGCGAGGGGTCCGCGCCATGCCGCGCGCGACGCGCACCATCTCCAGCTTCGGGCGCTTCGGCGCGACGTTTCCGAGCTCGAACAGCGCCTCGAGGAGGTCCTCCTCGCCCGCGGTGGGCGGTTCCTGCGCGGCCGCGGCGGCCGCGGCGGCCTCCGCGCGTTCGCGCTTCTCGCGTTCTTTCGCGGACTCTCTCTCCTTCTTCGCGCCGGCGGCGTCCTTTCCCTTGCCGTTCGGGGAGCCGCTCTCCGTGGACGCCTTGTGCTGCTCGAAACGCAGCAGCCACTTCTCGTAGAGCTGCCGAAGAACCAGCGCCGCGGACGTCGCGGACGCGGGAACGTCCATCGCGCGCGCGACGTCGCGCCATTGCTTCCCCTTGCACGCCGCCTCGAATCCGCCTCGGCTCGTGACGGTATCGTACAGCGCCTGAAGGTCGAGCTTCTTGCCGCCGAACACGGGCCAGCGCGTGACGCTCTGCCCTCTGCTCTGCATGAAGTCCGCGTACTCCGTGCGGAAGCTGCGATTCTTCCCTTTCTTGAGCCTCAGCTGCAGTTCATTGACCGTCTGTATCCGCGTCTTGAACGCGAACGCGGACGTGTCTTGATCGAAAGGAACGCGCCATCCCGCGGGAGGGACGATCCTGCACAGCCCGAACGCCTCCGCTTCGTCGCGAATGGACGCGATGTACCGATACGGATCTTCGAACTCCGCCGCGGAGGGGTGAAACACCGGCGCCTCCTTCACGCCGGCGAGGCGATACTTGCCCATGTCGCCGCTCGTGCGCCGCGGCGACCGCGAGTGGCGCGCCGCCCGACGATCAAGAAAGAACCAAGAACACCAAAGGCGCAGACACCGTGGCCGCGCGGCGTGGTGGCCGACCGACCGGTCTCATCCCATCAGCGCTCATCGGCGGTTCGAACAGCTCATCAGCTCGACAGAACGATGGCCGCCTCCGCCGGGACGAGCGGCTCCCCCCTCGGGATGGAGCTCGCGTCCCCCCCCACGGACGGGATCACCTCCCTAAACTTCTCCCCCGACAGCGGTCTGCTCCTCGCGACGTCGTGGGACGGCGGCGTGCGCGTGTACGACGCGGATCCCGCGCGCGATCGATCCTCCCAGCGGCAGCACTTCGCCACCCCCGGCCCGGTCCTCGACGCGTGCTTCGCCGAGGCCGGCGGGACCGCGGTGATCAGCGGCGGGATCGCGAAGGTGGTGACCCGCCACGATCTCATGACCGGCGCGGAAGAAGTCCTGGGGTCCCACGACGCCGCGGTGAAGGCGGTGGCGTACGACGATGACACCGGGCTGGGGATCTCGGGCGGATGGGACAAGACGCTCCGCGCGTGGGACCCGCGCCTCCCGCCGGAGCGCCGTTGCGTCGCGCGCGTGGACCTCCCGGACAAGGTCTACTCCATGAGCATCAACCCGCCCAGCAGCAGCGCGAACAAGAAGATCGTCGTCGCCATGGCGGGGCTGGGGATCCACGTGTACACGCCGCTCGGGTTGACGCTCGGCGGCGCGCCGGAGCAGACGAGGACGTCGACGCTGTCGCATCAGACGCGCGTCGCGCGCTGCTTCCCGGACGGGACCGGGTTCGCGGTCGGCAGCGTGGAAGGGAGGGTCGGGTGGGAGTATTTCGATCGATCGGAGGAAGCGATCGCGAGGCAGTACGCGTTCAAGTGCCACAGGAGCAAAGAGGGCGGCGTGGAGACGATTCATCCGGTGCACGCGATCGCGTTTCACGAGAAGCTCGGGACGTTCGCCACGGGAGGCGGGGACGGGTTCGTGAACGTGTGGGACGGCGGGAATAAGAAGCGTCTGTATCAGTACCCGAGGTATGCCACGAGCGTCGCCGCGCTGGCGTTCAACGCGGAAGGGGACGCGCTCGCGATCGCGGCGAGTTACGTCGGGGAGGAGGGAGATAAGCCCGCGCCGGCGGATGCGATTTTCGTGCGCGCCGTCGACGCCGCGGAGGTGACGCCGAAGCCGCGGAGCTGAGGACGACGACGACGACGTGTTTAGGGTTGGTGTTTAGGGTTCACGGGGGGGATGTGGGGTAGGGGGCATCGCGCGCGCGACGTGCGCGCGCGTCGCGTGCGATGCATTCGTAGCGATGTAACGGAGAAAACGGTCTTCGAGAGCGGCTGGAGTCCTTCGCCAGTGAACGCTCAACGAATCTCGGACCGGCTCGTGCACTGAATGGTGGCTACACGTCGACGCGCTTCCGCGGTCAGAGGACGATGCGCGCGGCGTCGTGTCACGCGATGACCCCGATGGCGGCGCGCGGTGCGTTGCGGCGGACGAGGGCCGCGGCGTGCGCGTGCCTTCGAAACGCCGCGCGCGCGCCGACGCGGGAACGGCGCGCGGGCGCGGGCGTCGTCGTCGCCGACTTCGCGGACGACGACTCCCGTCGTCGTCGCGCGTCTCCGAATCACCTTCGCGCGTGGCGCCGCGACGACGCCATCGCCGGCTCGACCGCGCTCGCGAGGACGGCGTCGACGAGACGATGCGCGCGAACGTTCGCGTCGACCGCCGCGAGCGCGGCGACGGACGCGCACGCGCCCGCGTCGACGGAGCGCGCGTCTCCGTCTCGGTCGCCGCCGAGATCGTTAGCCACGGGAAACTTCACGCGCGACGGGTCGCTCCCGTCGTTCGACTACACCGCGCTCCTCGCGAGCGCGCTGGAAATTTCCCGCGTCGCGACCCCTACCAAGGTCGAGATCGCGGTCCAGGGCGACGCGTACTCCGTCGTCCTCGGGCTGAGAGGACTCGAAGGGAACGCCGCGCTCCATCTGTCGTGGCACCCGAACGCAGCGAGCGTCCGCCTCGGCCCGCCGCCGCCCCGCGTGCACAAGTCCGAGCAGCTCGCGTTCGGCGAGCGAATGAACGCCACCCTGCGCGGGCTGATTCTGACGCGCGTGACGCTCCCGGAGCGTTGGGAGCGCGTCGCGACGTTCGAGTTCGCGGAGCGCCCGGGCGGCGACGCGGCGTATCGAGTACACGCGGAGATCATGGCGAGGAACAGCAACGTCGTACTCGTGGACGCGCGGGACGACGATAAGATCGTCGCGTGCGCGTACCAGGTGGGCGCGGCGCAGACGTCCGTGCGGCCGATTTCGCCGGGGTTTAAGTACGCGCCGCCGCCGGCGGCGCCGGGGGTGGACCCGGACGCGGGGCTGGCGGCGACGGAGTGGAGAGAGCTCGTCGTCGCCGCGAGCGCGCTCGCGGCGTCGAGCGCGAACGAGAAGAAACCGAAGAAGGCTTCGACCCCGGAAGCGGCGGCGAAGGCGGCGGCGAAGGCGGCCCCGGGCATATCGAAAGGGCTCGTGCGCGCGTTCAGGGGCGTCTCCCCCGCGCTCGCCGCCGCGCTCGCGTCGAGCGTCGGCGTCGACCCGAAGACGAACACGGCCGACGTCGCGGACGACGACTGGATCGAGTTGCACCGCGCGTGGTTGGGGTGGATCGAGTCCGCGACGAGCGCGGTGGACGCGATCGCGTCCGCGGACGTCGCCGCGGTCGAGGAGGCGTTGAAAGACGCGGGTTGGTGCGTGGAGTGGGGGCAGATGTTGTTGCGGCGGCCCGCCGGTTCGAACGCGGCGGCGGCGGCGGATTCGTCGTCGTCGTCGTCGTCGTTTCTCGTCGAGGCCATCTCCGACGTTCCGACCGCGGGGGATGGCTCCGGGCCCGTCGGCGCTTTGTTTTCCGCGGTGTACGGCGACGCCGGGGACGCGGACGTCTTCAGAAGGGAACGCGATCGGTTGTTACAGGGCGTGAGGGCCGCGCTGAAGAAGACGACGCAAAAGGCGAAAAACTTTCGAGAACAAATCGAACTCGCGGAGAAGCACGAGAGCGTGAAAATTCAAGCGGACGAGCTCATGGCGTACCAGCACGGGTGGACGCAAGGCCAAGACACGATGGAGGTGTACGATTTCGAGTCGGGCGAGGCGCGGCGCGTGGCTGTGGACCCGCAGAAAGGACCGCTGGACGCGGCGGAGAAGTTGTACAAAAAAGCGCGGAAACAACGACGCACGGCGACGCAGGTGGAACCCCTCCTCGAAGCCGCATCGAACGAGATGGCGTACCTGGAGAACGTCGAGTTCGCGCTCACGGAGCTCACGAGCGAGGACGCGCTCGCGCTCGAGGAGATAAACCTTGAGCTCGTCGACGCGAAGCTCATGGCGCCCGTCGGGCGAGGCGCCGCGGCGGCGATCAAACGCGAGGAGAAGCGAAAGAGCGGCGGCGGCAAGGGCGGCAGGGGCGGCAAGGGCGGCGGCGGGACCGCGCCGAAGAAGCGAAATCGTCGCAAGGAGGAGACGATGGCGAACGTGCGGACGTACGTCGCCCCCGGCGGGAGCGACATCCTCGTCGGGAGAAACAGCAAAGGCAACGAGGCGGTGTCGCTGAAGCTGGGCTCGGACCACGACGTGTGGTTCCACGTCCGCGGCGCCCCCGGCGCGCACGTCGTGCTGCGTCTCGATCCCGGGCAGACCGCGACGGACGTGGACATGCAGGCTGCCGCGGACTTGGCCGCGTTTCACAGCAAAGTGCGGACGGGCGGGAAGGTTGACGTGTCGTACACGTCCCCGAAGTTTGTCCGGAAGCCGAGCGGCGCACGGTTGGGGATGGTAACGATCGACAAGGAGAAGGTGATGACGGGGCGGCCGGACGACAGCGTCGCCGCGGAGGAGGAGAGGAGGGAGGCAGCCGCGGGCGGCGGGAAGAAGGGGAGAGAGGAGTGGTGAGGGCGAGCGGATAGACGCGGTCCGCGGCTCCGTATCGAAGCGCGAAACAACCCTAAACCCTCAAAATATGATAATGTCAGCTGCAGCAGTGCCGCGTCTCAGTGTCGCGTCCCAGACCGCGTCGCGCGCGCGACCGCGCACCGCGCACGACGTCGTGCTGCAGTCGCATATCCCGCCGCGCCGTCGACGCCGCCTTTCGTTCGTACATGATGGCGACGGCGACGGCGCACGTTCGCCCGACGCGGTGCCTTCGCGCGACGCATTGGACGCCTTGGACGCAGCAATGGACGTCGACGTCGCCGCAGCGCGCTGCGGCCGGTGATCTTCATGATCGACGTCATCGGACGTTCCTCGCGCGCGCGGCCGCGAAGGCGAAAGAGGCGCCGATCGAGCCCGCCCCTCCGCACAGGGACGACGAGGTGTGGTGCGACCCGAGGCGCGTGCGCGTGCGGAACGACGTCCCGCTGCGCGGCGACGGCCCGGTCGTGTACTGGTGCTCGCGCGACCAGCGCGTGGACGACAACTGGGCGCTCCTGCACGCGCTCTCCGTCGCCAAGTCTCGAAACGTCCCGGTCGCGATCGTTTTCGTCCTCGTCCCGTCGTTCGCGTCCGCGAGCGCGCGCCAGTACGCGTTCATGCTGCGCGGACTGCGCGAGATGGCGAAGACGTGCGAGGCGACGCGTCTTCCGTTTCATCTCGTCCGCGGCGACGCAAACCCCGCGGCGGCGGCGGCGGCGGCGGCGACGCGCCTCGACGCGTCGCTCGTCGTGACGGACTTCTCGCCGCTCCGCGCGCCACGCGAGTGGCGCAACGACCTCTCCGACGCGCTGAAGCGCGCGAACGTGACCGTGCACGAGGTGGACGCGCATAACGTCGTCCCGGTGTGGGAGGCGTCGAACAAGAGAGAGTACGCCGCGCGGACGATTAGACCGCGGATCACTAAGGTGCGTTCTATACACTGGTTCCCATACGACCGCGTTGGCGTGGTGAACGCCGATCCTTAAGGACTTTTGCCGGCGTTTCTCTCCGCCCACGCCTCGCTTTCAATCCCCGCCCTCGACGCCTTTCAACTCCACCTGACGCCTTTGAACTCCACCCCGACATTCGCTTGTATGGAACGACCCTAAGCGACTCGCCGCGTTTCTGACGTCGTTCCCCACGCGCGACGCGGTGCGCGACGCGGCGCTCGCGGCGGCGGCGTCGCCGCGCGCGACGGATGTGCCGACCCCGGAGCGCGTCGACTGGGACGCGCTCATCGCGGACGCTCGCGGCCGAGACGGCGGCGTCGTACCGGAGACGCTGCATCCGACGCGGCGGAAGCCGCCGGGGGAGGCGGCGGCGCGGCGCGCGCTCGTCGGCGGACCGGACGCGTTCCTCCCGTCGCGGCTCGCGATGTACGACAAGCGGAACGACCCGAACGTCCCGCGGGCGCTGTCCGGGCTGTCTCCGTACCTGCACTTCGGGCAGCTCAGCGCGCAACGGGTGGCGTTGGAAACGAACGCGGCGCGGACGGAGGCGACCGCCGCCGCCGCGGACGCGTTCGTCGAGGAAGTCGTCGTGCGGTCCGAGTTGAGCGATAACTACTGCTTCCACGAGCCGAATTACGATAACATCAACGGCGCGTCGGGGTGGGCGATCGAGAGCTTACGCCTGCACGCGGAGGACGCGCGAGACCCGGCGTACAGCCTGGAGGAACTCGAGAGCGGGTCCACTCGCGACGAGCTGTGGAACGCGGCGCAGCTCGAGATGGTGCACTTCGGCGCGATGCACGGGTTTCTGCGAATGTACTGGGCGAAGAAAATTCTGGAGTGGACCGCGGAAGGGCCCGAAGTGGCCCTCGAGCGCGCGATCTACTTGAACGATAAGTACCAGCTCGACGGCAGGGACAGTAACGGGTACGTCGGGTGCATGTGGGCGATATGCGGCGTGCACGACAACGCGTGGAAAGAGAGAGACGTGTTCGGGAAAATTCGGTACATGAATTACAATGGGTGCAAGAGGAAGTTTAAGATCGACGAGTACGTGGAGAGGATCGAGCGCGAGGTGAGGGAAGAACTCGCCGCGCAGTCAGACGCGTCGAGCGTGAACGTCGAGTAGGTGTACTCTAGCTAGTAGTCTGTGTTAGTTAATTATGCTACGTAACCGGTTTGTCTTCGCGCGAAGAATTTATTCGGTGGTTTTCGTCAGTCTTCTCCCGAACGCTCGCTCACGCGACCACGGGCGCCCACACCGCGATCCTCCCGTCCGCCATCCCCCCCACGATGCACTCCTCGGGAGTAACGCACAACGCGGTCATCCCCGGCCCGGGCCCGTCGTACTTTGCCCATATGGACAAATCGTGCACCATGCGAACGACGACGATCCCCTTCTCGCCGCCGGTGAGAAGAAACCTCGCGTCCGACGTGACGGCGAAGGCGTGTAACCGCTCCGACGCCGACGCCGTCGCCAGCGGCGCGGCGCTGCACGGCGCGTTGATCCCGTGGCTCGATATGAGAAGCGTGTCCGCGCAGTACACGAGAAGTCGCGCCGTGGACGTCGTCGCCTCGACGAGTCGCAACCAGCCCGGCGTTCCCGCGTGATCGTCGGCGGCGCCGGGGCCGGCGTCGCCTTGGAGCTTTTTCCGCGGGGCGCGCACGGTCCGCAAGTGCCTCCCTTCTCGGAGCGTGTGAAGCAGCACCGCCCCGTCGGCGCCGCCGGACGCGACGAGGTCGAGCTCCGCGGACGCGGCGACGCACGTCACCGCGTCGTTGTGCCCGAAGAGTATCCGCCTCGGTTGATGCCCTAACCCGCCGCCCTTCGCCAGCGACGGTTTCGACCTCGGATCCCCCCACCCCCCGGGCGGCGGCGTGACCTCCCACACCGCGACCGTCGTGTCCCTGGACCCGCTGACGACAACCGTGGCGCCATCGTTCCACCCGGTATCCCCGATGTCGCCGCCGTAAAACACGCCGCCGCCGCCGCCGCCGCCGCCGCCGCCGCCGCCGCCGCGCGCGTTCGATGAACTCCCGCCGCCCGTCGCCCCCCACGCCCGTCCCCCCGTCGCGCCCCCCGGCGCGGTCGTCGCGAGGCACGTCACGAGGTCCCTGTGCCCGGTCGCGATCTGCAGCTCCCTGCCGTCGTCCACGGCGATCAGACGCAGCCCGTGGTCCCAGTGCCCGCACGAGAGCAGCACGCGGTTCGACGCGATCGTCGCGAAGCACCGCGGCCCCGCGTCGGCGGCGGCGGCGAACGGCGGCGCGATCCTGCGGTGGTCCCCGCCGCCGTCGCACACGACGGCGTACGCGGGGGACCCTCCGCCGTCGGCGCCGCCGGCAGAGGGTCCCGCGTCGTTGCCGACGCTCCCGACGCTCCCGACGCCCCCGCCACCCGCGATGAAATCTCCCCCGGACGTGAACGTCATCGAGTTCGAGCGGTCGTGCCCGCCGCCGCCGCCGCCGCCGCCGCCGCCGCCGCCCGGTCCGGCGGCTCCCGGCGGCGGTCGAATAAATTTGTGCACGCCGATGGACCGGTCCGCGGACATCGTCACCACGCGCGAGGTTCCTAAGGCGCCGCTCGCGTCGCCTTCGACGGCCAGGAACGCGATCGGCGCGAGGGATCGCTCCGGATGCGGTCGCTGCAGCTTCCCGCTCCCGGGTAACGGCGGGGACACCACGGATGCGAGGCGAATCGCGTGCGGCGAGTGCTTTATCGGCGGCAACGGCGCCAACGGCGGGACCCGACGCGGGTGGGGCTTCGTGAACAACCGCGCCGGGGTTTGTCCAAAGTTTATGATCTGCGCCTCCGCAGCCGCGCGCTGATCCGCGTCCGCGATCGCGTCTAAATCCACCGCGCCCTCGTACGTGAGATGGTGAAACACGTTGTGTCGCTTCACCGCCTCCGCGCCGAGTTGCGCCGACCCGAAGACGAGGTCGATCCACTCGTGGACGCGCGCGGATACCGTCTCGCTTTCGAGAGCCTCGCGCATGACGCGGATGAACTCGTGGGTGCTGCCTTTCGCCCACGGCGGGAGTTCGACGTCGCCGACGGCGTTGCCGTCCTGGCGCGACCCGAGGTCGTGCGCGCTGTTGTTTTCGAGAAACTCCGGGAGGCAGTAAAACTCCGGGATGAGCTCTTTCACATCCGCGGTGGACTCCAAACACGCGCGCCAGCACCGATCGACGGAAGAGAACAACCTATCGGCGTGATCGAACCTCCCACCTTGAAGCTTACGGTTCAACCCGGTGAACGGCTCGAGGCGAAGGAGGAAGAACAGCACGATCCCGGACGAGGAGTAGTGCGAGCCGTAGTGAAACGGCGGCGTCGACGGGTCCGGATCCTCCGCGAGGAGCTTAAACCGCTCGATGAACTGTTCCAGACGCGGCGCGTGCAGCGCGCCGATCGGCTTCGTGAGGTCTCGAAACACCTTCGGGTCGTTCAAGTCAATCTCCGGGGACGTGTAGTCGCTCAATATCCACGGGAACACCGGGTATTGCGTGAGGTCATTCTTCGTTCGCCCGGCGAGCGTGTTCAACGCTTGCAGGTAGTCAAACGTCGAGAGCTCTCTTCGTCGCCAACGCTCTTGCGCTCGCGACGCAGCCTCGAGCTTACGCCGGCGGTCCATCACGACCGCGCCAGGCTTGCACGCGGCGACGCGCGCCGCGGCCTCGCGCATCGTGCGGCGGTCTTGAAACGCGAGGAACACGGACCGGCGGTCGGTGAGGAAAATCTCAATCGCGACGTGTCTCAGCTTGTACCTCGCGTGATGTACCTCGTCGACCCGCGACGTCGGCCACCGCCAGAACCGCTTCTTCGAGCGGTTCAGCGAGACGTCGTCGATCGTCGTCGTCGCGTCCTCGGCGTCGTCCGCTTGGTCCTCGTCCGCGATGAAGTGCACCGCGGCGCGAGAGATCTCCACCTTACCGGCGACGACGCCCCCGCCGCTCACGAGCGTCCCGGGCGCGGAGAGGAGAACCTTCCTTCGGTCGTCTTTCGATAGCTCTTTCGCTTCCCGCTCCGCTTCCTTCTCCGCAATGGCGGCCGCGGCGGCGACAGCCTCCGCCTCCGCTCTCGCGACGGAGTCCTCCTCTTCGGTGGTCCCGTCCACGATGGATTTCAACGCGCCGCCGACGACTTTGGTTATCATTCCATCCGCCGGCCCGGTTTCGTCCTCGCCGGCGTTCGCCGCGTTCGACGTCGTCCGCGCGAGGCGATCGTCCTCGTACACCACGTACTGATAGTCCCGCTTCAGTCGCAACCGTCGCTGCGAGCTATCCTCGGCGCTGTCGAGCTTCCACTTGTACGGCGGCGGCGCCGACGCGTTCGAACCGTCCCCCGCGGCGGCCGCGTCGTCGCTCGCCCACGCCCCCGTCTCTCCCGCGAGCTCTCTGTGAAGGTTACGCCACAAGTCCCCGAGCGCTTGCGCGTGCTCCTCGTGCGCGGCGCGCGACAACGCCCTGCGTTGACGTTCGCGCTCGCACAGCGCGCTCAGCGCGGCGGTGCGCGCCGCGCACAACGCGCGCTCGGCGGTGCGTTCGTACGCGTACGTCGCGGCGGCGGACTCCTACAAAGCGACGTCGGGGTGGAGTTGAAAGGCGTCAGTTGGAGTTGAAAGGTAACGCGGGCGGGGATTGAAAGCGGGGGTTGGGCGGAGAGAAGCGACGGCAAAAGTCCTTACGGATCGGCGTTCACCACGCGGACGCGGTCGTATGGGGACCAGTGTATAGAACGCACCGCGGCGGCGGCGGCGGCGGCTCTCCGCTGCTCCCCGAAGCGTCGCGCCTCCTTGGCTTCCTCCGCGGCCGCGGCCGCGGCTTTCTGCTCGGATATGAGCCCTCTGAGGCCGCCTCCGACGGCGCCGGGCGCGGCGGCGGTCATCACCGCGGCGGCGACCGCGCCAGCTTGAGACTCGTCCACCGCCCTCGCCCCGCTTCCGCCGCCGCCGACGACGCCGCCTTGGAGCAGCCCCCCTCCGAGAAGACCTTTCGCGGCGCCCGCGGCGGCGGCGACGAGCCGCTCCGCGATCTTCGCGCGCTCCGGTGAGGACGCCGTGAACGCGGTCTCCGCGCGCACGAGCGCGGCGAGGAATAAGTGCAGTCGGTTCGACGTCGACGCGCGGTCCGCGTCCGCGGACCCGGACCCGCCCGGGGGCGCCAACAGCGACGGGAGCATCGCCTCCAGGGCGTTCGCCGCGACGTTCGCCGCCTCCGTGGGAGCTTCGTACACGTACACGATGACGAGACGGAAGGCGACGCGCTGCATCGTCGCGACGCGCTGCGCGGCGTACTTTTTGGTTCCGGCGCCGCCGCCGCGGTCGCCGCCGGCGGGGATGTCTCCGTGCGCGTCCTCCGCGGGACCGGCGACGTCCACGTCCCCGCTCATGGACGGGGTACGCGAGTGCCCTCGCGACTCCGTCCCGGTGCTCGTGACTAGCGCGCGTACGAGCGTTTCGAGGATTTTCCACGTTCCGTCAAACATCCGCCACGTGTCCCCGTCGAGCCCGGAGCTCGCGCCGTCGACGTTTTGTGACTTTTCCAGCGCCGCCGCGGGGGACGCCTCCGCGACGGCGGCGTCCACGAGCGGCAGCAACGCGTGCAAGTTGTCCCCACACGGGCTCGCGGCGAGTCCAGGGCGATCAACGAACGTCCACGACTCGGCTTTCCCGCCGCCGCCGGCGCCGCCGGCGCCGCCGCCGGTGGCGCGGTCGCCTTCCCCCGCGGCCCCCGGGTCTTGTTCTAATAACGCCTCCATCAAATCGCCGAGGATCAATCGCGACAGCGCGTCCCCGTCGAACCCGCCGCGGTCCGCCGACGCGGCGACCGCGGCGACGGTCGCCTCCACCGCGACGTGCCCCTCGTCCACGCGGAGCACCGCGTGCGCGTGAAGCGCCCTCATCAGGCGCATCGCGAGCGCGCGCTCCTCGCCGCGCGCCGCCGCCGCCGCGTCGCTCGCCCCCTCGGGGTCCCGACGCATCACTGGCAGGAGCCAGCTCTGCCACCCGTCCCTCCCCACGAGCGCGTGCGCGTTCGCGGGGGCGCCCTCGACGAGCCGCAGCAAGAGCTCGAGCACGCCGCTGCGCATCTCGGTGTCAGCGCAGCCTTCGAGGAGCTGAAGGAGGAGTCCCGCGGCGGCGGGGTGGACGACGCCGGGGACGCCCGAGGAGGAGCCGCCGTTCTGGTGGACGAGCGACGAGCCGCCCATCCCTTGGGGACCTTGGGAGCTCGTCGCCGACGCGGCCGACGAGGACGAGGAGAACGACGACGACGACGTGCCCCCGAAAAAGCGTTTCACGCCGCCGCCAGCCGCTTTCGCCATCTTCGCGCCCTTGGAGAGCATCCCGCCGGAGGCTTTTCTCGGCGCCGGCGTCTCCAACGCCGGCACGGGCTGCCCCCCGAGCATGAGCTCGAACAACGCCGCGCGTATCTCGTGCGTCAGCGGGTATATCAGCAGCGACTGCGTCACCGCGGACCATAAACCGTCCGGGGCGTCCAGGGTGCCGTCGGTCACGCCGCCGCCGGTGTTTGCGGAACGCAATCCGCCGCCGCTTTCGAAGCCGTCCGTGCGCGGTAACAATGCGGCGAGGAGTCGAATCGCGAGCGCGCGCGTCTCCGCGTGCGGCCTCGATAGCGGCGCGAGGACGACCGCGGTGCCGCCACACTCGCTCGCGATCGCGTTCGCGAGCGATCGCTGCGCGGGAACCCCGGGCTGAAGGAGCTCGACGAGGCCTTCGAGGATGTCCGCGGCGGCGGCGCCGGCGGCGGCGGCGCCGGCGCCCTCCGCGCTCTCTCCCGCTTCCTCGATCGCGAACACCGCCGCAGACGCCATGTCCACGTACGCGGCGTACACCGCGCCGGGGAGCAGCGAACCCGCGACCGCGAGAAGCGCTCTGCGGCGAGATCGCACCGCGTTCTCGTCCCGGTCGTGCCCGCGGAGGTCGCCCGCGGCGTCCACGAGCGTCGTCGGCGGCAGCATCGCCCGCAACGCCCCCGGGTCCCTCTGCGCGAGCGCGCGGAGCAGCGCGGAGTGCGCGCTCAGGGCTTCCGGATCCACGTGCGGGCCTTGCCACAGGCGCATGTCTAGAAGTAAACGAACCGCGGGCTGGTCGTGATCGACGTGATCGATACCGTACGACCCCCACGCGGAGCTCGCCGCGCGCGCTAAACGCTCCATCGCGGGAATCAACGCCGGGGATAAGCGTCGTCCGCCGTCGCTTCGAAGCAGATGCGCGATGAGCGCGTGCCCGCCGCTGACTCTCAGCGCCTCTTGATTCAATCGCGATCCGTCGAGAAGAGACGCGAGGAGGTCAATCGCGTCCGCGGCGATGGCGGCGTCGTGCGCGTCCTCCTCGCGACTCCGCGGGGCGCCGTCGTCGTCGCGCGGCGCGAGGAGAGGGAACAACACCCGAACGCCGCCGAGGCAGTGGATGATGTCCTTCGCGCTGTGCGTCGCGCAGACCCGCGCCGCGCCGACGATCATCGCCGCGACGTTCGGGGCGTCGTCTTCGATGAACAGGTCGCGGTCGCCGCCGGGAGGATCCTCGTCCCCGCGGCGGCGGACGGTGTCGACGGCGGCGGCGATTCGGTCCTTCACCGCGCCGAGCCACGCCCACGCGCCGCCGCCTTCCGCGCCGACGGTGGAGTAGCACGTCCGCCCGCTCGCGGCGGCGGCGTTGAGGGATAACACGAGCCGCGGGGCGATGTTTTCTCGCACTTCTTTCGCCTCGGACGCGCTCATGCCGACGCCGGCGAGGGCTAAACCAGACGCCGTCTCCGCGGGGGAAAACGACCCCAAGTAATCCGACCCGAGCGCCGTCATCGCCTCCACGGCGGCGTGCGACAGGACGTCGTCGAAGAGACGCACGGCGCCGAGCTGCCCACGAAAAGGCGCGGACCCGACCGCGGCCGCGGCCGCCGCGCCTTTCGCGATGAGCGTCGACGACGTGTTCGCCGCCGCCGCAGCCGCCGCCATCGCCGCGGCGTCAAAGTCGTTAAACGCGCCGACGCAGCACGCCGTCAGCGGCTCCGTGACTTTCGGGAACCGCAACTTGGACGACCCGACCATCTCGCCATCGACGTAGACCTTCACCGTCGCCGCGAAGAGCGGCGGGCGTCCCGGAGTGTGCGTGATGACGACGAACATCCACCGCTTCGAAGGCAGCGACGCGTGTATCCTCGCCGCCTCCGCCTTGGCCGCGGACCCGGACGAGGCGCTCGAGAACGTGCTGATGTCCACGCCGGACGGCCGCAACGTCGCGGCGACGCCCAATCCAGACGCGGTTCGCAGCGCGAACAGCGCGACGCCGCGCCCGCTGACTGGGAACGACTCTACGCGCATCCACGCCGCGAACGTGTACCCGCCTCGTCCGCTCGGCCACGGCGGCGGCTGCGTCAACGCCAACGCCCCCGCGGTGCCGCTCGCGTCGCCGCCGACGCCGTTACGTATCCCGTCCTCGCCGGCGAAGTCGAAGAACGCCGAGGGGCCGTCTCGTTTCGCCGCGACGCGCAGCGTTCGGAGCAACATCCGGCGCGGAGTCACGCCCACGCTCGGGTCGCGAAGCATTTTAAACACGAACCGGAAGTGACGCGCGGACAGCGAGTGCGACGCGCACCAGCCGATGCAGTCGGACAGTAACTCGCACGTCGCGTCGGTTTCGTCGCTCGTGGACGCTCTCGCGGCGACGTAGAACCAGTCGAGAAGTTCGCCGAGCAAGTCCGCTTGGTCCGCCGCGGCTCGAGACGCGACGGACTCGCCGAGGGTTTTCGCGAGCGCTTTCAACACCCAGCCGACGTCCGCGCCGTGCCCTTTCGCGTTCGCGCCTGTTCTGCCCACTCGGAGCAAAGAAACGAGCACGGAGAGCGCGCCCGGGTTACGAATGACCTGTCCAGCGGTCCACGTAGGGTTGACGCCGCCGCCGCCGCCGCCGCCGGGGCTGACCGGGTTCTCGGCCGGGGCGTCGTCGTTTTCGTTTTCGTTTTCGTTTTCGTCGTCGGGGAAATCCCCGTCCACGGCGAGGTCCAACGTCCGCAACAACAGCGTGCGCGTCACCGGGGCATCGCCCCACGCCGCGCGAAGCGCGTGTGCGAACGTGTCGTACCCGACGCGATCGCCGAACGCCGCGGCCGCGGCCTCAGACCCGGACAGGAGGCTCCGGAGCGTTATCAAGACGTCCAAAATCACGCGTTCGTCGTCGACGCCCTCTCCGTTCAGTAAACTCACGACTTGAACGTACGCCTCGCCTCGCGAGTCGCCCGCGATGTACGCGCGCAGGGCGCCGCCGCCCGGGCCGTCGAGCGCCGCTCGCAAACTAGATAATATGGAGCCGAGCGGCGCGGTCCCTTGACCGCGCGCGACCGCGGGCCCGCGCCCGGCGGCGATCTCCCGCGCCGCCGGCAGCGTCTCGAGGTACCGACGAAGCGTCGCCTCCCACGCGGCATCCGCCTCGCCGGCGCTCGCGTGTGTGTTCCCGGGCACGCCGCCGGGGAGGTACCGACTCGCGATCAGCGCCGCGATGGACTTCAACGCGAGGTCGCGCGCGGTCGGGGACCACAACAGACGGAAGAGGAGGTCCACGAGCTCGGGCGCGGTCAGCGCCGCCGCCCCGAGCGCGGCGCCGCCGCGTTCGAGCACGGAGACGAGAAGCGAGAGCACCGACGCCTGCGCGGCGACGGCGTCGCTCGCGGCCTCCTTCTCCGCGGCGGCGTCGGTTTCGGCGGGATGAATTCCCCAGAGCATCACCTGCGCGGCCGCAGCGGCGCCGAGCTTCGAAGGCGCGCCCGCGCGGAGCAACGCCACGGACGTCCCCCGCGGCGCGAGCGACAACGTCGTCGTCAACTCCGCCGCGAGCGACGACGCCGCGCGCGGCTGCGTCGCGCGCGCCGCGATCGCGTCGAGCATCGCGCTGACCTCCGGCTCGCTCCCGCCGCCACCGTGATCGGACGTCGACGCCGCAGCGAGGTGCCCGCCGCGTTCGCCCGCGACGGACGCGGCGAAGAACCACGCGTCGATCGCCAGGGTCGACGTCTTCAACGCGATCGACCACGACGACGCGTCGTCGTCGACGACCGCGGCGGATCGATCGCCGGCGCTCTTCGCTTTCGCTTCCGGGCTCTCCGACGCCGCGTCGCCGTCCACGCTCGCCGAGAGCGGCGGCGTCGCGGTCGCCGGCGCGCGCCCGTGCGCGACGTCGCTGGAAAGGAGGACGGTCCACGCCCCCGCGTCTCGACACGCGTTCACCGCCGGGGACGGATACGCGTGAAGCAACGCGCGCGTGAACCGCGCGACGTGCGCGTGCAGAAGCGCGCTCGCGAGACTCCCGGGCCGCTCCTCGTGTTTCAACGCGTCCACCGCGGCGTGCACGACGTGCGTCAGCATCGTCGTGGCACCCGCGGCGAGGTCCACGCCGGAGGAAGACGCCGTCGCGGCGCCATATCCGCCGCCAACATCCGCGTCCACGAACCCGCTCAGGAGCTCGAACACGGTCGCGAGCGCCTCCCCTGGGGGCGATTCCGCCGCGAGCGCGGCGTCGTCGGGTGCTGATGCACCGTCGTCGCCCGCGAGGACGAGGACCCGCGCGGACTCGGTCGCGGCGTCGCGCAGGAGCGAGGAGAGCCTTCCTCCGAACGCCCCCGCGGCGGTAGCGTGGCGAACGTTCACGCCGTTCCTTCGCACCGCCGCTCTGACCGCCCGCAGCGCCTTCACTTGGAGCGCGAAGGCGTCGACACCGCTCGAGGTCGCGGCGTCGCTTTCACCTTCGCTCGCGACGCGCCCGCCTTGACCGAGGCTGTCCCCGATGCCTTCGATGAGGACCTCCAAACCCCCGGCTCCGCGGAGGGAATTTTGCAAAGAAGACGACGCGCTCAGCGCGGCGGACAGCGAGTCCAACAGCGACGCCTCCAGCGCGGCCGCGGCGCGTTCGCTCCCGGTGGGACGCGCGCGAAGCGTGCGCTGTATTCGGATCATCTCGATCATCGCGGTGAACCCGCCGCACTCGAGCAGAGGCTTCACCGCGGGGGACTCCTTCGAGGTCGGAGGCGCGGCTGACGCCGCGGATGCGGCGGCGGCGGCGGCGGCGGCGGACGCGGCGGCGGCGGCGCCGTCGGGTCGGAGGTAATTCGCGAGCACCTCCGCGCCGAGCTCGCACAAACTCTCGAGCACTCCCAGCTGCGTCTGGACCTCCGCGCCGACGCCCATGGACGCGCCGCCGGATCCCCCCGGCTCGCGCATGCCCGCGAGCGCGGCGAGCGTGTTCAGCCGTTGCATCGCGGACTTTAAGAGTTTCGTCAGCTCGGGTAACAACCCGCGCTCGCGCAGGACGATCCTGTTCCTCTTGCTCCGCGTCGCGATCCCGAGCGCGCGGAGGAGACTCACGCCCGCGGCTCGTCGGAGCGCGGGCTCGTCCGCGCGCATCGCGGCGCCGTGTGCGCCCTGCCCGAGCGTCGCGTCTAACGTCTTCTGCGTCGAGACGACGCCGTCCACGAGAGCGCCGAGGACGCGCACCGGATGCCCACGGGCGCACCCCATCACGACGGGCTTCTTCTCCGCGGCCGCCTCCGCGGCGCCGTCGTCGTCGCCGCCGCCGTCTCCGCCGCTCGTGGACGCGGTCGCCGGCGCGCGGAGGAGGGTCGCGTCTTCCTCCCCGCCGGAGACTGGGCGCCAGCCGTCGAACGCCTCGGCGAAGCCATCGAGGAACGACTCCAGCGCGTCCTCGCGATTCGGCGACCCCGCGGGCGCGCCCTCTAAGACGCTCCACAGGAACAACACGTGCGCGTCGCGCTCGTCTTTCTCGTCGAACGCGACGTCCGGCAGCGACGCCGCGCAGGGCTCGTGTGGGACGACCGCGCGAAGCGGCAGGGGCTCCGGCGCCCGCGGCGAAGAAATCGCCGCGGTCTCGGCGGAGGACGACGACGCGTCTCGCGAAGTCGACGACGACGACGACGACCCCTTGTCCCCGCCGAGGAGCTCCCTGAACCCTTTCTTCAGGTAGTTCATCGCGCTCGCGTCCGTCGACGCGGCGACCCGGGGGCGGTCGTTCCAGCCTCCGGGTGCGCCGTGTCAGATGCGCGACTCTCGGAGACGTTGTAAAGTTTCTGTAAAGTTTCCGTCGTCGCGCCGCACGCCCCGGGTTCTCCGGTGGCGTTTTTTTTTTCTCTGTTCGCGCTGGCGTGGCCGAGTGGACCGCCGACGTTCTCGACGACGAGGCCGCGTGACGATCGGTGAGAGACGGAAACGCGGACGGGAGCCACGACGAATACTAGCCGTACTGCATGCGAACGGAACGCGTCGTGTTGATGAGTGAATATTTAGTGTATTCAACGCGTGTCTATGAGATCCTTTCCCGCCCCCGATCGCGCGCGTCGCCGCCGTCGCGCGGTCGTCTTTCACCCTCTCCGCCGCTTCGCTTCGTTTCCTCCTCGGCTTAGTTGCCCTCCGCGGACCGAAGGAACGGCTCGATCGGCTTCCCGAGCGCGTACACGATAAAACCAATCTCCCGGAGTTTATCGTGGTCGAGGATCAGACGGCCGTCGAAGACGAAGGCGGGCTTCTGCATGACGCCGTAAATTTCTCCCCAGTCGTACGACTTAAACTCGTCCCACTCGGTCATCACGCACACCGCGTGCGCGTCCCTGAGCGCTTCGATGTGAGACTTGTACGTCGTGATGTTGCTCATTCCAGCGCCCATGTCCATCGCGATCTGCGCGTCCGACACTTTCGGGTCGTAAATCGCGAGCCGCGCGCCGTCTTCGATGAGGCCGTTCCCGACGTCGATCGCCGGCGCCTCGCGCGTGTCCCCGGTGTCCTTCTTGAACGCGAACCCGAGCATGCAGATCTTCTTGTTCCGGATCGTGTTGAACATCGCGCTCACGACGCGCTTCACGAACCGGTTCTTCTGGTAGTCGTTCATGCCGACGACGGAGTACCAGTAGTCCGCGACTTCCGTGAGGCCGTGGCACTCGCAGATGTACGCGAGGTTGAGGATGTCCTTCTGGAAGCACGACCCGCCGAACCCGACGGACGCGTTCAAGAACTTCGGGCCGATCCTCGAGTCCTTCCCGAGCGCGTACGCAACCTGGGACACGTCCGCGCCCGTGGCCTCGCACAGCGCGGACATGGAGTTGATGGAGGAGATTCTTTGCGCGAGAAACGCGTTCGCGGCGAGCTTCGAGAGCTCCGCGGACCACAAGTTCGCGGTGATGATCCTCTCCTGTGGGACCCAGTTCGCGTACACCTCGACGAGGGACGCGACCGCGTCCGTGCCCTCCTGCCCCTCGATCTTCCCGCCGATCAAGACGCGATCGGGCGCGGTGAGGTCGTCCATCGCCGTGCCCTCCGCGAGAAACTCGGGGTTGGACAAGATATCGAATCGCACGCCGCTCGTGTTGCAGTTCCGCTGCAAAACCTTCTCGATCGCCTCCGCGGTCCGCACCGGCACGGTGGACTTCTCGACGATGATCTTGTTCGTCTTGCTGACCGCCGCGATCGTGCGCGCGGCGGACTCCCAGTACGTGAGATCCGCCGCCTTGCCCTTCCCGAGGCCCGTCTTCTTCGTCGGCGTGTTCACGGAGACGAAGATCATCTCGCTCTCCGCGATCGCGCCCTCTACGTCCGTGGTGAAGAATAAGTTCTTCCCGCGGCACTGCTTCACGATCTCGTCGAGCCCGGGCTCGTAGATGGGGAGCTCGTCGCTGTTCCACGCGTCGATGCGCGGCTGCGAGATGTCCACCACGGTGACTTTGATGTGCGGGCACTTGAGCGCGATCATCGCCATCGTCGGGCCGCCGACGTAGCCGGCGCCGATGCAGCAGACTGCGGGGGTGCGTCGAGGGTGGGGCGGGGTTGGTGAAGGGCGTCGTGCGTCAGTCATCGGTCGGGCGCGTCACCGTGGACGCGAAGCGAGGGGCGACGGGGAGCACTTGAGCGCGGACCGGGGTCGAACGGTTCTGTTCGTTCGACCCGCGGTTCGAGGCCGCGGGGGAACCGGCGCGGGGGCGCGCGCGCGCGATCGGGTGGGAAGACGGCGCGCGATGGCGACGTTCAGGCGGTGTACGCACTGGAGGTGACTTTGACGACCATTCTGGGCGTAAGTTGAAGCGTGAAGCCTGCGAGAGGTACGGGAAGGGCGAGACGTCGTCAGCGGCGATGGCGTCGGGGCCAGGAAACGCGAGCGGCTGAACGTCGATTTGATTTGTCGGTCATCGCGCGCAGATCGGAGGCCGCCGCGCGCGATGGACGCGCGCGGCGCCGAAATCGCGCGGACGCGATTCCAGAAGGACGCGAAAGAAGATACTACGCTCACCTTTGCGTGCGCAGGCGCTTCCAAGAGTGCGGACGCGGGGACGGGACGACGCCCGTTTGAAGCGACCGCTCGCGCAGCTGGACGGTCACAAAATGGGCGTCCCAAATTCGCCGGCGGAAAAATACCGTCAGAAGACGGCCCTCTCGCCGGCGGGCGCGCGCCGGTCGACATCGTAACGCCAATGCATCGAGCGTTTAAATAGATTAACGTACTCACAACACCACACGGGGTATGCACACCCACCCCACACCCTCCCGCGCGACCCCCCCGCGCGTCTAAGACGGGGAAGACGCGCTCCGACGCGCGCGCGTCCCTCGCTCCCGCGTCGACGGTACTCATCAGAACCCAGTCGTGTCCCACAGCGTCCCGCGCGTCGTCACCGCCAGCGTCACGATGACCGCGGGCACGGCGACGAATATCGCCGCGCCGACGGTGAGCTCGTTCCAGAAACCCTCCCCCACGTACTCGTCCCCGGCCCACTTGTCGCTGTATAAGTCCTCGCGCTCCCGCGGCTTCTCCCGCGGCTTGTCCGACGCGCCCGGAGGGCTCGAGCCGCGCGGCGCGAGGTCCGCGGCGGTCACCTCTCGCCGCGGCGCCGCCGCCGCGTCGGCAGCCTTCGCCTTCGCCGCCGCCGCGCGCGCCTCTTCCTCCGTGTCGACCCCCCGCGCCCTGTCCACGAGCTCTTTCGTGATCGACACCTCCGTCTCGACGATTATGGTCGTCTCCGGGCGGTTCTGCGCGCTGCGAATCGCGTCGAGGACGAACGCGAGCCGCTCGCTGCCGTCGAGGAACCAGAGCTCGCCGTCGTTGATCGGATCACTCACCGCGACGAGCCGCTGCCCCGGGGTCACGCCCGCGGCTTCGGCTTCGCTGCCGATCGCGACGCCGGTGACGAAGATCACCGGGCCTTCCGCCTCGTTCACGGTGACCTTATCGAACTGCAGCGTCTTCTTCGCGGCTTCGGTGGAGACGACGAGGTCGATCGTGCCGTCCTCGACCGCCATCGGGTCCGCCGCGGCGCGCGTGCGAGTGGCGCGGCGCGTCGTCGTCGCGCGACGGCGCGTCGGCGTCGGCGTCGTCGCTCTGCAGGCGACGGGCGCGCGGTAGGTCGCGGCCGCGTGGAGGGTCATCGTGGATGCGGACACGGCGACGGCGAGCGTCGCGCGGCGCTAAGTGGCAGTGGCGCCGTGGGTTGTCCGGGACGACGCGCGCTCGCCGCTCGCGCGCCGCGGCCGACCGGTGCGTTCGATCCAAACGTCATTCACCCATCTCTCGGTTTCAACATTTGATCGCTTCCCCTTTCAACGGACCGATGAAGTTTTTTTTTGATGGAACGACCGCGACCCTGAGATATGTGAGCTCTTTTTTTCGAAATAAATAGTCTACGCGCTGATCCCTCCGCCGCCGCGCCGCGCCACTCGCACGCGCGCGCGGCCCATCCCGCCGCTCGTCGCACCCCAGCGGACGTCTCTCTCGACGCACGCACCGCTCCTCTCGCGCGCGTCGACGCCCGCGCCGCGCGTCATGGCCGCCGCCGCGATGACCTCCTCCGCGACCACCCGCGCCGCGACGGCGGTCGGCTCCGTCGAGTCGAGGGCGGCGCGCGCGACGACGACGACGACGACGACGACGACGACGCGTCGCCGCGCGGCGACGCTCGCGACGCGCGCGTCGTCCTCCGCGGACGCGCCCGCGGAAGCCGCGACGACGGACCCGAAAGGCCGGTACATGGCCCGAGGCGTCTCCGCGGACAAGGAGGACGTCCACGCCGCGATCGCGAACGTGGACAAAGGGCTCTTCCCGAAGGCGTTCTGCAAGGTCGTCCCGGACCTTCTCACCGGCGACGAGGAGTACTGCGCGTGCATGCACGCGGACGGCGCGGGGACGAAGTCCTCGCTCGCGTACATGTACTGGAAAGAGACCGGGGATCTGAGCGTGTGGAGAGGGATCGCGCAAGACGCGGTCATCATGAACACCGACGACCTCCTGTGCATCGGGTGCGTCGACAACATTCTGCTGTCGTCCACGATCGGACGCAACAAGTCGCTCATCCCCGGGGAGGTCCTGAAAGCCCTCATCGGAGGGACCGAGGATGTGCTGACGACGATGCGTGAGAACGGCGTCGGGATCTTGTCCACGGGGGGCGAGACCGCGGACGTCGGCGACCTCGTTCGGACCGTGATCGTGGACTCGACGGTCACGGCGCGCATGAAACGCGCGGACGTGATCAGCAACGACGCGATCGCGCCGGGGGACGTCATCGTCGGCATGGAGTCGTACGGACAAGCGACGTACGAGAGCGAGTACAACGGCGGCATGGGGAGCAACGGGCTGACGTCCGCGCGGCACGACGTCTTCGGGAAGTATCTCGCGTCCAAGTACCCGGAGTCGTACGACGCCGCCGTGCCCGAAGATCTCGTGTACTCGGGGAAGTACGTGCTCACGGACGTCGAACCGGAGACTGGGATGACCGTCGGGAAGCTCGTGCTGTCGCCGACGCGGACGTACGCGCCGGTCATCAAGAAGCTTTTGGACGTCGTCGACCGGAAAAAAATTCACGGGATGGTGCACTGCTCCGGCGGCGCGCAGAGCAAGGTTGGGCACTTCCTGAACGACGGTCTGCACGTGATCAAGGACGACATGCTCCCGGTGCCGCCGCTGTTCCGTCTCATTCAAGACTGCAGCGGCACGGAGTGGGAGGAGATGTACAAGGTGTTCAACTGCGGCCACCGCATGGAGGTGTACTGCGACGCGGCGACGGCGGAGGAGGTGATCAGAGTCAGCGAGAGCTTCAACGTCAAGGCTCAGGTCGTCGGGAGGGTCGAGGCGTGCGAGGGGAAGTCGAAGGTCACGGTGAAGAGCGAGCACGGCGAGTTCACGTACGACTCGCCGTGACGTGAGCGACGATGGGAGCGCGCGGGTAGAAGGAAGAGCTTTGATGAGTCGTCTGCCGATGGGAGCGCGCGGGTAGAAGGAAGAGCTTTGATGAGTCGTCTGCCGGATCGTCGTCGTCGTCGTCGTCGTCGTCGTCGTCGTCGTCGAGAACAGAAAGCTCGTCACCACGCGACCGTATTTTAGTCCCTCGAGCCGTCGTCGCGCGCACTCGCGCCGCGGGCGGGGTCGCCAGCGCGCGGACGCGGGCCGTTCGTCCGAACGCGACCGCGACGACGATGGGCCTGCGCGCGAAAGCGAGCGCGTTCGCGCACCCGAGAGCGCCGCACCTCGCCGCGTTGCGCTCCCGCCCGTTCACCGCGGCGGTGGAGATTCTGATCCCGTCGACGACGGACGACGACGGCGCGCTGAGGCCGCGCGCGGACGCGTCCTCCGCGCTCGACGCGTGCGGCGACGCGGAAAGGGCCGGCGTTCCGGAGTTTTACGTCGCGAGGATGACGATCGAGGAGCTCCTGTCGCGCGACTTCGTGGAGGCGCACGCGCGGGGGCGATCCGCGTCCCTCAGCGCCGTCTGCGTGGACGCGCGAATCGACGCCGAGGACGTAGCGTGCGTCACCCCGTGCGGTCGCGCGCACTTCTCGCTGACGCCGAGCTCGCACGCGAGACTGGGCGTGACGGGCGAGCCACGCGACCGCGGGACGGCGAAGCACCACGCGGTCGTGAACCTCCGGCGGAGGGGCCACGATGACAAAGGGTCGCATTTTCACGATCGACTGCGCGTCAACGCCGCGGCGATGACCGCCGCGGACGGCGCGGAGGCGTCCAAACGCGCAACATACCTGTGCGCGCACAGCGTCGACGGCGAACCCGCGAGGATGACGTTCCCGGACGGCGTGGACGCGAGGGCGGGGGTTTTGGCGTACTCTTCGCGCGCGGCGGGCGCCGCCGCCGGAGAAGAACCGCCGCCGCCGCCGCCGTCGTCCTTCTATCCGGAGTCCCGCGGCGTCTCGGACGGGGGCGAGGACGCCGCGGCGGCGCTCGCGAGCTTCCACGAGTACGTGGGCATGATATCGTGCGGGTGCGACGTCGGCGGCGACGTCGTGGAGGCGCACCGTTGGGAAGGACTCCTGGGGTCGAGACGCGTGGAGGCGGCGTTGTCGTTTTGTCGCGACGCGGTGAACGGCGGCGCGGCGCCGTGGGCGGCGGTCACGGCGTGGGGGTTCGCGGACGACCCGAGCGCGGAGAAGGCGGGAGGGTGCGCGGCGCGGAGTGGCATGAGGAGTCATCGCAGGGGCGGCGGTGGGTGGGGGGACGACATCACGTTCGTCGTCCTCCCCGGAGACGGGTACGTGATGTACTCCAGCCCGTGACCGCGGACGATTCGATTCGTTCACGAGTTAGCGATCTACTAGTAGGACGGCAGAGGGAGCGCGGGCGCGTCCGTCGTCGAGTGACTCGAGGTGACAACCAAATTTTGTATTAGAAAAACGAAAAGAAACGACGGCGATATTACGCGCCGCCAGTTTCAAGTTTCATCACCACAGACCCGGGCGCGCTAAGGGTAAGTGGTGGCGGGCGCCGCGAACGAAACGGTTCATGCCTGGACGAGCTTCTGCTCCGTCTCTCGGGTAGGAGACGCCGAGTTCTCCTTGCTCGCTCCGCTGCTGCCCCCACCGTTGCTCCCCTCTCCGGACCCGTCGTCCCCGGCGCTGCCTTCGCCGCCGCTGCTGTTGTTCTTGTCCCCTTCGCCGCCGGCGTCGCCCTCGCTCTTGAGTCGCACGAACTGGCCCTTCACCCTCGGGCGCGCCTCCGCGAGCCGCTTCCGAGACGCGTACCGCACCTTCTTATCAAAGTTCCTCTCCTTGCGCTTCTTCAAGAAGCGCGCGATCGCCTCCGCACGGCGCTCCGCGCACGTCGCGCTCGCGCCCAAACGCGCGAACGTCTTCTGCTGGTGCTCCACCGCGCCTTGAAGGACGGCGTAGAACCGGTTCATAAAGTCCATCCCGCCGGGGACGTCGCGACCGCCGCCGGGGCCGGGCATCGCGCCCATCCCGGGCGGCGGGACCATCGCGGCAGCCGCCGCGGCCATGTGCTGCGCGTAGAGCGTCGGGTCCACCCCGGGCGGGCAGGGCGGGAACGCGCCGGGGTGGAAACCTCCGGGCATCGGCATCGCGTTCATCGCCGGCTGCGGCGGCGTCGACGCGTCCTCGACGTTTCGCGGCGGCGCTTGCGGCACCCCAGTCGCGCCAGGGAACGCGCCGAGACCGGGGAAGCCGCCGGGGGGCATCGGCATGCCCGTCGCGGCGGCCGCGGCCGCCGCCGCCGCGGGGTTCGGCGGCATCCCAAAGAAAGCAGCCATCTGCGGCGGCATCCCCGGGAACATCCCCGGGAACGCGTTCGGCGCGCCCGGAAACGCCGGCGGCGCGAACCCGACCGCCGCGGTCGGCGGTTCCTTCTTCTCGCCCTCCGCCGCCGCGATACCCGCGAGGTTCGCGAGTAAGTCCCCGCCAACGTCCGGGTCCACCTTGACCTTCACGATCTGCGCTTCCGCAGCCTCTTCGAGGTTTAAGAACGACTGGAACGCGGACCGCGACGCGGAGCGACGCAAGCCAACCTTCGGCGCCTCCTCGGGGGGCGCGGTGCCTTTAGGCAGCGCAATCTCGAGCATCGTCGTCGCGCCGCCGTACGCTTTCGCGAGCTGCACGGACAGACCTTCCGGCTCCGGGGCGACGTCGTCGTCTTTCTCGTTCGCGCCCGAGCCGCTGCCGCTGTCGCACCCGCTGCCGCTTCCGGCTCCGTGCCCCGCGCCGCTCTGGCCTTGCTTCCCTTCGCCCCCTTTCTGCGGCTTCGCCGCCTTCGCGCTCGTCGCCGCCTTCGCCGCCGCTCTCGCCTTGCCCTGCGCTTTAGCTTGCGTGGACGCTTTCAGTTCCTTCGCCGCTTCCTCCGCTTCCTTGGCCGCGAGCGCGTCTTGCGCCTTCTTCCCCGCGAGACGCGAGGACCGTTTCCCTCTCCCGACCTCGTCAGCCGCGGTCGCCTTGTCGTTCTCCGCCCTCTCCACCGCGGCGGCTTCCGCGGCGACGCGCGTGGACGGCGTCGCCGTCGTCGCGTCCTGCCCGTCCGGCGACGGCCCCCGGCGCCCTTGCGCGGTTTCCGTCGACGCGCCGCTGTTGTTCGAGTGAATGCGATCCACGGACATCCCCGCGCCGCCGCCGACGGTGTGCCTCGCGAGGTCCGCCATCTGCGCCTTCTTCACCGGCTTGACGAGGTAATCCTGCGCGCCCGCTTCCGTGCACTTCGCCTGGAACTCGTCCGAGTCCACGGTGCTCATCACGATGATCGGGATCGACCGGAACGGCTTATCGCTGCTCTGGACGATCTTCATGAGCTCGAGGCCGTCCACCTCGGGCATCATGATGTCGGTCAAGACCAGGTCGATCGCGCTGCTCGGGTCTAACAGCGCGTCGATCGCTTCTTGGCCGTTCGTCGCGGTCGTGACTGTGGGTTGAAGCGCGCGGAGAGGGTTTGGAGACGTCAGCGAGGACGCGGGGCGAGGAAACGCGCGCGGGCGCTCCGCGGCCGTTGAGAAATATCCACACGAGATATTTGTTCGGAGTCTGGCGATGATGACGCGGAGGCGAGGTCCGACGCGAAGACCGCGCGCGGGGACGCACCCGAGTGCCCGCAGCTCCTGAGCATCGCCTTCACGAAGACTAAAGTCGAGTGATCGTCCTCGACGAGGAGGACGCTCAGGTTTTTACCCCCGCCGAGGGCGCCGAGCGCGTTCGCCGTCGCGGCCGTCGAACCGGCGTTCGGCGTCGACGCATTTCCCATCGCGGCCGCGGTGGTCGCGTCGTTCGTCGCGTCCACGCGCGGCTCCGCCGCGGCCGCTGCCGCCGCGGTCGGCATCGTCGATACCGTCGTTCGCGCTCCCGCACGTCCAAACGTCGAAGTCCCGAACGTTCAATCGAATCGCGTGCGACGCGCGACGCGTTCGCCGAGCCGAGCGCGAGACCGCGGGGAAATGGAGCGTCTCCCGCCGAATTTACGCCTCGCCGCGTCCGCGCTGACACGCCACCCACGCGCGCTGCTCGCCTCTCACGACGCTCGCGAGGCCTGGGACGAGTGCTTCGTGTGTGCACGCTTCGCTTTCCGCGTGCCGTCCGCGCTCGGGCCGTTCGACGCGCGCGCGCTTGTGCGAGTCCGCGTCGTGCATGTCCGAGATCATAACGAGGGAAGGGGGGATTTCGGCCGAACAATTTGTTATTTTCTCGAGATCCTCTCACTGATCCTCTAACTGATTGCCCATACGGCGCGTACGCGCGCCCATCGTACGGAACGATCCTCCACGTCGTCGCTCTGCACAACTGTCGATTCGAAAATATCTCGGGCGAAATTTCGCGGGCTGACCGTGGGAAATTCCGCGCCCCGTCATTTTCCGTGGTTCACGTGATCGATCGCGCGCCCAGTTGTCGATGCGTTGGCAATCATCTTGATCGCGAAATTTGTCTCTTTCATCGGACCTCGCGATCGCGGATCGCCTTTTTAACTCCTCGTTTGACTCGACGATCCACGAATGTTATTTTTTCCTCCTCGCCGGATAACCGCTTTTTTCAGCCTCGGGGAAAACCGATGCACGGAGGAAACCTCTCGCGACGCTCGTTACTCGTGAAAACTCGCACATCGTACAAAATCAAATCGTCTACCACACGCCGAGGGCGCGCTTCTCCGGAAAACACGTCGCGCGCGCGCGCGCGCGACACGCCCGGCAGGCGCCTCTCGATCGTGCTCGAGCTACGCGTGCAAAGAAAATTAGCTCTTTTCCGTTCCGTTCGCGCGGCGACGTCGACGTCGGGTCTGTCACGCCTTCGCCACCGCGCTCGCGGCGCTGCTCCGCGTCGTCCGCTTCCGCGTCGCCGACAGCTCCACCTTCCCGCCTACGTCCTCGCCCCCACCACCCCGCGCTCTCTTCGAGCTCTGGTTCGCCTCCCCGCTCGGCGACGGCGGCGAGTTCGTCGGCGGCGACACGCTCTTCCGCCCCGCGGAGCTCTTACTCTTGCTCCGCGACCGCCGCCGCTCCTCGGCTTCTTTCGCGGGGTCGAACAACCGCAACACGCCCAGGAACATCCTTCCGTGCTGCTCGCTGTGCACGGGCGCGACGGTCAGCCTGTTCGTGAACTTGGTCCCGTCCTTCCGGTAATTCGTGAGCTTCGCCTCCGCGCACGCGCCCTGAGGGTCGTTCCATACGAGCGAACGTCGGGGTGGAGTTCATAGGCGTCAGTTGGAGTTGAAAGGCGTCGAGGGCGGGTATTGAAAGCGAGGGGTGATGGGCGGAGAGATGCGCCTTGCAAAGTCCTTAAGAAACGGCGTTCACCACGCCGACGGGGTCGTATGGGGACCAGTGTATAAAACGCGCCTGACGCATCACCGCGTGCGCGAGCGCCTTGACGATGGCGTACTCCGTCTCGGGGCCTGGCGAGGGTGGGATGGGGGGGGGGAGGACGTCAGTCAGGAGCGATAGAAAAGAAAGAGATAGAAAGAGGAGGAGGAAAGCGTCGAGAGGAGAAGAAGAGGGAGGAAGGGTCCATCGCATCGCGCGCCTTGAATGAGCCGCTTGATCGTCTTCCCCGCGACTTCGCTCGCGGTGTACCCGCAGAGTCGCTCCCACGGCTCGTTCACGTACCGAATCGTCGTGCCGTCGATGTCGGTTATGATCCGCGCCTCCTCCGACGGCTGCATCGCCTCTTCGATCGTGAACGGCATCCCGCTCTCCTCCGCGTTGCTGATGATCAGCGGCGGCGTGGACTCGCGTCCGGACCCCGACCCGCCCGCGCCGGAGCCGTCGTCGCCGCTCGTCGTCGTCTCCTCGAGCTCGCTGCTTCCGTCGTCGCTGCTCGTGGTCTCCGTCTCGTTTGCTGCGCCCTTCGTCGTCTCGAGGGGAAGACCGCCGCCGCCGCCGGGGATGTTGTCGCGTTCGCCTGTGGTGACGACCGACCATGGAGCGCCGGTCCGTTCCGACGTCGCCGTGGACAAGAAGACTTTTCTCTCCGTCGCCGTCGCCGCGCCCGAGCCCGACGTCCCGAGGGTGTTCCCCCCGCCGCACGTCTTGTCCTCACCGGTCGTCGCCGCGGTTGCACAGTTGTCCGGCAACAGCGCCTCCATGGGCGTGCCTTTCAGCATCCCGACGCCGTGCTTCTCGACGTACCCGACCGCGTTGCTCACGATGAAGTTCAGCGACGCCTCTCTCCTGTACAGCTCGTCGCGAAGGTTCCAATTCCGTTGCTCTAAATCGCACGCGCTCTTGTGCAGCGACTTTCCGTCTTCTTCGAGGGACGTGAGCTTGGACGTCGCGAGGAAGTACTTCTTGATGATCTCTTCGCGATCCATCCCCACGAGCGCGCGCGTGTCCGCGTCGAGGTCGTGCAGAGCCGCGTGGAGGTTGTGCCCCTTCCCGAGCTCGAGTCTCAAAACGTCGTGCTCCGCCGTCATCTTCTTGAATCTCTCCTCGGTCTCGTCGCGCGCGTTGACGAGCTGCTTCATTCTCGTGCGGACGTCGAGGTACAACCGCGCGAGGTTCTCCGTGGGCATCTGACGGAACGGATGGTGCAGCTCCGTGGCCTCGTCGGACTCCGCGCTCCCGCCGCTTCCCTCGGCTTCTTTTTCGCCGCTCGCCCCGCTCGAGTGGGGGGACGGGCGCTTTTTCTTCGGATTCTCGTTCGGCCACGACGGCGCGCGCGCGGACGCGTCCGCGCCGGATTTCGCGCGGACCTCCGTCTCGGTCATTTCCATGCACGGCACGACGAACCCGCGCGCGATGCGAGGGTGCGATCGGCGCGCGCGCGGTTCAATGAGGGCGCAGAAGGGAGGGGCGCCTAGGTTTGGCGCTTTATAAATATCTAGCCAAATCCTGAAATGCACTTTTTGCGATCTCAAATCAGAAGTACAGTAAGTTACTGCGCGGCCGCCGTCATTCCGGCTGCAAACGCGCGGTTCCGGTCGATCGTGACCGTGACCGAGTCTTTGAAAGGGAAAAGGCAGAATCCCGCGGTTTCAAAAGTATCTTTCGAACCGAAGCCGTCGGTTGAAAAAAGCGCGGTCACCGCGAGACGCCGCGAATCGCCGATCTGGCGATACTTTTCGGAGAGCACGTGACGACGACGACGACGTCAGCTCCGATCGCCAGCCAGACTTCGACGCGCGCGTCCTCGTCAAACGATGTCTACGATGTCCGTCACGCGCACTCCGATCGCCGCGCGCGCGTCCGCGTTCGCATCCGCTGGACGATCCGCCGTCCGCCGCGCCGTCGCGCCGGCGCGCGGGGTCGCCACCCCGCGCGGCCGCCGCGGCTGCGTGATCGTCCGCGCGGACGTCTGGTCGGAGATGAGTGGATACATGAAGTCGCAGTGCGAGGAAGCCGCCGCGCTCGAGGCGAAGGACGTCGAGGCGGGCAGGGCGAAGTGGATCGAGATCGACCGACAGGTCCCCGGCGCGCGGCTCGCGTATCAGGAGCACAAGGGCGACGGGAAGAACGCGGACGCGCTCGAGAAGTTCTGCGACGACGACCCGAACGCGGAGGAGTGCAAGGTGTTCGACGAGTAAACAAACGCGGGACGGAGACGCGTCGTCCGAACCGAAGAGAGGGAGAGCGAGCGAGAGAGGAAGAAGACGTGATGCATCGCGACGCGTCCTCGCGCGGACACGACATTTTCGCATGATGCGAAACTCAGCGTCGACCGCGTCGTCGTGTCGTCGTTACCGTTCAGCAGTCTATGTTACCGACGAAGACTACGGAGTGTTTGTTATCGTAACAACGAGACCGCCGCGCCTTCCCCGCCTCGGCGGCGTCGCGTCAGTTCACCTCCATCCCGCCGCCCTGGACCGACCCGCCGCCGCCGGCCGCGCTGACGTCCACGCCAAACTTCTCCAGCATGTGATCCGTCTCCACCTTGCTGACGAGTAAATTCACACTAGACTTGCCCTTCCAGCACGCGATGGCGAGCTCCTCCGGCGCGAGCACCCCCCCCGCGCCGAGCGCTGCTCTCTCCTCCGCCGTCCCGAGCCTGGGCAAGAACACGCACGATCCCGCGACGGCGCTCGTTACCTCCGCTCTCGTGGCGTCGTCCGTGAATAGAGGCTTGTCCGGGCGCTCCGGGTCCGGCGCGAGCTGCAGCGAGCGCTTCTGCAGGATGAGCTTGAGCTCCGCGAGCGTCGGGCGGATGATCTGCCGGGTCAGAAACGGCAGCGTCATCGTCAAGCCGTCCTGCACGAGCCGGTAGTCGCACGTGTCCCCGGCGGAGTCTTTGTGCTCCTGACGCTCGAAAATCTTCAGCCCGGCGGCGATCACCTTGAGGTTTTCGCGCACGTCCGCGGCGAGGTACTCCCGCAGGCCGTTGCTGAGCATGTACACGCGCTTCGGTCGACTGTTATCCGCGGTGCGCGTCACCGCGTTTTTATGCAACGGCAGCTTCTCGCGGTCGATGCCGTACGTCGTCGTGATCGAGTCGATCACGCCGGGGTCCACGACCGGGAGTATGGGATCCAAACCGCCGTATCCGCCGCCGCCGCGACCGCCGCCGCCCCTGCCGCCGCCTCTGCCGCCGCCGCCGCCGCCGCCGCGGGAGTCCGCGCCTCGCCGCCCGCCGCCTCTGGCTTGCGTGAGCAGCAGCTCCTTCTCCGGGACGAGCGGGCCGTTCGCCTCCGCCTCGCGCAGCGCGCGAAGGTCGTGCGAGTTCCACAGCGTCAGCGTCACGCTGACGCGCTGCTCCGCGGTGTCGACGGTCAGCTCCGTCCGCACGGTGATCGGCCCCCGCAGTTTCTTGTTCGGGTCCTCGGGCGCCGCGGGCATCTCTCGCTTCTTGTCGAACACGGCGATGAAGAACCCTCCGGTGTCGTCTTGGTGCGGCAACACCCGCATGCACCGCTCGAGCGGCAGCGCGTCGCTCTCCGCGTCCGAGAACATCGTGGGGTGACACTTGAACGGACCCTCCGGTCTCCCTTCCGCGTCGTGCTTCCCGTGCTTGTCCCACGCCTGCCACGTCTTCACGCCCGGGACGCGTCGAAGGTTCGGCATCTCGCCGGACATGTCCACGAGCTCGAGCGCGCCGTCGGATTGTTTCAACATCGCGGCGACGACAGCCTCGTCCTCGATCGGGTTGAACGTGCACGTGCTGTACACGAGCCTCCCGCCGATTTTCAACAAATGCGCCGCGCGCATGGCGATCTTCAGCTGCAGCGGGTGCAGCCCGTTGCCGTTCCCGACTGTCCACCGCGGCCAAATGTCCGGCGCCTTTCGCATCGTCCCGTCGCCGCTGCACGGGACGTCGCACAGTATGGAGTCGAACGGGAACGTCCGCCCGCCCATGGACTTGATCTCCGGGAAGTTCTGCGCCTCGTGGTTCGTGACTAAGAGCCCTGGGGAGTTCACGCGCTTCGTCTGGTGCGTCAGAAGGTTGCAGCGTTTGATGTCCACGTCGTTGGCGACGACGAAACCCTCCGGCAACGCCTGAGGATCGTTCAAGCCGCCGTGGAGCATCTCGAGGAGCTGGAACGTCTTCGACCCGGGCGCGGCGCACATGTCCAGGACGAGATGGTGCGGCTCGATCTTCAAGAAGAACGCGGGGATCATGGAGACGACCTCCTGGCGCGTGATGGACCCGTACTCGTTGGCGCGCTTGACGAATTCGTGAATCGACTCCAAGTGCGGCAGCCTCCGCAGCTGCTGCCGCGAGTAGTTGAACTGCCACGCGAGCCTGTCGGGGTACCACCGCACCGCGGTCGGGGGCTTCACCTCGGGCTCGGTGGGCTCGCACTCGGCGGCGGCGCCGGCGTCCACGACGTCCGGGACCTTCGCGAAGAGCTTGTTCTCGATCTGATCGCGAATGTCCTCCGCGTACTTCCCGCTGCCGTTGATCCGGAACGACGTCGGCAGCGGCGTCCTGAGCGACGCCATGAAGTCGTCCCACTCCCCGTCCGGGACGATCTTCTGTGCTTTGTAGTACTCCTCGAACTTCTCGTTCGTCTTGTCGTAGCTCGCGTACGCGCCCGCGCCGTTCCCTCCTCCTCTCCCTCCTCGCTCCTTGCTCGGATCCCACACGTTGTCGCGCTTGCCCTTCTTGAAGTCGCGCTTCAGGACGCGGTCGTCCCCGCCCTTACGCTTGAACCCGCGTCCGCCTCTGCCGCCCATCGTGTCCGGTGTCTTCTCGACGAGCGCGTGAAGTCGACGCGTGGACGGTTCGCGCACCTGTGCGCGCGCGCGCGGAGGAGTGCGCGCGTCGGCGATGGGAAACTCCGACAGACAGGAATCTGGTTTGGCGGCGGCGGCGCGGCGCTCTTCTCGCGCACGTTTCGCCTGCATCGAGTCATCTGTTTCCCTCACAACGCGTCGCACGACGCGCTTCGACTCAAACACCCGCAAACGAACATGTCAGATTGGAACCAAGGCGGGGGATATCAGCAAGGCGGCGGCGGCGGCGGCGGCGGCGGCTGGAACCAAGGCGGCGGCGGCGGCGGCGGCGGCGGCGGCTCGCAGCAGTACGGCGGCGCGTGGGGCGGTCGACAAGGCGGAGGCGGCTCCTTCGGAGGGGGCGGCGGCTTCAACAACACCCGCCCTGGGGACTGGCAGTGCCCCGCCGGGTGCGGGAACGTGTTCGCGTCGAAGATGAACTGCTTCCGATGCGGCATGCCGAAGCCGGAAGGCGCCGGCGACGCGGTGCGTCTCTTCGCGCGCGCGCGATCGCGCCCCCTCCCCGCGGTCGATCGATTCGAGAATCCGTCAGATCGCGTCGTTCGTCCCGAGAACCCACGCGCGAGGGGCGTTTTTACCCTACGAACCCCCCGATCGGACGGATCGCCGACGCCTCCTCTCTTCTCTCTCTCCCTTCCTCCCTCCCATCGTCAGGGCGGCGGCGGATACAACCAAGGCGGCGGCGACTACGGCAACGGCGGCGGCGGCGGCTGGGGCGGCGGCGGCTCCCGCGGCGGGTACGGGTACAACGACCGCCCCAGAGGCGGCCCCACGCCGAGGCCCGGGGACTGGAACTGCCCCGCCGGGTGCGGGCTCGTCTTCGCGTCCAAGTACAACTGCTTCCGCTGCGGCGCGCCCAAGCCGGAAGGCGCGGGCGCGGAGTACGGCGAACGCCAGGACCAAGGCGGTTACGACCGCGGCGGCCCGCCCCCGGGCGAAGCGCCGCCGCGGGACATCTCCGTGGACGAGTACCGCAGCTCGGGCAGGAGCGCGCAAGAGCTCGCGGACAGCCTCACGCGCGAGCAGCGGTGATTTCCGCGACGGGTTGAAAATTTCGTCGCGTCGCGCGGTCGGGTCGGATCGTCGGACGCGCGTGAACTGTGGCGCCGACGAACCTGTCGTCGCTCGGGCGTCGTCTTCTTGGGACGCGCAAATGGATGCGGTTGGGCGCGAAAACGCCCCCGCGCCGAGCGTTCTCAGTGTTGTTTTCTTGTTCTTGTAGACTCGCGGCTCGCGAGCGGTAAAAGTGATTTTTTCGTTGTTGATACATTTCGGTGATACAAACAGAACGCGCCTCTCCCATCCTCCTAGCTCTGCAACCACGCGGTCAGCGCGAACGATAGCACGCTCCCGGTGGCTAACCCACCGATCACCGCGAGAGACAGCTTCGCGCCCTCCTCCCCGCGCTTCCCCGGAGCCACGAACGACGGACCGTACATCATGCACGTCGACCCGAGGTGCCCGTTCGTGAAGCTCATCGCGGCGACGAGCGCGACTGGCCACACGTCCGAGCCCGCGAGCGCGCGTCGCACGCCCCAGGACCCCTCCACGACGACGTTGCACATCAACAGCGGCGGTATCAACGCGATTCTCGCGATGGAGAGCACCACCAGCACCCACCCGCGCGGCGGGGACTTCAAGCCAGCCCCGCCGGTTCCGGCCCCAGCCGCGCGCCGCCCGAAAAAGTCGCACGCGTTGGCGAGGAGAAACATCGTCGGCGCGAAGAGGTCGCCGGAGAGGCGCGACGCGATCCCAGCCCCCGGCGGTCGCGCGACGCACGGCGGCGCCGTCGCCGGATTCGACGCCGAGCATATGCTGCTCGTGACGGACGGGAACACCACGAGCGTCACCGCGAAGGTGATGAACACGGCCGCGCGGTACGAGCGCGCGTCCGCCGCGGAGCGTCGCGTCGCACGTCGCGAATCGTCTTCGCCGCGTTCTTCGCTCGCGCTTTCGCCCCCGTCCCGCAGCAGCGGCGCGATCACGGCGTCCTCCTCGTCGCCTTCCTCGCCCTCCCTGAACGCGGCGACGCTCTCTCTCTCCGCGGCGATCGCGGCGTGGTGCCGATAGAACGGCGTCCGCTCCAGAAACGCGCACCCCGCGAAGCACGCGAACACGAGCGCGGCGGAGACGAAAAAGTACCCGCGCGCCGTCGCGTCGGCGTCGGCGTCGGCGTCGGCGTCGGCGCCGTCGTCGCGCCGATCGACGTCCACGCCCCCCCCCCCCGCCGCCGCCGCCGGTCGCGGTGGAGATCACCGCGACGACGCTGCTGACGACCCCGCTCGCGGCTTGCCCGCTCATGATCGCCTGGTTATACCGCGGCGGGAGGAACGACGACGACGCGAAGGACCCGCCCTGCGCGAACGCGGTGAGGACGCCCATCAACGCGAGCGTGATCAGCGTCGTCGCCATGACCGCGTCGCCGGACGCGTCGTCGTCGTACGTGAACGCCCCGGTCGCCGCCAACAAGATCGCCATCCCGAGCAGCGGCGCGGGCACGCGAAGGAACGACGACAGCTTCGGTATGAGCTTAGCGCGGACGACGAGGCACAGCGCGAGGACGTTGGCGAACATGTACGTCACCGCGAAGACGCCCTCGAACGAGTCCGCGAGCGCGCGCGCGAACGGGGGCGTGAAGAGCCTCCTGTCGAAGTACGCGCGCTCGGTGATGAAGATGTTCCACGGGAATAACGTCCCCGCGCCGGCGAGGAAGAGGATGACGTACGTGATGTCGTGCCTGCGATGGACGGACGGACGGACGCGGGGGTGGGGCGGGGATGGATGTCAGCGGACAGCACGGTTCGCGTCGTCGGTTTGAACGAACGACGCGAACGCGAGATGCGAGCGCGCTCGGCGACGCGCTCGGCGACGCGCGTACCTATCCCGGGGGGGCGCGCGGTCGCCCACGTTCTCCGCGACGTCCACCGCGGCGTCGGAATCGCCGTCTGACATCGCGTCTCGCGTCGCGTCGCGTCGCGTGCGCGCGCGCGCGCGGCTCCTCCGAGGAAAGCGAAAAGTTCGCGCGTCTTTTCACGCTCGCTCAGCTGGCTGCTGGCCTCGATGGTTGGATCGAGCCGCCGACGTGGCCTCGAATCGTCGGCGCTCGCTCGGGGCACAACGAAACGCACGCACGCGCGCGCGACGTCATGGCTTCCGTATCCGCGATCCTCCACACCACCGCGGCCGCGCGGGTCGCGCCGAAGTGCGCGCGCGCGACGCGCGGCGGCGCGCGCGCGAGCGCCGCGCGCGCGTCCGCGCCGGGCCGGAAATCGTCGAGCGAGAAATCGCTCCTCCTTAGCGCTCGCGCGGCGACCGCGCCCGCGGGGCTCTTCCGGGCGTCCGCGGCGCCGAGCACGCGCCGCGGCGCTCGCGTCGTGACCTCCGCCGCGGCCGACGACGAAGAGAAGGTGCGCGAGCGTCCACGCGACGCCCGACCCGACCC